ATTGTTTTGCAAGTGAAATTTCTATATCAATATATTACATCATGTAGCGTTCTTGTGAATGATAATGACCTGTTTCAACTCCATTTTGAGAATTTGGAGTACTGTTTTTTCCAGTTTGTATCTGAAATGAACTTCTGTGAATCTCATTTAAGTGGTATATAATGAATACTTCCAAAATACAAATCATGAAATTATAAAACAACAAAAAAAATCAATTTGCTCTCCGGGGCGACTTTAGTGATTCCAGTGGCGCATTTGTTTTTCAGCTAAAGGAAAACTCGGAAAAACCTACAGCACCACATCATCTGAAGATTTTAATCTACCAGTGTCCTCTCTCTCATAAATCAAAATGTAGGGTGTTTCCAGAGGCTCCAATAAATTCATCACATCGTCAGAACACTTCGTGACACGACTATCGTCAAACTTAAACCAGCCAGTTTCGTCTTTGACCAAGGCGTAATAATGACCAAATTCAACTCCAGAATCACAGTGAACAATGACTGCATGAATATTATAATAGTGGTCTGCTCGATTGAAGTGTTCATCCTTTCCGAAACTTCGTAAGAGTTTGGTGCTTACGTCAGAGGTTGAGTCATGTTTGAAGATCATCAGTGTTATTATTAGATTAACTGGTGCCTCAGCTATACTTGTTTCCTTATAACAGTCAAGTTAGTTTGGTGCATGTTTGGCAATACAGTCGATCATCACCTGTTAAAAGTTCCATTTTCAGATGATTCAACAATGAGCTTTGCACGGACTGGTTATTAGCCATATTGGGAAACGCTAGTTGAAGTTCCAGAAATTCACATTCGTTTTTGCTACCTCTTGAACATTTACTACAAAGTAAAGAAGTGAGGATTTTTCCAGCAAAAAATTTACAAGCACAAGACGAGATAGACTGATAGTATTGATTCTGCTATTGTTTTGCTCACGAAGAGTATTCAACAAGAACCCCAAGAATTCGGAACAATCCTCTTGTTGTCCTAACGAGTATCTAGTGGACTTCAAAGACTCCAGGAAATCGGTTGGAGGGAAAGATGATACCTTCTTACGAAACTGCAGCTGCATGAACAGCTGCAGTTTCGCTGCAGCTGCACATTTTTTATATAGTAATGGAGAAGTAGAAAGTCATAACGTTCTTTCCCAGTGTTGAATCTCAACTAAAATTTCCTTTCTATTTGTGATTATCATTTAAACCCGAAAAAAACTGATATCACTGTACAAAAACAGGTGATTAGAATACATGCCTTTTTCTATATTCCTTCATTTAAAGAAAAAAATTGGTGATCCTCAATATTTTTCTGCAAAGTCCAGCAGGATCTTGAATTTTTCACATTTGTTATCAATTTTTCTCAAAGACGTTGCACTTCTGCCCTTGAGTTAGAGATTTACAGATGATTTCTAGACCATCTAATTATTTTAGGAGGTTTAGTTTAACTCTACCTTAAAATGTTTTGCAGAATCAAAACTCTTATTATTAAGCTCATATTGCAACATATTGAATTTCTGAATAGAAAATAAAGACACCAGGTGAACACTAGCACTAATGGTGAAAGTAACTGTAAATAAGTCGTTTTTGTTCAGAACACCCTTACTCTTAGAGAGTATAGAGACTATTTGATTATGTTAACTAAGTCTTACTTTCATTTCAATATGAACTTATCAGCACCACATTTTCTGTTCAATGATAGAGAAGTAGAAAGTCAAAAAGTTCTCTCAAAAAACTGATCTCTTCTAAAAATATTTTCTTTTCGATTTAAATAATTATTGTTACTAGTTCAAAATAACTGATTTTTCTAAAAATAGCATATGAATCATCGACTCATCTGAATTGTGATCTAAAGGTTCTTTCAATATCATTATTATTATCGTAGATGTCAGAAGCACACTTACTTGTAAGTCCAGGACTTTCTATTTTTTATCTGACTATTGGTCTCCTACTAAAATTTGAAATCCGAAGAGTCTAATATGGTTTCGGTGTCAACGGCATCAACTACTATGATCATTAACTTCGTGTTTTGGGTGAGGCTGTTAATAAATCCCCGAGCCACCTATGGAGGCAATTTGTCAGCCATGTAACGACTAGATAAATTACCTTGACAAAAATATGTGGTAAGTCTAATATTTGTTATTGAAAATATCCCTGGTGTAGTAGTTGTACAAATTTTCAGTGTACTTTCTAGTCAAGATATCCGAAACTGACGTGCTGGGTCTAATATATATTGTCGCCGAATGGATCATAAAGCGGCGCATGTCGAAGATTACCATTGATATATATATTTGTTAAAATTGCTTTTCGTACCTATCGTTATTACTATTTTGATCATTACTGCTAGTATTTTTAGCCTGTTATACAATCTTTGAATATGGATGAACTGTGTTTACACTAGTACTTGGAATTTCAGTGACAATTGTTGGATAGATGTGTTCTGAATAATTTTGAGTTGACTGAGCCAAAAGTATAATATTTTTTTCTATATTTCACACCAGCTCGACAGATTGTGGGTATCGATAGTTCAGTCTTCTCTGTCCATGAGGTCATGATAATGATTGTCTGAGCGTTCATCTACGACAAAATATAAAATCTGGAATTGCAAATAAAGTACTATAAAGATCATAGCATTCTGGTATAAAGAACATCGATTGTTGAGAAGTGTAATATTTTTCATATAAACCACCAATCTGTTCAAAATTCGTTTTTAGAAAGAGTAACTAGTACCTACAGCAACGGCTGCTCTATCTCTAATATCAGTTCCATTGAAGTATTACCTAATAACCATAAAAAACATAGAGGACTGATTTTTTTAGAGGATAACGTAATTATTATAAACATAAAATGAGAAAGTAATACAAATTATGAAATAACAAAAATTATTTGGCGCTCCGCAGCGACTCCAGTGGCGCACTTGCTTCTTGCAGGAAAACCCGTAAAACTCTGCAGCATCACATCATCTGAAGATCTTGATCTGCCAATGTCCTCTCTTTCATGGAATGAAATATAAGGTGTCTCTAGAGGCTTCAATAAATTCAAGATATCGCCAAATATTTAGTGACATGACTATCGTTCCAAAAAGTCCCATACGTTTTTGCTACCTGTTGAACATGTACTACAAATTAAACAAGTAAGTAAATTGATGGATGTAGCCGTTACTACGTGGTAAAAAATCATAACGAAGAAATTAAAAATGAAACTTTCTATGTTTTTACCACTTTTATTTATTACTTACTAACGTTACTGAAGTTTCGTCCTATACGGACATTTTCAAACTTATACAATAAACTGACAATGGTTCATTACATTAGCCCTTATATACCACCCCTGTAGGTACTAAAGAGATGTACTTGGCTTGATTGAGTACCTGAATTTACAGTTCACAATGAGGAAACAAGTAAGTAAATGACATTCAGCTAATAACCATTTGTTGTTGAAGCTTAATAGATTTTGAAAAATGCAGACAACGAAATGTTTGGTACATCCAGGACATCGCCTCAAGTCGCTATATTATAAGAAAGAAATCGCTTCAATACTTCTTTTTTATGCTTGGGTATAGTAAGCATCTTTCTCCGTCATAAGTTCAAATGATGCACATCGGTCGTGAATCCAACTTTTTGATATGAATATTGAGAGATTTTGATTTTGACGATTGAACATACTAAGCCATCCAGCATATACGCATAGGACGCCTATTCCATATTTCATTCTCAAACAAGAATTTTGAACCTTTTGTACTCTTCTGATATCAGAACTGTTCATGCATAGTCCATAGACTACGTCACTATGATTAAAGTGCGAGACAATCAAACTATCACACACCTGGATTTTCAATTTGTAATGTCTTTGACTGTAAGTCAGTTCAGTGACAATGAGTTTTAATGACATATATATGCATTTTAATTTTTCTCTTCAAATCGTAACTTATTGTTCATAATCAATCCAAGATTCTTGCAATAATTAGATACTTCAATCTTATCTCCTCCTACCCTCACTGTCATTATTTTATTTTCTGAGCTCACCTCCTGGTCAGTGTCAGATCAGGTTGAATCAATTTCGAACGAATGATCATTCATGAGGGTTAGTAATTGACTCAAGTTAGAACTGATGCAGTCCGTTGTTTCCGCTATATCACAAATTTTAAATGAAAGATATACCTAGCTGTGTCAGTAGAGAGAAGTTGCTAGTGTAAATAGTGTATAGTAATGGTCCCAGAATAGTTCCCTGAGGAACGCCTTGATATATGTTCAAAGAATCTGAGATATGATCATCTGATGTGCCTTTTGCGATTCACCAGATAGATAAGAGTTTATAATTAAACAAGCATTTGGTGAAAATCCGATAAAGTGTAAGATAGAGAGACTAATCTCATGTCTTGAGGTATCGAATGCCTTGGATTAATCGAGTAGTATCAGTGCACACATCTAATTATTATCAAGGGACCTTGTTATGTCATCTGAAATAGCAAACAGTGCTGATGAGCAACTGTACCCTGACCTAAATCCACTCTGAATGAGGAGAGTATATTATTATTATTATCTTAGTTTTCTAAACGAGTTTAGTGCTTGTCAAGAATCTATGAATAGTAAATTGAAAGAGTCTTCGATTTTCAATTCAAAAATTGAGGATGATACTTCCTCTTCAAAATCAAACCCAGTCAAAATATTTATGCCAATGTAGGAACATATTGTAAAATCAATGGAATCGATGATCTTCAAAGATTCGGTACTGAAACTATATTTGTTCATGATCTTCATTACCATGTTTTCCCATTTGTTACCATTTCCATTAATGACTATTGAAAACACTTTTTCACACCAGGACAAGAATAATGTCTCGCGACGCGCGTTTCACTAAACAAGTAACCGTCATCAGTTATATTCAGTTTAGTTTACTCGAAATAAAACCAAATTAAATAATGAACTTCCAGATGTCTTCTGAGAAAACTGAAATCAGATATTGTTGACAAAACATCTCGTTCTATGTAGAGAGTACATTCCGATCATTTATATGAATTTAATATTTACAAAATAAATGATACAGTTTTAGTGGTAAACATCATGATTCCAAATCATGTCACATCTACAATCTGATTGGTGTAACGTATGGATTTCCTGGGTAAATTTTCCCAGATGATTTCTTAGATATTGACCGTCTTTTTCTACCACTTATTGTTCCAAGATGTAGTAGAACAGGATTTGTCGATAAAGCAGCAGCAGCACCAAGCAAAGCTAGTCCCGCTATTGGAAGAAGCAGCTTCTTCAATGGTAACTTCTGCAAAAAAACAATCAACGATTACTAAATGATGAATAGTAAGAAAAAAAGTTGAGTAGTAGAATCTATAATCAGTTCATCATGAGTAAAAAATATTGTCTTTACTATTCACCCAACATTTCGTATAACGAAAAAACTGATGAAAATATCTTACTTTAGATAACCTAGCAGTCCGACAATATGTTAAATTATTCCAGATCGTATTTATTCTATGAATAAACGTTTAGTCAGTACAAATTATGGAATTATCCCAGAAACTTTCTGCTCCGTGCTTATTCAATCAACTGATAAGATAACACAAACAAATATTTTATAGAAACTGCTGGTGCAGTTGACCAATACCAATCATTATACATACCTTTCCAAAAATACCTCCTAATCCAGAGCCTCCATAACTGCCACCTCCGTAACCATGGGCGACACCTCCTCCACTATGTCCGTAGTTCAGTCCTCCACCAGTGTATTCGTGTCCAATTACACCATAATGTCCATAGCCGTAGTCAATACCACCGCCTGTATGTCTACAGTCAGTTGCTCCCCCATCATATTCAACATTATTACCTTCACCAATATGTCCATATCCAACACCACTCCCACTATGTCCATATCCAACACCACTTCCACTATGTCCAAATTCGACACCACCTCCACTATGTCCATATCCAATACCACCGTCACTATGTCCATATGCTTCTACCCCTCCTCCGCCGTGGTCGTACTTCAGACCAGATCCACCAGATGGATATCCATGACCATAGTCGTCTTGTCCATGTTCGTAATTACCTCCCTGATGAGGCCCTTTGCAAAAGACAGGCCTAATATAAATTGATTCATCAGTAGAAGGTGCTTATGAATGGAAAAATGTTGAGGTGTGAAAAGTCTAAGTAGGTTAAAATGGGTTTCTCTGTTAACAAGACATGTGAACAACAATTCCTAGTACTCAAAAAGTGCAAGTTTGAGTTTACCACATTTAACTGTATAAATCCTAGAACGAATTATTTGACGTAAATGTATGGAATTCCAAACAGTGTGCTGGTAATTTGACATTTCATCAAGTAAAATATTGATAACAGGTCCAAAAGTTCATGCACTACATGACACCAAAGTACACCTTTGACAAAAACTTCATAGGTGTAGTCGCAAATCGTGAAGAGTGAACAATGAACTTTCCCAAACATGTGTTGCCGAAAACCAAATACGAAACAGTCAAAGGTGCCATCAAGACTGTTCTAACAATGATTCTTATAGTAAATTTACTCTGTACTGGGTACCAGTACACACAGGAATTAAAGGCGACTTAAAAGCTAATGGATGTAGTGTTAGACATGGATCATCAAATACATTAACCATCTATATTAATGATTTCATTGCAAAGTCGACAAAGATATTGTTTGGCAGGAGAACTCATGAATTTCCTATATTGTTCAAAAATACAAATAGATCAACAATTACATAATTATGATCTACCATTTCCATTTTATCATTCATCTTGAATGTGTTGATTTTTTGTTGGATCAAATTGAAGCAAATCAATTGGATATTACATAGAATAATACAGAGAATATAAAGTGTCATATGGATAGTAGTTTTCCATATCCATTGAGCATACTATCTTACTCGTATTATATCCATGGAGACCAACTGGTGTTACACCAGCATATCCTAAATTATCGGGACCTGCAGCTCCATATCCACCTGCGTAGTCTCCGTGATGATAATCTGTAAATGAGAAAAAGTGGAAATTGTTTCTTATTCCAAAACATGAAACTGAACTGAAGTAGGATGTCTGATACTTGGTTTCAACTCAGGGTAGTAAGGTACTAAAAGTCTTACTTTCCAAATGTCATGATCTCACCTAATTGTTTTTTATCGATCTGTCCAACTGCCCAAACACTACGTACAGCGCTGCCCGCTTTCGCTTCGTCAACTTTTTTGGGCTCCTCCAGTTTTTCCGCACCTCTGCGATCTTCCTCCCCAATCAGTGTCTGGAAAAGAGTTGATTTATAGATAACGTAGCATAAGCAATCCACCTTCAATCAAAAACAGTCATTTCTAATCTGAGCAATTTCTAGTTCAAGATCTGTGCAAGTAACATTCTGGTACTTTGTCGGGATGATCCAGTTGTCTAACTGATTTTTAGTGTCTTTCGCGTTTCACTCAGAAAATCCTCAGCAGAACCCAATCATTACTCATCGAGTGCACCATGTAGCGGGGAGCTACAATACCTCACCCTAGAGGTGAGAGTCCTTATCAAAGACGGATAATACTCCTTATTGACCTCCTGATTCACTACGTTCAGTGATGAAATAAAAGAAAACCAAAATGATTGTTTGGCTAGAAAAGGTGGCATTTAAACTTCACGTGTCTAAGGTTATTGATGTCATGATTACTTTAAATCCCGTGCGTTTTTCAAAGTTGGAGTCAAACACACTGAGGTTTAGGGTAAGTCCGTGGTAGATGGCCATATGGAAGAGATGGTCTATGGAAATATTTCAAGGACTCGTTCACTAGATGTCACTGTTTACCGTTTAGTTCGTTGCGAGTCGTGCGTGAGAGCGACGGTACGGCAAAACATTTGGCGAACAGAAATTTCTTTCTGTTCCTTGACATTAAAAAATATTCACAGTAGTGAATATTTTTTAATGTCAATTGTTTCACACAATTGTGGTTGGTGTCAGTTTCTTAAAATAGTGGTGATATTTGTATTTGTTGCAGAGTATACGAAGAATGCTACGTTCCAACCTCAATTTTGATCCTGGAGGGATATCTCCAGGATCAAAATTTCCAAGGAAACCAACCGGAAAAGTTGTTCTGTTAGATGGCCGCTCAACTCATTGCAATTCCGTGGAAATGTTGGAATATACTGCAGAAAAAAAAGTCTACAAGAGGAAAACATAAGAAAATGTGTCAAAATAAAGAAGGAAAAAGAAGAGACGATAAAAGGTACTGTTCGATGTGTAAACATAAAGCCATCCGAAGACTATCTGATAACAGTGACGATATTCGATTAAAAATATTGTCAGATACACACACTGTCGCGTGTGTGAAAACTACTATGAAACACTTCTCATCGAAGACTGGCTTCAATATAGGTACAGTGAGCCAGTTTTGTGCTCACAAACACTGCACGGCATTTAAAACGATGTGCTCCAGATGTAGCGAAGAGGAGAAGAGAAGACCCAAAAGTAAAAGATGAGGCCAAAAAGTAATTATGAGCCAGAATTAAGTTATGGCCATCTCACCTCTAATACCATGGCCATCACGCCCGGAGACCTCGAGAAAGATGGCCAATTGTGATTTCAAAAAAACCCAAATTAATAAGGTGATCTCATTAGAAATTGTTAATAATATCATGGTTGATTCTTTAAAGTTCAATGAGAAGTAAATATAATTATAAAACATAAGTATTTTTTTTATTAATATTAACGTGTCTCGGCATCTAATAGCCACTGACACGGGATCTGTGATACATTTACATAATAATACAAAACAAAAAAATCAGATTAAATGAAACAGTCGACAGTCCTGTATCACTGTATTACGACACTGAGCTGGTTAGGTAGGCTGTTGATGTCTTTGAGAGTTCCACTGAGTTTGTGTTTGCGGCGAGTTGGGCTGTAGTGTATACAATTCAAAAGTATGTGGTCAATTGTGAGTTACCACAAAATTCACAAGTAGGGGGATTTTGTGAAGACATCAGGTAACCATGGGTGAGTCGGGAGTGGCCTATTCTGAGTTTTCTTATAACATTTTTGTCCTTTCTTGTCATTGGGGGCAGGTCCAGCGCCCAAACTGTGTGTTGGATTGTATGTAGTTTGGTGGTACATGTGTTCCAATGTGTTTGCCATGTTTGTATCATCATTTGTCGAGCTGCTGATTTCAAGTCTTGGTGAAGTTGGATTTGCTCCTCAGGCAATTCGGTGGAACAAGCTTGTTTTGCTGCTTGGTCTGCACGTTCGTTGCCCGTAATTCCTACATGAGAAGGGATCCACATGATATTCACAAGGACAAATCTGGTACGATGGTGGTGGCAGGTATCGAGGATATCTTGAACCAAAGGATGATGTGAGTAACTACTTTTGATAGAGAATATTGATGAAATGGAGTCTGTGCATATGTCAAGTTTACTGTTATCTTGTACTGGAGACCTCAACGCTTGTAATATTCCATATAGTTCAGCTGTGTGTATACTACAGTCATTGGGAAGTTTGTATGTTGCTATTATTGCATCGAGTGTAGTAACAGCACATCCGGTACCATTAACTTCTTTGGATGCGGCAGTATGAAGGATTTTGTCGAATTGCTGGTTATTCATCAGTTCTCTGAATCTTTGTATGAAGACTATGTTAGGCGTATCGTGCTTATTGTAGTTCCTTAGGCATGTATTCAAAAATGGCGGATTTTTGGTCCATGGCGGAGTTTTAGACAGTTTTATAAGAGTTGTAGCTTTGAGGTTGGTGTTTCTTGAAAAGAAAGATAAGTATTTGCTTTGTGATATAGCTTAGAAAAAACTAAAGCCTACTACCCCGGATTAACTCCACTTCAAAAGGGCAAAATGGGGTATCAATAAAAATAATGAATGCCCTTGATCTGAGGGTAAAGTTTTCAGGTTATTATTCAGACAATATATTATTAATAGAATTGAATAATAATTGTTGAGTTTCTTTTTATGTTATCGATAGATTGAGTAGCACTGCCTTGATTATCAGGAAATAAGGAAATAAGATTTACTAATTCACTTTTTCATAAACTGGTCAAAATGTTAACAACTGTGTCCAAAACATTATGTTTGAAGCCACATTCATAGTATAAAAAAATCTATAAGACACAAGAGCTAAAAATATAACTTGAAACTAGGCCCCTTGAAAATAGAAGTTGACGTATCTTTCCGATTTTTCTAAATAGACACCCTGTGTATTATTTTTTGTAAAAAATCACATACTAAGAGATCTCACCTCATCTTTATTTCTTATAATCCCAAATGCAGTACTCAGTATGAAAAATAAAACAAACAACAAAATCACTTGCACAACTTTCATCCTCGTTGATCATGCTACTGGCACGGCTTCTTTATCAGAAAGAACTGGCCCGAATCGTTGAAGAATTCCTTTTATGTGGCCTGAATGTGCACAATAGAAGTTGGCAAATTGTCGCAAGACGCAAAGAGAGGTCACTGTTTTTGATATCTGAACAACAACAGATTTTCTTTTGTTTTCACAGAACTACGAACCATCTACATTTATGACAACCAAATGTTGGAATTATTATTGAGAAATTCTACCATACTAGTGGTTCATCCGAGAATATTATACCACCATTCTGGGACTTCAATCAGAGCTAAAGCAGCAACGCAAATTTGATTGTCGTTGGTTTTCCTTAAAGCCATACGCAGAATTGGTGAGGGGTAAGTTTTACAAAATATTTTTGAAAGGTCACTACATATCACACAAAATTTAGTTCAGTCAGATTATAAATAATAATTCTACCCTGGAGAAAATAGAATGAAAATCAAGTATAGTACAATTTTATAATAATAGAGCAGAAATATTATTACATTAAAACTAAAACATTGTTGTCAAGGTTGTGATTCTATATATATATATTTTTCCTCACCTGTTTACTAGAGTTTCTGTATACCACTGTAAGAGACAGATTGAAGCAAAAACGTCAGTCATTTTTCAGAATTTAAAATCTGTTTGAAAATCTGTTTTTTCGTTAATCAGCTGTCGCCCCCTTACGAACAACAATTCTCAGAAGTCTAAACTTGTGCGAGTTAAGTGCTAACAAGGGCTCACCTTTAACCGTGTGATTCCTAATACGGATTGGATGACAGCAAGTGAAAAATCGGTCGTCCGGCCTGCAGCTTGAACCACCGATTCACACAGCGGTCGATTGAGTGAGTGGAGCAAAGCATCCACGTTAACCCGATCGGCTACCGTCCTACCTGCCGTCCCTACCAACCGTCCAAAATAGTACCTACTTTTTTGGAATTATAGTATATCTATCAAAATTCTGACGTGTATTTGTTGTACTAGAAACAAACATTTTGTGTTTTTCTACTTCTCAATCTTCATTCAGAAGCTGTGGAAAACTGACAGGTTACTTTCAGACACAAACTTGAAGAGAAATCCTTTCGATTTAGACAAAATCATTTTTGTATATTCAGTTTGTACCTCAAACTTTCGTTATGTAATAGAAACAGATATCACGATACATAACGTAATATATGAAAGAGCAATATTGTGATGTAGAGTTTCGGGTAGAAATCGCTTGTCTTCAACTCCTCATCAGAACCTTTTCAAACTTCGGAAGACTGTAGATGTAAACTAGAACCAAAACGAAGTATTTATGATTCCTACTTGGGTCCTTGTTCACCAACGTCCCGCTGGAAGATTCTTTGAGAGAGATAACCAACTTGTTTCCTAGTGATATTGTCGGACTCATCAAGGCCTGCCTTACGGGAAGTTATTTCGAATGGAAAGGAGATCTCTATGAGCAACTAGACGGCGTAGCGATGGGAAGTCCACTCAGCCCGGTGATAGCCAACTTCTTCATGAAGCAATTTGAGAAGGCACTCGACGCTCTCGATTTCAAACCAACCATTTGATGATACTTTGGTCACCTGGAGACATGGGAGGGACAGACTGAACCTGTTTCTAGACCACATAAATGTTCAACACCCTAGCATCAAGTTCACCATGGAAGACTGAACAGGAACAACTGATAGCTTTTCTATATGTACTCATCGAAAGGCGTGGCACACGACTGACACAAAACGTGAACTGAAAACTGACGCATACGGACAGATACCTGCATAAGCTCTCAAACCACTATCCAAGTCAAAAGCGGGGAATCACCAACACCCTGACGCAACGTGCCCGTAGAATATATGAACCGGAACACCTACAAGAAGAATTGGATCATCTTCATGTGGCTTTGAAATCAAATGGATACAGTGTAACCGAGATCAACAAGGTCATGAAACTGAAAACTTCCACAAGTCAAAATAGGGAGGAAACTCAAACGGTTGAACGTGCATTCCTACCGTACATCCCTAGGGATCCCTAGTGATCCAGATAATAGAATAAGGTAATTGAATAATATGCCTGTACCCATTTGCTTCAATACATTTAGTACCTCTGTACCTATGCAAAAACATCTACCTATAGATTGGTTGTCAACAATTTAATTCAATTCAGCAATATTATGAATGATCCAGAGTTTCTAATTTATCTTTGGTTTACATTTGAGTCCAAAAGTGAAGGGATATCATCACTGACTTTTACATGATTCTGTCTCATTCTATATGATTGGCTGATTTTTGATCGATGGTTATAAAAAAATCGTTCCTTGGTTGACAACACTTTTTCATAGTATTCAATAAACAGCCGACATATTACTAGGATATCAATGACACCCAATTATTCTTGTATTTTATCTAGTGTTTCTTTCCATTTTTCTAATAAAAACATGATTGAAATCAAATAACATAATTACCTATTGAATGAAGGTGATTGACAATATTTCATGATGAATTTCATTAGTTCGGACTTCCATTGTCTGATATTATATAAAATGATTTGAAATCCCTGAAATAACTAAAAAAGAAGAATTAAAAATTAAAGAAGGAGAATAAAAAAAAATAGCTATTCTTTTTTAATTTTTGATTCTTCTTTTTTAGTTATTTCAGGGATTTCAAATGCTTTTATATAATATCTAATGAAATAACTAAAAAAGAAGAATTAAAAATTGAAGAAGACGAATACAAAAGAATAGCTATTCTTCTTTATTTTTCTTCTTTAATTTTTAATTCTTCTTTTTTAGTTATTTCGTGGATTTCAAATCATTTTATATAATAGCAGACAATGAAAGTCCGAACTAATGAAATTTATCATTATTGAGGATGTTCCGGATGAATTGGACAACTGCACGAAAAATAAATACCTATTATATAGATAAAAACTAATTATAACGAAGAAAATGTGAGAATTGGCAATAAAACTGAAGGTTGTTCATGACATTATCAAATAGACTGATAGACTTTTGAGACAAAAGTTATCTCTCTGTAAGAATTATTCAATATTTGAACTGATGGGCATTCAATTTGCAGTATTTTTTATTGATTACCAAACATCTATCAAAAGCTATCAAAAGTTTTAACACAATTCAAAGTTGAATAAATATGATCTTAAACCAAGTATGAATACAAAAACTTGCACAGAAAAAATTCAGTTTCTCTCTTGTTAGCAGGACATGTGGACCGTATTGAAACACTTGAGCTGTTTCTTCTTTTGTTACGAACGTAATTTGATTTAACAACTTACTAATAGTTAAGTGGTGACATATCTAAGGACATAAATATAATGACATCGTAATTACTTCAGTTCTTTTCAATTTTTAGTTACTATTGGGAAATGTGTTGTCATTACCGACAATTGTGACGAAAAAACGTTCATCCAAATTGAAGAATTATATTTTCTTCAGGCACCCTGCTATACAGGGGATATACACATATTGTGTTCAAAGGAATAACAAGAATAAGCTTGAATTTCTATGAAAAAATATTTCAATCCCTTCTAGCACTCTCAAATATTGTGATACCAAAGGTATTACCAACAAAATATTGAGACCTCATATTCTTTGAAAGACTTTTATATCCGATACATTTTACGCCAGTAGTTCCAAGTCTACTACTCATTCACCACTTTGTATGAATCTGAAAGTTATATAAGTATTAACTTATGTCACAGAGATTGCCTTAGAAAACTTATCTCCAACCTCTAATCGGAAAGCAATAAGTATGAAGTCCAAGCTGGTAAGTGCTCAGACAATACATCTTCAACTCTGCTTAAAAAGTTGAATAGATTGCGTACTAAAATTTTTCAACGGTACTCGACTGTCAATTGTGGACTTTCAGTCAACTAGCTGAGCTTCATGATCTTTCAGATTTACTTTTTTTAAGGACAAAACACAAGCACCACAGGAAAATCCTTAAGGCCGTCTAAAGTGGTGCCTGTGCGAAAGTAGCGATTCACATTGGATTCGAATCACTGGAGAATAAATCCATTTGAAAAAACATTATCTGGAAGTATATTCCACATGAACGCAGTTCTACAAATGAAAGAGTTCGTGAATAGTGAAGTTCGAGGTGTACTGAGTTGAATCTCAAAACAATGAGCAGCCACAGTTCGTCGGGTATTTCTGATATGTACCGCTCTTGGTGGAATCGAATGTGCCAAGTCACTTGAACACCTTCCGTGGAAGTATCTATGAAAGAGAAACAAATCTCCAACCTTTTTTCGATGTTTCAGATTATCAAGGTTGCAAGTGATGTTCGTGTCTCCAATCAGGCGGATGGATCCTTTCTGGATGGGATCCAGCAGCTTCAGGATATGCTTAGAGGCGGAGCTCCACACATGAAAATAATATTCCAAAGGTCAGATCTAAGCTTTATAAAGCATTAAAAGTTGCTGTGGTGTGAACAGTTTTCTGGTTCGTAACAGTGTTCCGAACTTTTGAGAAGCAGCTTTTGGAATTCCAGCGACATGATTGTGCCAAGACTAATTGGTGTTCATTTTAACCCCCAAACAAACTAATCGAAGCAAAAAGCGGAATTTTCTGTCCTTACATTATTATATCTGGTTTGGCGACATTTATCTCTTTGAAGAAAACTGATGTGTGTGTTTTTGTGGCATTGATATGAATCTGGTTACTTTCACCCCAATTCGAAATCACCTCTGTATCCTCAATAAGATATGCAACCTCCTGCTGCCGGTGAAGATGTGCATCCGGATGTCCTGGAATCCAAATGGAATGACGAGTGAAGTGTGCTGTCGTCAGAAAAGCAATATATTGGATTCTTGGTTTCTTCCAATAAAAAAAGGGTTGGAGGAACACCAGCTGATTAGGCACTCTTCAAATAAAAAAAAAATCAAGTTTGGAGAGAACAAATTCGCATCATTCTAAATATATGCATCCTCTAGAATTCGTAGAAGATCCTAACATTTCCATTCCTAACATTTCACATGGAACATGAAAAAGCCGAAATGTCAGATGTCAAGGTAGCGATATTCAAGAGTTGTCGCGTGTCGCATTGCAAGGAGTTGATACATGCCACAAACATTAAAAGAATTCGAATTTAGCACTCCTATATACGATTGAATAGATGAGAAAACATCATGATATGAAAGACAATGCTTCGCAGTTGGTATACCAACATGCTAGATATTGTAAGTTGAAAGGTAATACATCGTTAGTCCTTGGCTTCTGAGACTCGTCGTTCGTTTGGAGATATGACGGTTGACGAAAAAAAACAGTTTTGAGAGATTTAATGGAGATCGACCTGACTGGGAACAAGTCTCCAAGCATGGTGCATTTGCAAAAAAATTCGGTGAGAATCATTATGCTTACGGAGAAGTTTGTTCATTCTACCACAAGTGGAAGAGCCCAGATTAGTTGGAACAGCTCCTTGAAAGTGTATTCGAGAAAATTTGTTTGCTTCTTGGAAGCTATCTGTCATTTATCCAAAAGTCCCGTGAGCCTCATGGGTTTATTGCATTTTTCTCAGTTTTCATGGCACCCCTAAAAAGCAGTTCTTGACCACACAGTACCATTCAAATGGTAAAAACCTAGCCTAGATTTACAATAGGGGAGAAAGAGTATCAGAAACTTTTCTAGAAAAATCGTAACTGTACTGAAACAAGTTTTCTTCGAAGCTCAGAAAAATCATATCAGTATGAGACGTGTGCAGAGAATGAAAATTTTTTCTAAGAAAATACAGGATGAACCCAAAAGTCATGATTACAGAGCGGTCGAAAAAAACAAAGTGACAGGGATCTGAAGATTTTGCGGAAATCCCGAATGTGACCTTGCATTTGGCCTTGACCATGACCTGCACATTATTAAAGGACAAGATAATTTTTTCATGAAAAATTCCATATTTTCATCAAGGAAATGAAAGGATGGAATAACATGAAGAGGGGGACAGTTTAGCACCACAGCCCAACAAAGTGCTGCAACTTGCGCAGCCGTTCAACAACGTATTGTGACGTCACATCATCATCATGAAAACTTACTCCAGTCACAAGAATGGCAAAGTTTCAGGATTCTAAGAGTTCACATGATAGAAATGAAGTCATGAGTATAAAAAGTCAATTTATTTTAAATAGAATGAGCATACAATTTTTTGCACAACCGTTTGAATCGGAGAGATACAAACAAAAGGCTGACGTTCGCATTAATATATGTGTAAAATGTTTCACCCCCTATAAAAGTTACACAATAATAATCCAGTCAAATATAAATAAGCGACATCATTTGTCTTCCAGCTTCTTCATCAATTTCTCCAGTTTCATGGCCTGTTGGAGGTTACCCTGTATCTTCAACTTTCCCATCATGTACGCTGTGGTAGGCTTCATCTTTCCAGAAAACAGACCCAAGAAGTTTTTGGTGTCCATGGTGAGAGTTACATCTGGTGCAGCTGGTGGATCTCCGTGACCGCACAGCCCTCCTCCGTTCTTCAAATCCAAAAACCTTAACAAAATAATTCTCCTTCAGTGCCTTATAAAAAAGTTCATGGGAAAATTATGATTAGAAATATTTTGAGACCGAGGTTACCACCAGGAATATGGGCTTGGACATTGTCAATGACTTTCACTCAACAGAATTTAACCATCAGATCTATGAGGGTGATTCTTTTACCTGGAGCCTAGTACCCAAGATGGTGCTTACTCGATGCTGCGATAAAATAAAACTCACCAATACTTTCGAAGTCGCTTCTTACTTATAGATCTATTCATTTTTTTTATCGTACTAGAGTTAAAATGATGTTTCAGTGTGATACAATGTAGACATAAGTACCTATAGCTAGCGCATTGCAGTCAAGTGTTTTTAAATCATCTTCTTCATGGAAATATTACAAAAATTCGTGATAAAAAGTTATTTTTCCAAATTACTGTAAAAGTCACAATGGGCCTCAGCAACTTATATTCTAATTCGTTACAGGCTCAATGAAATAATTTCTTCCCATATATAGTAACACCTGATGAAGCTAGAGACAAAATGAAGAACGACCAACTTCTACTGTACAAGAACTTCACTTCCTTTATTATCCTAATTTCCTAGATACAGCAGTTATATATTATGAAAATGAAACATACAATATACGTATTGAGCAGTAAAATGAAAAATAATTCAATTGAGTAGAGAAGTTTTTCATTAAAATAAAAAATATGTTCAATGAAGTTGTCAACTTCCTCACATACCACTGATGATGTCTGCCGCAGTACCACACGAAACGTTTAGTACTCTACCTTTCATTCGATCATGACCTACTAGCTCGGATTTGGTTCTCTTCAATCGTGACAGCCATGAATGCCTATGTTTTTATACGGAAGTAGTGGCCGTGTTCGGATGTAGTACATATTCATACTTCCAGAACCAAAACGTACTATGACAAAAACCCTTGTTGAATTTACCACCAGGGTTTATGACCAACAGCTTCTTGAAGAAGAACTTCGTCATCTAGACCAAGCTCACAGGCCAATAGGTTTACTATCATGAGAAATCAAACGTGATCTACTCTACATCTTAGAAAAATTACTACACCTTCGATTACAAAACAGCCATCAATGATAGGCACAGTCCTTCTCTGTCACGAATTGCACTGAAAAACCGTTTGAACTTTACAGCATGAAGACCATTTGCAGGTCTACTGCAACACTATAATATCGGCGGAAGACCACGTAACAGAAAACAAACCACTTAATAAATTACGGAGAAATTCCTGCCTTGTCTAATACGGAAAACGACTCCATAGGAACGCCATGGATATCCGTGAGCTCTCCAACTATTTCAGCAGAAAAAAGGAGGTATGTGTCAACAGAACAGAGTATCCAGTGCTCAAGAAGGCTAAAAATGGACTAGAATACAACTCCGATCGGCATTCTACCAGCAGCACACCTATCAATATCGTGCCTCAATCAGAACAACTTAGCGCAAGTACGGACCAATTAAAAGTGACCATGTTCATAGACACTCCACCCCCACCACTCCCTACTACTATAAATAAGAGTAAACACATAGCTCCCTAGTCAGTCATCGCTGGTGCATGCGCTGAGCTTCATCCTCGCGGTCAGCGGATGCACCACTGAAGTGGTCTGCCGAGTAGTAGACAAAGAGACGTTTGGTACAACAAGTTCCTTTCGACTACAGCCTGATAACCTAAATTTTGTTCTTTCTATTTTTGCTGTTTTCGTAAAGCGATTCGTTAGAGAAATAATACCGCCGTGTTGTAAAGGTGCGCACCTATATTCATAACAAGTTGCTTCATTCCTTTTAGAGAAAAGATCTGATCAATTTCGCCTAAAGAAATGTTCACACCAAAACAGTTGTTTATGAAAGTGCGCGTCGTTTTGATGAGACGCGCACAGATTTCAGAGCTTACCATTTTCCTTCCTCCTCACCAGAGACATTGAAAGCGAAAATGGCCTGAGTTTTCGATACCGTTTCAGGCGATAGAATCCCATCGATTTTTTTGAACACTTCAGCTATTTGCCCCGTCGGCGCAGCCTTCTTGGCTTCGGCACCGAATATTGCCGGAATGTTGTCGTCCAAGAAATAATCCGGGGCTAATTTATCGGCGTTGTCTGGATTGCAAGCGTACTGCTTAAGATCCGTCACTCCAGCCTTCCTAAGGACGTCTTCGTCTACGAAAAAGTTGCCGGTGCACGTTTTCGGGTCTTGCGTCAAGATGGCGTAGGCGGAGTCGCCCATGATGTCGACGGTTCGGCTGAAGTCGTGGGAACCTCGGCCCTTCAACATTACGACTGCTGCTGTGCTGACAACTGAAACATAAATGAAAGTAGTCAGTGTTGCCGATGGCCGGATAATTATCAGGTGATAAAATCAGGTGATTTTTCAATTGTGGATAATTTGACGATTCATCATTGGCAATACTGCCTCACTCTTTCACTACAGAAGTGAAAGGGTAAAATAGTGTATTTACGAAGCATCAACTTCAATCTTCACTTTCATTCCCATTTTAACTTCAACTATGAAATATACGTTAACAAAACAGATATGTTATGTTTGTTTCCTGTATTATGCAAGATCTGTCTGTTTAAAATCTGTGTTTTCGTTAATCAGCACTCATCTTGTTTAGTGATACCTATTACCTCTAACTCTAACACATGTCGAGTTTTGCGGGCTGTGAACGACTTGTGTAATACGATTACTCCAAATCATAAATAAGGCATATGTGATTTTCAGAATTTTTCCAGAAATGACGTGTGCATGTGCAAAAAAATCACACTATGGAAGTATTTATCAAAGAACACCCACACGTTCTGTGGTTTTGATGCATGGAAAATCTAGCTAACATATGCCAATGGTCCCAAAAATAATTGGCTTGAAATTGATTTAGAAATTATACAGTCAAATCGTGTGTCTGGCCTCGTCTGACTCGATAGACTGAAAGTGATAAAATATTCAGTACATTTAAGGGGACCACTTCAACTTTCATTGTTTTACTAGTTAGTGACTATTCCAGAGAATGACTTGTGGATCCGATTTTCCAATGACACTATTCTATTCTAGTCAAAAGCTGTTTGACAGTCAAATTACATACAATTTAATTGATTCATGTCATACATTTTGTAAAGATACTCCAAAATGTATATAGTTAGATGATAAGGTTTCCCTAGTTTCCCAATTTTGATAATTTGTCTAGTACTGTTCTCATGTCAGTAATTTAGTTTCAATTATCAATTACATTTTCATGTTGACAATGATGATAGCTTAGCTTAATTAATTTCAAATGACAGACATATTGTCACAACATTCTGTAGAATTAGTAATAGTAAAATCAAGAGGATAAAGTAAGACAGAAATCATTTAATTGAACAAGAATACATATGCTATGTTAGCGTCCAATTAGTGTTGATGAACTATAAGTTACCCTCAATTGATTTATAGTTGTTCCATTAAAAATATCAAACTATTGAAAAATATCTTGCATTCAATTGTCTGATCAACAATACTTAACCTGTTTTTGGCCAAAGAGCATTCACAGCGATGTTGAAGGGCTTGAATTCCTCATGCATTCCTAGCACACACATGGACATTCCGTATTTGGCCATAGTGTATGCCACGTGATCTTTGAACCATATGGGGTTCATACTCAATGGTGGAGACAAGTTCAATATGTGTGCATGACTACTCTTCTTAAGGTGAGGTAAGCAGGTTTTGGATCTGTAATGCAAAAAATACGAGTGAATATAAGAGGGTGAGCTTCAGAAGAAATGTGTTGGAGAGATTTCAGAATATATACCGAAACGAAGCCATTTTGAGCTGAGTAGAATGGGATAGCAAGATTCACTATAGGTTGCATTTTATGTTTCGGGATTTGGCAACCCTACGTTGCAATCTGGCAACTGACAGCTCTATCGTAAAGTTGGACAATTTTGAGCTTATACGTACTCAGAACGTTTTGAAATACGCGCGCTATTTGTGTTGTTTACAGTAACTTAAAAATCAGTTGTTGTTCCGTAAACCATTGATGCTGTGCGCGAACTGATATTGCAAGATCGTCATGTGACCTATCGTGAGATTAAGACAATCTTAAGCATCAGTGGGACCAGCATACATTCAATATGGCATAAACATCTGACTGTCAAAAAATTTTGTTCGCTTTGGATCCCACACAATTTGTCAATCGCTCAAAAAAAGGTTCGTGCTGATTGGTCGAAGGAAATACTCAAAAAATACGATCGCGGTGCTTCGAAACACGTCAATGACATCGTGACAGGTGATGAATCGTGGATTTACGCGTATGAGCCCGAAAATAAACAGAAATCGAGTGTATGGGTGTTTCAAGAAGAGCCAAATCCAACAAAAATTGTTCGCGCACGAAGCACTTCCAAGCAAATGGTCGCCTGTTTTTTCGGAAAAACTGATCATGTCGCAACCGTACCACTAGAACAACGCAGAACAGTAAATTCTGAGTGGTACACAACCATTTGTTTGTCAGTTGTCTTCCAAAAAATCAGGAAAACCAACCGCCGAAGACGGATCACTCAACTGCTCAAACAATTGCATTTTTGAGCACCCAAAACATCGATTTGATGAGTCATCCGCCGTATGGTACTGTCTTGGCACCTAATAACTTCTTTTTATTCCAGCACGCAAAAAACAAACTGAGAGGCCAACGTTTTTCGGCACCTGAAGAAGCGGTTGCTGCATCAGAATGCATGTTTTGGAGATCCCTCAATCAAAGTAGCAAAAGTGCTTCGACAATTGGTTCAAACGCATGCAAAAGTGTATGGATCTTCATGGGAAATATTTTGAAAAACAATAAAGTGATTTTCGATGATTAAAATTTGTTTTTGTTCTCTAATCCCGAAATATAAAAGGCAACCTCGTATACTCTGGATATGATTCTTGATTTTCACAAGGATTTCCTTCAGAGAAATAAACCACCTCAGCCACTCACACACACATTTTCACTTTAGAGAGGAGGTTCTTTTTCATGAACCTGAACTTTTTCAAGTCAAGAAATCATGAAAAAAAAGTTACAGAAAACTGATAAAAAAATTAGATATCCAGCTATTGTTTAAAAAAAACTGTTTTTCCGTTGACCAGCTGTCGCATCAGATATCCAGCTATTGTTTAAAAAAAATCTGCTTTTCCTTTGACCAGCTGTCGCACCCCTACGAACGACAACCCTCAGAAGTCCCACCGACCAACACGGCAGTAAATTCGAGTGAGTGAACAAAGCACCCACGTCGAACCGCCTGGCTACCGACCAAAACTGAAATTTAATAACATGTCAATAGATTTATAACTTAACCCCTCATTTTATGAGAAAATTCAGGAATCAAAGTCAATCCTGCTGGGAGAATTTTACTCACACTAAAAACGTTCCTCTTGTGTTGACACTATGCATCAAATCGTATCGTTTCATTTCAGTCTCAGCAGTTCCAGTCAGTGAAATAGCAGATGCGTTGTTGATGAGAATGTCGATGCCACCGAATTTTTTCACAGCCTCATCCACTGCACTTTGTACTGCTTTTTCATCTCTCACGTCGACTATACAGGGCAGACCTTTTCCACCAGCCTTTTCGACTGAAAAATAATTATATTCTCATGCTTGAAATGAAGTGCAACAAGTATTCAAGTATTAGAAATTAAAAGTTTAAAAAAATCAAATTTTTTTGTTGATTACACATTCAAATGAAACGAAATGTTCCAAAAGTCATCTAACATTCATTGTCGATTGAATTTGTATCTGTAGAGTAGAGGGGGTGAGTGTAGGCCCCCAGCACTTAGGCCACATGTGACCCATTGTATATCCTCCCGAGGAGTTGTCCTTCTAGGTCATCGTCCATCCTGTCCTTTACAGGACAGTGGACAGGTCTCTGGGAGACATCTCCTTTATATCGGCAGGTGTAGGCCAATACTCGCCGAACACACAATCTCTTATTGACGATAACTCCGGACATTCGCATAGGACACGCCTGACAGTTTCATCTTCCTGCATATCCTGCACATCCTGCTTAGAGGTGTGTCCACTAGCGCCATATTGTGGAATTGTTTCCTTAGTTGACAGTGGCTAGTCAGAAATCCTACTGTTAAGCGTAGATTTTTCCTGGTCATCGCCAGATATTTCTTCGGCGCCAGCTTCCCAGGGTCGCCCAGGGTGATCCTGGCAAGATTGCATCCTTGCATCCTTTGATTTCATCCTATCTCTTTAGGGATTGAGCATGGGTGTGACGTTTGGCTAATTTCGCAATTGTCGAAGTCATCAGGCCGTAGGTGCCACTGGGTCCTAAAATTTTTAGTCCAGCCGCTTCCTTGGCTAAAGAGTCGGCAACGCGATTACCTTTACTCCTGTCGTGCCCTTTAATCCAACATCCAGGATAATGTTATTATCTACCGAGGCTTTGGCTAAATATTGGTGGCACTCTAGTGCTAGCCCTTAAGTAACACGATGTCTGTTCAAGGCTAATAGGGCTTGTCTCCTATCAGTGCAGATTGATATGTTTTTGCCAGAAATTCCTTTCCTGGTTATTTCTTTTGTGGCGATTGAGATACCAGCCAGTTCTGTTTGAACCACGCTGGTATTTTTCCCATTCCCCATCAAATTGATAGATTATGAATTAGAATTTTCGAAAAATGTTATAATTAAATGCAAGTAGGTATAATTACTAATTGAAAAATGTATGCATCACTTTTCATATATCATCTATCTATATTTATCTATTAAACAATTTCTATTTAATCCTCTTGAAAGTAGTATCAGATATCGGATATCACTTGTGCTTGCGTTTTTTCCAATCTTTGAAGCAGTTTTGATATGCACTTTTTGATATGTCCTTTGGTTTTGAACATTCTCTTCATTTTTTGAACATACCTCGTGAACAGTAAAATTATTTATCAGTTCTGACTACAGTTTCTCATCAAAAACATACTTTCTTCACATGCTGTATATATGGTGCCAGGAAGCTTGGGGTGAGGTTCGGCAGTTTTGGCAGCAACAACTACATTAGCGCCATCTTTGGCAACCTTCAAAGCAATGGCTTTTCCAATACCTCTGCTGGCGCCTGTAACAAATACGGTCTTCCCTGCTAGTTTCCTGAAAAGGGTAAAGAAAAATGAGTTCCAGATGCCTGAAAAAACGGAAACACAACCATAATTATAAATATTACTGCAATAGAATCAATAACTCTTTTGACTTTTGACAGTGGCTGTTAAATTTTGGAAGAAAATTAAAAATAAATAATGTTTGGTGGTAATAAAACTTCGTCCTAAAAGTATGTAATAATAATAATAATCGCCTTTATTTCTCATATAAATTATACACTTCATATTTGTGACCATGAGCTAACAAGCAGGAGACTTTCATATAGAAATATGGACTTCTGGCAGAATTTTCCAGGATTGGCTCACTCCAAGGCGTTTATTCACCCTTCGAAGCTTGATATCAAACAGTTTTTGGACTACAGTATGGATGAACTACGATGTCTAACAGGCCTTCTTACAGGTCACTGTCATTAGAATCATTATATACAGAGACTTGGACTGTCGGAAGACAGTGTGTGTCGCCTCTGTTCGGAAAATGATGAAACAGTAGAGCACATACTTTATGTCTGCCCCGCTGGGGAACGATAGACATTTGAGTTCCAGAGATAAAGAATTGTATATGGTGCATATTTGACGACGTTTGAAGAATTCAGTTTTAAACTTTGATGTCATTAGTGTTCCTCTGAATCTCATATTTACACGATATCAGATCTAAATGTGATTTTACAATACAAAGAGGAGGATTTTTTTGGGATTACAATTTTGTAAAACAAACAAGCAGCATAAAAAATATTTTCTTTTCCTTATTCAACAACCATCTAGTAATTAGTTTATTTGAAATTCTTTCGCGTCTACGAGTCCTATTAATATTTCGAACACTATATATAAGTCTTAGGCAAGACTTTTAAACTTTTTGTACTTTTGAAAACGACTTTTGATGCATATTAGGGCCGTAAACGCAGTCGGGAAATTAAAAATTGTCATTACTAACGATTTACACAGAAATAGTTTTATATGTACATCCACCCCAAGGCTTTTTATATGTTCTAAAACTAGAAAGGTGTACACATCTCAGCAACTTTGAAAACCAGAAATTAAAACTTCTTTGGAATATAATCTTCATATCTGGAGTACCGCCCCCAAGTATGCTCTTAGTTGTTGAGTAAAAATTTTACTTTCATCCCCTTCCATGCCGTTATAGGGCACTTCTGCCTTCCGAAGTTTGAATCAGAGGAGTGTTCCGAACAATTTCACCTGCAATACCAACTTTAGTAACAAAATTATGTTATTGGCAGCTATCACAGGTTTTTTTGATGGAAGTTCTAAAAATAGCCACTTTGAACCAATTCTACGTATGCCTATAACCATATATTTATAGCTGAAGTATAATTTTAATGAAAACTTGAGAACTATTTTTCAGGTAACTGACGGCTTTCAATGTTTATACATCATCAGCATTTTCTAAACCTTTAAAGTAATTAAATTAGTATAGAAGAAAAGCAATTGCAATAAAAATGTAGAATTAGTATCCCTTATAAAAATCCCTTTACGCCTCCCATGCTAATAGTTCGAGAATCACGCTAATTTATAATCCGTGGATTTTATGGATCACTGAATGATAGTCAAATGTTTGAGTTCATTATCCAATTATGAAAAATTAAATAATAAGGGATTACAATTTCCCATACAATTTCAACAAAGTCAATGATTAATTCGGTTTAAAAAAAACTCACCCAGTATTTATCATATTTATATTGGGGCACACACAGAATTTGATTAAAAAAGAACCAACACTGCAGCAGAGAAAAATTAAAGTGGACCGTGATTTATCTAACAATTCAACAAATCAACCAAATTCAAAGTTCACCAGCAACGCAAACAAAAACAAGTCCTGCGCGACGAGTATAAGTTTACTTATCATTTTTGTTTTCAATAATGTTGCTTTAACCACACTTCAACTTCATGTCTATCAAGCGTAATGAGGGATTCCCTATTGACTAGCCAGAGGCGCAGAACGTAGTTATTATTTAGGGACAACATATTTTATTTATGGCACATTGATATCTTTTATGTTTAGTGTAAAAGGTGGTGTTGATGCACTTTACTGAAGAGCATAAAAATAGTTGGGTCCTTATAATTCATAAATATGATTTTATATTTTCATCGAAACAAGCAATGCTCCCACACACCAGAACTGCAATACTCTTTTGATGCGCGTCACCAAATTGTCGTCGTCTAGAGACCAACCTTTACATATATTTTAAAGAAATAATCAGTTTTTATGGTGTTCGGAGAAGTGTATGGTTTTACCCTACGACCTTTTTAACTCTTTAATGTGACGAAAAAGTAGCTTCCTTCCCCTTTTCGACTCTTTAATGTGACAAGAAAGTAGCGTCATTCTCCTTTTAATGTATCTATTGAAAGTTAGATGAAAATGTTTTCATGTTAGAAGTAAATTGGTTATTGATAACGTGGAATTTTTCACCAATTCAATTGAACACGCGGTATATTCTTACAAAATCAAGTTTGGTAATATGAGTGATGAAAGTACTCTTTATGACGGAAACAATATATGCTCATAATTTTTCAAGGAACCCTGGTACAGTGTTTTGTAATTATATTCCATATGCCAAAAAAGTTCTACCTAACCTTTATTCTTTCGGTTCTCAAAGTCAAAATGTCAAATTCCAGTGAAATCGTCTCCGACAACCTAACATTCAGTAACCTCAACCATTTAATCGATCAATGGGTGATGGATGTCCAAGAAAACTATAAAACATTCCACCTCCAAGCAGGTGAAATGAATAAACTGATGTTCGACACATGCAATTACCACGAGCAGCTCAAATTGTTGCAAAGAAGGTTGATTTTGGCCAAATGTTTCCAAGGTCAAGTAGATATGAACATTGAGCTCGCACATTCAACACTGAATCAAATTGAAAGTAACCTAGTGGACCTTGAAAGGGATGTACTGTGTTGCTGCAGGGTTGCATCACATGATATTTACAGGTAAAAAATAACAACATTTTTAACTTCACCTTAAAGTTTTTCGAAACAAACTGTTTTATTGTCTTTCAAAATATTCAATCTACAAGATTAGTACACTTTTGCATGCGTTCAAACCAAAAAAGTCATTAGCGAGCAATGAGTTATCGATTTGATGTTTTTTTCAATCAATCATTTCATTCAGAGACCCTATTGGGTATAGAACAATTACAATGAACAATAAAAAAGTTCTTATCCTAAAAAAGAAACCTATAGTTTTACAATCAATATGCACAATCACAAATATATAAAAACATACACTAATTCACCATTGTTTCATATTAAAATACTCAGTGAGGTCGTAAAACAAATTAATTTGTAAATATTTTTTCATGGCGGTTCGGAATCTGGATAGTGTGGTCTCATTTCTAATATTTACTGGCAACTTATTCTAAGCCTTAATACCTATGGAAATTGGTCCCTTTGACACCAGATCAAGATTGTCAAGTCTGGGATAGATATTGCTGCTAGCTCTAGTTTGATATGGGTGTACATCATTACATTTTGGAAGTGTATTTCTGGTTCTGTAGATATACATACCACATCCAATAGATACAGTCTGGGGCTGGATTCGTCCTGTTGAAGGATAATGCGACGTTTTAGGTTGTTTTTTCCAATTTATTCTTACTTAGTTTTCGGTTCACAATGTTCATGCACAATCATATGTATTGCAGTATACGATGTGATAACGGATGCGAATATCTCACGGGTTGTCACGAGCAGATGTTCAATTCATTTTGATCACTCGATCTCCAGGAGGCTCATCAGTGACGGACGAACTTTTACATTTTTTCAATGTTTATCAGATAGTTCTGTATTTTATTGAATTGTATTTTTTGACTGGAGTTTTGCAACTGTATAAATTGTAAGTTTTTTATAAAGTCTTATCTATCATAGTACTTCTTAGATTTTTTTGGATTGATCATCTGTCTATCTCATAGGTGGCGTTTTCATAAATGTAATAGCCTTTACTTGTACAGTCTTTTGTGATGGAGATTCATTACCAAAAATTGTACAAAAAGATTCTATATATTCCTGTCAAGTCAGATCTTTTTGAAAATCCTAAAAATAACGTTAGACCTTTCCACGGTAGTTTGCATCTGTAGAGAAAAATTCTCTGAATGTGAAAGGACAGAGCTGAAGTTGAAGCGTTTACCTCATACTTGATGGTTTTTTCTTTCTCAAACTACATATTGATTTTTGTTTCTTTGAAACAAACAAACATATATTGTATTCATTTGGAACTGTATAAGTTCAATACTTTTTCTGTTATGATTGAGAATTTCACCCGAAATTACTAAAGGTACATTAAAAGAAAGTTTTTCGTGTGAGAAGCATTCATTTATTTAATATCTGTTTCAATTCAATTACGAATATTTGATGTATAAACTGAATAAGAGTGATTTCCATGTGATTCAATGTTCCAAAATGAAAGTACCTATTTGTTTTGGATCGATTTTTTTCTACATATCATCTAAAAACCAATGAAAGGAGTTTTTATTGAATTATTTTATTTTTTTCTTACTTTTTTTTTGATAAAATTCCAACATTTTCAATACGGTCCTGTTTTGAGGTTATATAATAATATTCTTTGTATAAACCTTGAAAACGATACTAATCTAGCATTTCCAAAGAACAGCAAAACTGATAATTTCTGTTCCGTCCACAAAATTTTTTCATTTTCCTACATCTAAACGTCTGAATTATTTGCGATAATTGTATTATTTATTTCAGAAAAAATACCTATGAAATTGCTGAACAAATTGACACTATGATGAATAATTTCAATCAAGCCCTCGAAATATTGGATTCCAAAGTTTACCTGGTAACGGACAGCAGCTCAGGAAACTCTGACATGGAAGGTCTTACAGCTTTACTACAATATTGTTATCGACAGCTTGAAAACATTGAAATGAAGACTTATCTTCTCAAAGACGCGTTAGCTGAAAGTTATTTTCACAAACAGCATGTACTACGATTGCTGAACTTGAAAGAGAACGATTAGCATAATTCCATGGATTTAACTCATCATTATTGTAAAAATGAAAGTGAAAATTATAAACCAAACAACATATAACAATTTTTCTCCGACCCTTCAACATCCTGACGTGAGATTCATTATATTCATATTTATATTGGGAAACATGGTTCATTTTTATTAGATCAGACTTCATTTTCGAAGCTTGTCAAAAAAAAATTCCTCAAATGGACTACTTTTGTTTCATAGAAGTCATCTGACATGTCCACATGGGTTTATTGCTTCTTCCTCTACTCTTCAACATTTCATATGATTCATATCTGTTTTTTAAAAAATTTGTTTTAAAATCTGTTTTTCCGTTAATCAGCTGTCGCCCCCATACGAATGACAACTCTCAGAAGTTGAGAAACTTGTGCGAGCTAAGGACTAACGAAGTTTTACCTTTTAACGTGCGATTCCTAATACGGTTGCAGAATCATCCCAGCTTCAACCAGATAAATTCTCTCGAGAAAAATATCTGGTCGAGGCGAGAATCGAACCCACGGCCTTCCGATCGTGAGTCGGGCGCACTACCACCGCGGCCAACTCCACAATCATTCCACCATTCAACAATCTTGTTTCCTGTACTAGTTTGTGAAGGTTCTTTGATGGAATGTTTGCCACATTTTTCTGGGCATAATTGAAATTTTCCATCGCATGCTTACCTCGGTTTCTTTCCTTTTGTTGCATTACCTACAACTAGGGTCTCCATTATAAAACCTTATTTTGTAAAAGTGTAGGCAGGCAGATAGGTCAAAAGTGACTGTGTCTATTCGAACCTCAGCTACAACCCGCGAAGATTTATTATGGCTCATATCAGTTTTTAAAGAAGCGGCAGACCTAATTTCCATATTAATGACCGCAGAAATCTTCCCATGTGACGGCATTCTGTGAGTCATCTGTACCTGACGATACAGCCATGCAGCGAAGAGGTTTGCAGACCTGTGCAGGCTGTTTCGTTAATAAGATCAGAAGTTGGACAATGTTGAAGCTCTCTCTTGAATAAATGTTACAGGGAGGACAGTTGGAGACATTTATTCAATGTCCATCTTCTCTGTAGACTCAGAGAAGATGGACATTGAATAAATGTCCGTCTTCTCTGTCCATATCCATTTTTGGTTACTCTAGGTCCATAGAATCTGACGAGTAGCTAGGTGAAGAAGAGCCCCACATCACCGTGACATAAAAATAAGGAAAGGTATCAAATTTAATAACACCTTAGTTTTAGCAGTAAAGTAGGTCAAGTACCATCAATATGTTTTGAACTGATAACAATTATTGACGATTTTTCGATAAATGACCTTTATTTATTTGATTTTCTTTCATTCATTTACATATTTACCAAAATAATGAAAACATGTAGTTCAAATTGGGACAGACCTTAAATTATAAGGGATGTTCACTTTCTTAAACTCCTAAACAATTTTCCCTTCCCATAGTATAACTCACCAGAAAAAATTGTTTTCATAATTTTACGAAATACACTCCTAAATTTATCCTGACAGCAGATTCAAAATGGAATGCTCAGATATCGCTAAATTCAATCAATAATGCCGTGTTCGGAAAATCTATGGGAAGATGAAAATCAGAAAACATTTAACTCGATTAAAAAAGTTAATGTGACAGTCAAAAATCACTTTGATGTGGAATTTCCACTTGAAAGTTACAAAACCTTGACACGTGTTTCGCTATACAATCTTAGGGCGTCACAATACTGTTTGTACAAATTATGTGTCGTGCTTTTATAATAATTTGTTGAAACAATAAAGATAAAACTCCAGTGTCAGATAGATTGGGAGTATACTGGAAGAACTTTTTCCAAAAGTATAAAAGAACATAAGAGTAGTTTTTGAAAGGAAACACCAAATCAACATTTGCGAATCATTTTTTAGCAGAGGGACACGAGTTCAATCAAGACTATAAAAAAACAGTTTATCATACAGAAATTTGTCAGGTGGTAATAGTCATAATGATTCAAATTACTATGAAAGCACGACACACAATTTGTTCAGTCACTATGTGACGACTGAAGATGTTATTGTAAAGCGAAACACGCGGTTTTGTAAACTCAAGTGGAAATCTTAATATTAAAGTATGTTTTTTGAATATGTTCTAATGGATTTTTATCATGTACCTATCTGTCAGTTTCATCATATTTTCAAAGTAAATTTAGTTCAACATAATTTCAAAAGACTAAACTCGGAAAATTTTCCCGTTTTTTTTTTGGAACATGGCTGAAAAAAAGTTTCTGTTAAGTTTTTATATTTATTTTAATAATCATATTTATATACAAATGTACTCATTTTATAAATAATTTTATACCACTTCAGTTGTTACAGTACTATTCAAACGAGCAACTGAAGTTTTACATACTTCGATATCAAGGGTGAATGCTTTATGGTTTCAATAGAATAATGAGCTACCAATATAGAGGTACAGACTTTCACAATTTCGCTCCGACATTCTTTCGTCTCAGCATAATCGTTAAAAGATTCAAAACTATCTAAATGCCCTTAGTTCAAGTTGAGACGTGCGAATATCATAGGAGCGCACAATTTATTTCAAACTTGTCTTCATACATACAAAGTTTGTCCAATAACTATAATAATAGTAATATTCCCAGATACATCTCAGTCATAATTTTAAATATAAAAGTTGCCAATATTTGTGTCTAAATCGGATTATCTCCTAATCACGTCACTAAATTTCACATTTATAAAACATTTAAAAGCATCAAATGCTCTTCTACTCCGTCAAATAACATTTATTATAAAAATCTACTTTCTCTAAACCTTTATGTAGCACTTTTGTCTAGATAATTCTTAGCTAAACAAAATAATAGTTTTCTTTTTTTGGTAAGCTATGAGGAGGTCCCAAAATCATAAACTACAACAACTCAAGGTTGAAACTGGTACTTTTTGGGAAAGTTCTTGTGTTTCATGTTTTGAGAGGTGTCAACTCTATACTTTGAGTTGTGAATTTCCAAATAGCTGCCAAACATAACAGATGATATTCTAAGGAGGTTGAAGTCAGTTCAACAAATATAAGAAAATAAATTATAAAAGCAGTTGAGCATATTTTCTTTTGTTGATGATGAACTATGTTAGTGCTATAAAATTGCAGGTGAAAGTATTAATCAAGCAAGCCATACATCATGTTGATTCAAAATAATAAAAAAAAAATTGAATTTATTTTTCTAGACAAAAGGAGAATGTGGATCAAGAGCAATGTTCTATTAATTTTTAAATCTCCGTTTGGCACTTTTTACAAACCCTGTATTATATGAGCATTCATTTAAAAAAAAAAAGTAAGATGCCTTTATATGCCACAACTTTGTAAAAATTATCAAATGATTAATAATTTGATTAATATTTCACCTATATGGTTATTGTCTAACATTATATGAATAATTGCAATTGTTATAATAGTTTAATATAATATAGTAAAAATTTATAAAAAAAATCACAAATTCAGATCTAGTTTTGCAAGTTTTTTTAATATAAGAAAACTGCTGCAATCATTTCTATACCTATAAGAACTATAAACAGCCATAGTTGAAACCATTCACACACAAACAAAAAATAGAGAGCAAAAACATTAAATTTTCACACCAACAGAATTTGGTTACCAGTCATTTTGATTGAAACAAAGAAACTCCCGTCACAATTTGAAGGCAATTTTTCCTTGTGCCAAACATTCTCCAATTTTATTAAGTATAGGCGAAAAATTGTGGAAAAATGAAAAGAGCTATTGTATATACTACATTTGAATCAGTCATTTGAGAAACCACATTTATCTGCAAACTTAAACTTGTTAAAAAACAAGAATATTTCCAAACCTGACAATTTTTGAAAGCAAAAGCATTTCATTAGGTTTGCAATGGTTTCTTGAGGCGATACAGGTGGTGAAACTTGTAGATCTGATTATAATTGAAATTGACTGAAAAAACGACAATAGATTTTTAATGGAGAAATATAAACGAAAATTTATATTTATTTTTTCAACCAAAAATCCAAACTTGTGCGATCGAAGAATCAACGAGGTCGAGAACCATATTCTTTATTATTTTCATAGTTGAGGCCGTTTCAAAATTGCTTTTTGGGTCTAAAATAACCTCCACAATATTTGTGAAAATTGTAATAATTTCTCATATGAGAAAAAAATATTTCAAAATAAAATTTTGAAATACCACGTTGGACATTGAATTATATCCAAACAGTCATTTATGCAAAATACCACACTCACAGAGGTTAGACTTGGAGAAGTTTGTCATTCATCCAGAAGCAGGACCATGTTGAAATTATTCAAGTAGGTCATCTACAATTATTATTATTTTTTTGTTAAACCTTGTTAGAGTTTACTATGCCACTATCAATCTATAAGCTTAAGGTAGTACTACCGATATCACAAAAGTCAAATGTGTACTTTGTGAAGTTCGATTTAGATTTGATAACTTATGACTGTGTTCATATCATTTGAATTCTTTTCTATATTAATTATGATGTTTTTATCAGTTACTGCTTGAATGTATTCATACACTTATGCTTTTTAACTGAAAAATAAAGATTTATTATTATTATTTATTATAGTATTTATATGTGGCATCACCACGTAAAAGCAAAAGAGATAGATCTTAAGAACATGCGCAAGAATCTATAGCGCAAGCATTTATTTATTCCTAAAAGTTATTGATTAGGCATGTTTATATACCAAAATGTCTGAATTGAATTTATCAAGTTTCAAATAAAAATATTTCACTGGAAAGGTAAAAGGGTTATCGATAAATAAATATGTGAAACAATTTGCATTAGCAAAATAAAATAAACTCTGTGAGGTCCCATAAGAATCGATGGTGAAAGTAAACATTTTTTTATATTAATATCTTTTTTTCAGTTCCCTGTAGACCTCTCAAAATTCAACTGATTCATAATCTTATAATAATGTACCAATAAGGCAATTTTCATTAAATTTTGAACGCTGATCCTAAAACCTTTAGTACTACTACCTTAAATGTTGCCTCTGTCACAACAAATGGGGTCAACGAAATATCTTGATACACACTAGATTGAATATTGTGATAAAATGAATACAACACAGTAAAGAATTGCCTTCACAAACTAGTCAACAAAGGTTCTTTATTAATTTCAAAATCAAAAACAACTGCGCATGTCGCAAAAGAAACAAACAAATCAAAACCAAATCAAGTCGACTAAGAAGAGATTTTGAAAGTTATCACAGATCACTTCAATCGCAAACGTAACAAGTAAACAGTCTACGAAGCACTCACCCTCGATATGCAGACAGAAAACATAGACCTTATACATATCACTGAACTGTTGACAATTTTTTGACTTTGTTCTTTGTTGCTTCTCTGCAAAGCGTTTGGCAGACGTTGATCCAGGTGTGTTCGTAGTCGCTGGCAGCATGAGATGATGAGGGAGAACTGTGCGAGATGCATTCGCAAACCAACTTGGCCAGTCAATCAACCAAGATGCCTTGCGAGACACCAATCAGGGTCTCTTTGAGGATCTTGAAGGAGGGCCGGTTTTCCGGGAGGTGACTCCAACATTTTCGCATAACCTACAAGAAATAGAATTAAAATTAAAGGACAAAACAGTATTCAACCTCAGTAAAATTTTTAATCTATAATCATTTTTTTTCAATTATCTGAATTTCCTTTCAAGAGAAAACCCATATAGTGAAGGCACTGTAAAATAAAAAGTATATTCCTCTATTCTTCAATTACTTACAAGGATGAATCGCAAAACTGTGAAGTAATGCAAGAAAAGGTAACTGTTTCTGAGAAGTGACAAAATTTTATTATTGTCAACAAATCCATTCCAATTGAGGTATATTTTTAATTCAAATTTTGATTGGTTCTTTCAGATCATTTCAAAATGAGATAATAAATTATCTGGATTTCACCATGGATTCACAAAAAATAGGTGTAATGACTCTGCTCTGTGCAAGTGCATTTGATTAAGCAAATCATAAGATACATAAATTAGAAAGCTAATGTATTAACAATTTTTTTCATAGGAAAACAAACAAATATTACTGGAGTTTTATCCCAAACATCAAACCGTTGTTTTCAACACCTCATTAATACACCAAAGGTTCCAAACAGTGCATCACAAGAAAACAAATACTTCGAAATGAAATCTCAAAATATTTATCTATCTCAACTTACCTACGCAGTACGTTATGGTTAATTCCTGCCGAAAACAGCTACTTCCCCGGCTAATACCACGCCGGACATTGAATTATATCCGACAGACATTTATGCAAGATACCTCACAGTGGTTACTCTCACAGATGTTTCTTGTTCATCTAGCAGCAGGACCACGGTGAAATTAATCAAGTTGGTCTCCTACAGATCAATTTCAAGGTATTAACTTTCATCAATGCACTTGTGAGAGGTAATACCTACTATGTTATATTTTTATAATAACACTGGTTCCAGGTCTACAGAGATACTTGACTTCAAAGATGTATTCAAACACCAACTCAATTATGGGAAAACAGAAGTCAACTGAATTGTTTTTGTGATGCACTGTTTCAAACCTTTGATGTAGTAATTAACCTGACATGCTGAGACCTACCATGTTTGATTTCAAACGAAATTAGCCAGAGAAAGTTTGAAAATATGGAGGAAAAATTTCTTTCACTCACATCATACACTTCTTTGTAACAGGACTGCGGTCGTTCCAAAATCATCCCTCTTTGAACACGTTCGGCAACTTCAGTGTTCGTCAGTCGTCCGTATGGCATCTTACCACAGGTGAACACCTCCCACATCAGAACACCTGAAAAAAAAAATTTATATTTGTCACAGTAAAGACATTAGACCTCAACATTTCAATTTTATTCAATTATATGTAGCACACAATTCTACAAAATATCTAGGCATCAAATTTTCAAATAAAACCAAATTACGAAGCAGTAAGACAAGTGTCTTATTCCAAAACATCGATGTCCGCCATTGAGGATAAGTATTCCATGTGAGTGAAATCTTATCCTTTCATATACTACATTGTGTAGCAATCCGATGAATGATATCTGATTCAATTCCGTAACAAATGTTTGGAATACAAACTGAGTGGATAAAGGGCTTTTTGTATAACTGTATTCATATAAAAGTATTTTTCTTTAGTGTAATTCAATGTTTATATGAAAGTAGCTGTTTCGGAAGGGGTTCTCTTCCAGTTTTTGTCTAAAACTTACTCTTTTGCAGGATCTACACATCTTCAAATATGGTTAATTTTCTAAAATTGAATACTTCTTTCCTTTCTTTGGAAGATTCCCACTTTTTTTGTATAAAGATGGAAAAGTAGAAAGCCAAAACCTTCATTTCCCAAAAATTAATCTCTTCTAAAAATATACTTCCATTTTGAGTAAAATTATTCTATTCTCATTCAATACTCTCATTCATGATAGTTAATTTTGAACAGGGTACTTACCATAAGCCCAAACATCTGATTTTGATGAAAATCTTATATAATTCAGCACTTCAGGAGGAGCCCATTTGATAGGAAATTTTGTACCGCCGGAAGATGTATACTGGTCATCTAGAACATATCGAGCTAACCCAAAATCTGCTACTTTAACCAAATTTTCACTTCCGACTAAACAATTCCTGGCAGCCAAGTCTCTGTGGATGTAGTTGTGCCTTTCTAGATAGGCCATTCCCTTACAAACCTGTAAAATGTCACCATTATTTTTGACTGTTGTCAGGTTTTCAAAATAATCAGGCCTTACTGTAAAACTGAGGATATCACTGTCTTTTTTCAAATAGTTTTATTTCAATTTCATCCGGAAAGTTTTTCCAAAAAACTAAAGTGTAAAAACAAATGTAAAAATGAGTTACTTATCATTGAGACATGTCACCATTCCGTTCAATTTTTTTATAAACTTATAAACAATAATAAAATCTGGGAATCTTCCAAAGAAAGAAAGAAAGCAATCCATTCTAGAACTCATTACAAAGTTGTGTAGATAATGCAAAGATGTCACTTAACGATATATGTTTCAATTCCCTAAGGAATGTTTGGAGTACAAACTGAATAGGAAAAGTGTTTTTTGTAAAAATCATATAAAAGTTGTTGTTTCGAAAGTATTTGTTTGTTTCGTTAATATGAAAGTTCTGGTCTCAAAGCCTGTCTTCAAAATATTCGACCAAGCTGTAATACGCTTTCAAGAGCAAAAGTTCTTTTACACGGTTACGGAATACCTTGTAGTTCACTATACTTTTCATTTCGGTAGGTAAATGTTTGAAAATCTTCCGACTCTCAAACAAAACAGAATGTTTTGTTGACGTTGTTATTGGAATTATTGGGATTTGTTCAACGATCCACAGGCACCTTACAGATACATTTAAAATATTGTATTGTTCTTTCGTTAGCTCGGTCTTGGAAAGTAATTGCGTGATATGGAGTCATCAGGAAGGTATATTGAGAAGGTACAAAACAAGAGGTCCAATTATGAATACTCCGAAATTCTGCTACATTTGAATTTATCTACTTTGGAGCACCGCCAAGCTGAAATTGATTTACATTTACATATGTAACACAACTGATATTACTTCAATGAAAATTCAGAGTTTCAGAGCTGTTTGAAGTTCCTCACCATTGTAAATCAGGTCAAAAATCAGGTTAAATGTATTGACCTACTATGAAGAAACTGCTGATTATTATTATTATTAATTAATTGATTTTTCATAATTTTGGTGTTTTATATTATTGTTCAATTGTTTATTTTTCTCTCACACTATTTATATATTTATTGTAAAAGGGCAAGTCCGTAAATAAATAAAATAAATAATTCTGAGATGCTTTTGAAAAATTCTTATCACATTGACTCTCACTTACCTGAATACACATGTCGAGTAACAACCCTTGATTGATGCTCAGACTCTGTTCGTGCCTCCGGAGGTAATTCAATAATGACCCATGCCTCATGTATTCAGTGACAATGTAAATTGGCCTATTTTTCATACTGCATATACCGTACAGTTGAACTAAATTCGTGTGTTGTAATTTGCTGAAACAGACAAAAACCTAGCTTTAATATGAAACGTATGGCAGTCTTGAAAGTTTCGCCTGCTATTTTGAAATCAGAAGTAAATAAAGTCATATCATAAGACTTTCAAATAAACCCTTAATAATAAACATCATATGAAAATTTCAATGTAAGTCCAATATAAAACATTTTTTTAATGTGAATCTTTCTATAAGAGATGGACTGTAACTTTATATTTACTCGTACAAACTTGAAAATAGTGCAAATATAATAATGAAAAATACCTTTTGAAAACAGAAAAACTTCTTCGTCACTTACTGATAGAAAGATAAATATCTTTTTTTAAAAGAATGAGCTTAGGAAAAACTAATTTACATCAGCAATAATAGTTTTTTTTTCAAGAACAAAACACAAGCACTACAGGAAAATCGAAAGTATCGATTCACGTTGGATTTGAATTGTTGAAGATTAAATTCATTTGGAGAAACGTTCTCAGGAAGTTCTCTTATCGAAAGAGTTCTTAAACAGTGAAGTTCCAGGTGTACTGAGTTGAACCTTAAAACGATGAGCAGCCACAGTCCTTCAGATATTTCTGATAAGTACCGCTCTTGCTGGAATCAAATGTGCCAAGTCACTTGAACACCTCCCATGTTGATGAAACAATAAAAATAATAAACAATTAACTCACGTCATAACTTTAGCCTCGTCTATGAAGTCCTCCTCAGACATGCTCCCTTCCTTCATCATTTTCACAGCCACATCAATCGATCCTCGCCATTTACCTTTTCGCACTACACCGAACTGTCCCGAACCTAGTTCTTCCAACAACACCAGGGCGCTAGGGTCAATTTCCCATTTATCTGAAAAATAAAAAAACAATGATAATAATGTGATAAAAAAAACTATATTTAGAGTGTTACCACTCACATTTATTTCTACTGAATCACGAAAACAACAGAGACAGAGGGTAAACCTTCATCTAGTCTATATTAACCAATTAATATATTCAAAACGAATGTGATAGTATATTGTCTAACACTACAAAAAAGGCTCCTTGTATGTATTGCACAGTATACTTTTTCTGGGACTGTAAAATGAAAATTTTAAAAATGGATTTTTTTCAATAGAGTTTCAAACATTTGAAACTTTTATTTTCTCTTCTATGATGATAATATTAATTGATATTGTACCACAACCAATTCTCGAGTCTTATATATTATAATTTTCTTTTTATTGGATTTGTAATAATAGAAGGAGACTGAAGACTCAATAAATAGGGCTTACTTTTCAAATTTTGATAGCGGTTTCATTTTTTGTTCATCAATCAATCAAGATATGCTTTATTGTTAGAAGAACATAATTCTCGTAGACAAAGCTATACAATATGATTTGATCAAACAATTAGTTAGATTACATCTACGTAAAAAATCTCAATATCTGAATCCTAATACTAAATGAATAATAAATTGAGAATTATACATGTTTTACAACTCTACACATGATTTTTATATTCATATATGGATACATGCTGAGATGTTTTATGAGCAGCCCACGCAGTAAACATACAGTTATGAAGATAATTAGTCAAAAGTGGAGAAAAAATATTCATTAAGGGTATAAGGTGAGATTTCAAGCAGTAGTTTTTTGGACGATTTTCTGAAACAGTTAATGCATGAGCTGTCCTTTATAACTGTCGGAAGATGGTTGTAGATTTTAATCCCATTATAGATGATTGAATCCTTTATTAAATTGCTGGAGGGAATAGGCAGTCTGAAGAGAGAGATTTGCCTCGATTCACGATGATGTCTATTCTTGTGTATGAGGCTCACCGTCTCAAGTATATAAAGTGATGTTACTGTTAATATTTTATGATGCTTACATAATTTTCTACAAGAGCATCTTCGATCCACTTTATATATATATATAACTCAATGCTCTTTTTGCAGAATGAACACACTATCAAATAAGTAGGTACTACAAACACCCCAGAAGGCGATTCCATATCTCATTTGTGATTCAATCAGAGCGAAATAAGCAGTTCTCGCCGTGGAACTACCCAAGTCATTGGAGATTATATGAACTGTGTAACAACTTGATGCGAGTTTTTTACACAAAGATTTTATGTGACATTCAAATTTCAATTTATTGTCAATTTCGAACCCAAGAAATTTCGTTTGTGATTTATTAGTTCATTTGACATTGGTATATCAGGAAGACTGCAGCGGAAAGTGACTATGCTAGTTTTATTCAAGTTCAGAGCTAGAAAGTTTGTTTTATTTTGCACATATACTTTTCTATTTTATTAAACAGTTGCTGTGGTACTTTACTGTGCCACAGTACAGTGGTGTCATCCGCAAAGAGGGTAATTTTTGCTGAGATGTTCAATTTAGTGATGTCGTTTATATACAGTGAGAAAAGTAATGGGCCAATAACCGAGCCCTGAGGGACGCCATATTGTATGTGTCCTACTTCAGACTCCGTACCATGTCGAACGATTTGTTTGCGCTGTTCTAAATGAGCTTTTAACCATTTCAAACTCCCATTTCTGACTCCAAAGAATTCGAGAATCAAGTCCTCAATATATATTTAAGCTAGGGCAAAATCATGTCCTAAATATTTGTCATAGTCAGTAAATAAGTAACTTATTGAAGGCTTATAATTTTTTTCGAATATTCATTGTGCATGCAAGATAATATTTCCACCAAATTTTCTAATTTCTCTTGTTACTCTTTGTTTCCTAGAAGTGAAAGAATATGCATGCATTAACCGCCAATTTTGTCAATATATTTTTATAACTCCATTCTTTTTCATATTTTTTATTATAGCACCTTGTGGATTATGATTCCTTTTAATTCAAAATGATTTCATAGGGTATAATGAAGATTTCTGTTTCAATATAGATTAATAAAAAAAATTTAGTTAATCACCAAAAAATGAGTGTAAACAACAGTATTTCTGTAGAAAGTATATTCTCTTCAACTTACCGTGACTGAGACCAGCAGTGGCTGGAGTAGGCCTATCATGGGGACTAGTCTTCAGGCGAGATGCCAAACCTCCGCTATTGTGTTTATGATAATTTATCAAATCAGGAATGGAGTTGCAGCAGTGTTTTTCGGAAAGGTAAAACTCTCCTCTCGCATTCTGCTTGATGTGGTAGTGTTTGACGTGGGGATGAGGTCTGAAAGTACAATTTCTTTTGAATCTGTTAGTTCGATATTGCATGAACCAATAAATATGCTATTTTAATACATTTTTATACATTTTGCTACCTTTTTCATTCTCAAAGTATTGTGATCAAGTATTGTGACCAAAAAAATAATCAATTCAATATTACCGACTCATTTTTATATCTCATGAAGACACAAACTTGGTTGATGAAACATATGTCGAGAAGAGTATTGCAGGTCTGGTGTTTGGAAAAAGTGCTTGTTTTGAAATAATATGATTTGTATAAAATATTGGGAATTGAATAGGTGGCTCTATATGCATTTGAGCTTCTGTTTCTCTCAAGTTTAAAAGCATCTTATCGAATGTTCTGCAAGTATTATAAATAGAGTTTAAACTGATATTAAAATTCTATTACTCCAATATTAAAGTAAACATTTTATATTGTAAAAATATAGGTTGATATAAGATTGATGAATTTATTTGCATATCACAAAAACATACAGTGCCTCCATTTCAAAACTTCCCACCCCTAATACTTCGTTTAGCAGGGAGAATTTGTCGTAGGCAAAAAACACGTCAATTGAGATATCCAGGGGGAATTTTAAAACCAGTGCCAGTGGTATTTTAAGTTTAACCACCTTACCTCTAGCTACCTCCCCTATATCCTTTATCCTTGGAACAAATTTTCAATACTCAGTTTTAAATGCTTGTTTACAATATAGAAACAAATTTAAAAGTATTCATTTTGTGCCTGCAGCATTGACTATCAAGGTCTTGTGTTCTGAGTAGACTATGTTAATAACTCACCGAACTACCTAGTAGGTATCATGACTATTCGCAATCCCATCAGTCACGTAATATAACAGAATCAATCTACCTCAAACTAGGTAATTTCTTGTAAGAAAAATATCAAATCAAAAGTGGATTCGAACTTTTTAGATTATGAGTGGGACACAGTACAACTTGCACAAATTCACTGCCGAGTCAAACTTCTATGATTTTATTGAAGTTTCAGCTTGTTTAGAAAAGTAGTTATTGCAATAGTTGAGTTAATAAAAACTCACATTTTTGTGTAAAGTGATAAGGTGTAGAGTCCTCTTGTTGATGAATTCCTGACAACAAAACAACCTTCCTTGTCTTCGTGTTTCAGTAAGGATTCAGATCTCTGTCTTGACATGTCATACACATACCAACTGTAAAACAATAAAAATGAGTTGTTATAGAATGGGAATGAACCACAGATATACCGTTATTAATTATCACTTGGAGTTAAAGCCAAGGAAATAATTCTGTATGCAATAACTTGTTCATGAATACTGGTTAGAAATACTTACTCATATTGCTGCAACCCCAATGACTCTTTTTCTTTGACATAGTTGCTTGGAATGAAGCCAACATTCCTAAATAGAAAATAAGGTGTTAGCCACTCGCATCTCTACAATAAAGAACATAAAATCATAACATAACATGTTCATTAGAGAGATTATATTTGGCAGGTAAAAGTTACTGATTTAAATTGTCTCATAACTGTAATGAATACTTTGAAAGACAAATGTTTCTCAACAAAAATCATTGACCATTTGGCAATCCACATAGTTGTTGTGATTGAATAAACTGTGTATTGTGTTTTTTATGATTTATATTGTACTGTTGTTGAATTTTTCATGAAATTTATTGAATTATCGTACACTCAAGCGTTTTGCGTAGCAAGACTGAAAAATATGGATTAGAACACATTTCAGTTGATTGAACTTGGTACACTCTATTATTTTCAAATACTTATGAATGTTTTAAAGAAATATTTGTTTTAACAAATGAATTTTCAAAGTCACGACTGTGCCTCAAGTTTATACTATTATTGTAAATCAAAATAGTACGGGACTTACAACACTACCCTGAGGTGCACATCAAAAGGTCAATACATTTTGAATACCTTTTTCCCACTTTGCTGATAGCCTCCAATTATGTGTTAACTTCTCATCAACTGTTTCAACTGCTCTACAATAATGTAGATGAGCTGCCAAGTTTGGCAGATATGAAATTTAATAGTTTGATAGTGATGGGCACAGATTCCATTTATTACAAATAGTTTTGTCAAAATAAAAACCTTTCAATTGTTTTTTCGAGAGGTAGTTTGGATGTGATTTTATTGAGGACCAATAAAATGAAAATCATATAATAACTGTTTTGCAGGAATTATATGTAACAAAAAACATTTTCCATTATTGAAAGCCAAAAGCATTCATATTTACATGAATAAAAGAAAATATTGAGAAGTTTTTCATTTGATACAGTCAGTATCGGTGTGCAGAACAGTAATATTAAATACTAAAAGAACGTTTTGAAAAAAAAATCATTTATATTTGGATCCTATTTTTTGTCTTTTACTTAAGTTTCTGGTCATGGAATCAGGAATGCTGAGCTGAAAAAACTTCACAGCATAGTTACCTCTTCAAAAAGTAAATTAAGTATATGGGGGTTTCACGAGAATGGTATTTTTGAAATGATAATTATTTGATAGACATGAATCTAAAGCTCTCTTCACATTTTTTACTTTGAATACAGATACAATACAGCTAGTTTCATGTCGGATAGGAAAAATGCCGCCTTAGAAGGTATTGAACTAGTTAGACGACAGAATAACAGATCAAGAACAAGATGGAATATGTATTTACCAAATGACTATGTTCCACAAAATAATTATGAAAACAGAAAAGTTTATTCAACTCTAGAGTACAAAGCATCATCATGCATCTAGAGAGGTCAAGGTGATAAATAACAGAAACAAAGGGGAAATGTTTTAAACAGAAATGGAATAGTGGCAAACGTGGTGTAGTTTGACAAGAATGAACAAAGCACCAAGTGGATATATCAGATGAAAAATGAATGGAAGACATTAAACAACCATAGTAGTATTATTGGTTTATTAGATAGGCAGAAAACAGGTGAAGGGCGAGACCAAGAAGGTCGAAGAGAGATGGGTTAGATGAGGTTTTGCTAAGGAAAGTAGTATAAGGTTGCGTTGCCTTCATTCCTTCAACCAAGTTTTTCAGAAATCACTGGAAAACCTGGTTGAATGGAAAAAACCCTCAATGAAATAGTATTGGAGACCATTACAAAATTTAACTAATCTTCATTAGATCAATTTTGCTGAAAAATTAATAATTTTACATGCAGTTACAAGAAAGAAACCTGTCATCATCCTAGAAAAACTCACCCTCTGGCATCTTTCACCTTCCACCAGTGCTCTTGAGAATCGCTCAAAACTTCATACTCTTGGTTTTTCTCAAGCGACAGATCCCCGGTCTCTATTGCTTTATAATTGTACAGAGCCACCACAACTTTGGGCTTTACGGGGGCGGAAGCTCCTTCGTCCGGCATTGGGGGAGGTGTCGGTTGAATGCCTATGAGAAAAAAATATAGACAATAATAATGAAAGAAACAACTTTAAAATATTGCAAAATAGTTTCAGAATGATGAGAGGAGTTTGTAACTACCCTTGTTTCGCGAGTTCCACCCTTCCCAGTGAGATAAAGAAATATGTTAAAGAGTGCTATTGATGTTCGTTTTGCACCAGACGCAAGACATTTGTGAGTACTGGTTCCTTGTGAGTTTGCGTGTGGTGTGTGGTAAAGAAAATATAGGAGTGGCTAAGGTTTCGGCAACGGAAATGAAGCTCCTTTCTAAAATAAAAGGTTTCAACGTAACTAAACACAACAGTGAGTAGCGTGAAATATCAATCAAGTACATACTCAGAATGTAATCAATCATGACAAAGTGGTTCACAGCCTTTTTTGTTCACAGGCACAAGAAAAGGTAATGTAAATTTAGACATTTGACATCTTAACTTGACAATTGTTGGCAATGGTCAAATCCTCATAATTCTACCGCCCATGGAAGAAACAAGTATTTTTTATCGATCTCTTGAATGAAACAACTCATTAAGTCAAATTGTTTTCAGTCATTACCAATAAGTATAATAAATTAAAATGGCTCATCTTATGAAGTAAGTACTTTTTTTAAAGGCAAAATTATTCTCAGACACAAAAAAACCTTGGTAATATTCCGATTTCGTGTTTTTATTCATTGATCATTAGAAGAGACCTTTATATAGCAAACGCCAAACGTGATGGCGAGCGATCGTGCTGGTATAGACTCTCCCAACTAAATTACCATTGGATTACGGCCGGCCTTGCCGGCCGGTGTCGTTCCTATAATCAGTTTTAATTAGGGTAGCAAATGGAATAGGACTTCTTTGTAATTTCTTTTCACATTTCATTTAGTATTGTAGGTAGTAGCACATTTCATTTAGTATTGTAGGTAGTAGCACAATTCATTAAAATGTTATATACACTTAACCAAAAATGAACTTTTGTTAGGCGATGACATTTTTTTCTGAAACAACACAAATTATTCAGACAATGCCAAACGCCAACAGCATTGAAGGACAAGTAATGATAAGCCCCTGTACAGAGCATTTGTATATCTTGCAAGAACTGTAGTGGGGGTTACATTGAAAATGAGTATGTGTGTATGGAGGCGGGCTCGACATCACGTTTGGCGTTTCACATTCTTGACTGTATATCTTTTGAACGACATGTGATTTATTTCTTTTTTTGGTTTTTTCTGTTTACCTGATGTGAAATTATATTTCTATGTAGGTATTGAAAGTGCGATATCTTTCGATATTGATATTATTATCACTTGTCCATATATCAATGGATAAAATAAGTTAATTTTGAACTGATCCTATCGTTTTTGAAAGCCCATACAATAATCTTTGCCATCATATTGAAATAACTTATGTTTTCATTATCTTTATTTCAGGAAACATAGCTTCAAAATAGCCGCCAGTTTGGGCACGTGGTAAAGCCGGCCCTGTTCTGCGCTCCCTAAGACCATGCGCCTGTATGCACTGCACAGTAAAGCCGGCTCTGGAATTTACCATAATTTAAATTAACTCATTAAATCGCATTTCGCATTTAGAGTCTATTAAAAACTGAACAGAAACTTTCAAAATTGTAAAAAACGTTATAGGTAGGTATTTATCAAGATCGTTACACCCAATTATCGAGATCCCTATACAAGATTAGCGTTAATAGATGTCAAACAATGAAAAACCAAATACCTACCTAACTACCTACCCAGCTGCCGAAAAAATACCAGAACCCACCCAGTTCCCAGAACTACCCTTAGTCATCCCTGTCTCAGGCTAAACAAGTTGAGTAACATTTCATTCATTCGGCAACAAAAATAATAACCCGCACCCAGACATTCAGTTAATTGAATGCAAATGCAATCCACCACAAGACGTTACGACGACCAGACAACACCTGTGACCATGAAGGCGATCGCTAACTTTTCTGGGAATCGAAGAATGTAAGTTTCTTGGAGATCAGAGGAAGTGCGCCTATCAATTTGTTAACTGTGAAAATAAAAGCTACTTTCTACGAGTTTCAATGCGGCGTTCCCGTATACGTGGATGCTTTACAAAACAATAATAGCATGTGCGGTGATTATCTATAATCAGAATACACCTGTTTACACTTCACTATTTCACTAGGACTGAATTCTAAAGGATTGTTTAAAAAGCAGGAAATAAAATACTTTCAAACAGTTCATATGCGAATTAGTTAACACAATTATTACAGCCTACTCAACTCTTTCATGGTTGGAAAGTCGTAAATTTCCTTCAATATTCCTTTCGATAGACATTTTGAATTTCTCTCCGTCTCTCTCATATTTAGACAGCAAATCTGACACCGTTTCTAGTTAGCACTTGTTAACAATGGAAACTCACCTGTGGCACTCCGAAAAACGTTGACGAGCATGTCGAACTGCATTTTGACCATTTGAAACACTTTGTTTTTGTTATGACACTAACATGACGGATATGAAGCACGTAGATAGGAAAAGTGAAGATTGCAATGACTGCAGACAGCTGCTCTTCTAGCACCAAGGTAACTACAACTTGTTCACCGTTAATGTTAATATTGTTAATAGTTCTTAGTGGAAGGTGACAGGTAGCCCAGGTAGAGTGAGGAACCGCTCGGGTATCTTCGTGAACCATGCGGTTGTTATATAATGGTTTGTATGGAGGAGAAAGAATTGATTATTTGTTGAAATTTTCAAAACTGGTGCCGATAGGTATTCTTATAATAATAAATAACATGTCCAAAATTAGTCATTTCAAAAACTTCATTTATCTTCGACGATGAGAGTACGAAGATTCCCGATTTTCCGGATCTGCAAGAAAACAAGTTGGGGTGGACAGGTTTGTGAAGTAATTCATCGGATATTAACCGTGTTCCAACAGAAATGTTTTCAATGGTGAATATGACTAGAATAAATTTAATGTCTCTCATATAAAACATGTTCTTTAATTTCTTGATGCGGAAAATACTCCCCAAATAGACCGTGACTTTGAATTCTGTCGAGACTGCTGATTACCATAATATTTCCAAGGTGACTCGGTGAGTTATCGACATAACCTACTCAGAAGACGAGGCTGATGATTATTATAGTCGATACCGTTGACACAAAAAAAATCACTAAAATCGGTAATAATTCCTGAAAAAAATCAAATTTTCACTTCAAAGAAAAGGTATGGACCTTTTCATTCATTGTAACGAATAGGCAATTGAAACAGTCTTTGACTAGTTTACCATCCATTGCAATCAGTCAATCCGATGAATTAGCAAAATGTAAAATGAAAGTTGGGATATTTGAAGATATAACTAGTTAGTGCTTCGGAAAGCGCCATTTACCATGAGGATGATAGGTATAGGCTCATCAATAACTAGGAATAACTAGCCTAATAACATTGGATATTAGTCAAAAACTCAAAAACCTTTTTCACAAAATCTGAATTAACATAAAATCGTTTCAAGAAGCCATTAAAAATTCATTCTCATTCGTTGGGTGCTGCTGTTTCCACACGGGTGTCATCTATTCATCAAAATCCCTAGTGAGTAGAGTGCTGTATGTTTCTTTCAATTGGTACTCATCATTTCATACTATTGAACTGAAGGTTAATTTTTGAATATGATAGGTAGTTGATTAATAAGAATCTGGACGCAGTAAGGTAACTCGTCGGTACACAATTTAGTTTAATATTAATATAACCTCCTCAAAATGTTTAGCTGCGATCGCGCCAGGTTGAGAAAAGACATGATAATCGGAAGGAGCCAGATATGAATCATACCAAATATTCATATTCAACAGTATGAAGTCATGAACTGTTTCGATATTTACGGGAGTTGACTCAGAAAATGGCCTCTGATCGGTCTTCATCTCCAATAAAAATGGTTAGCTGATGGAAAAACTAGTGCATCTTCTTGTGATGCACTGTTTGGAACCTTTGGTGAAGTAATGAAAATATTACTGGAGTTTTTTCCCAACCCCAAACCGTTATTTCAACACCTCGATACGTGTTTCGATCACCAAGTGATCATCTTCAATCTTCAAGAGGAAGATCAAGCTAGTTTGATCATCTTCAAGAGGTGATCGAAACACGTGTCGAGGTGTTAAAATAACGGTTTGGTGTTGGGAAAAAACTCCAGTAATATTCATTTAGTGCATCTTCAGTGAATATTTTATGTTATTGAAGCCACTTTTTAACGGTTGAATGAGGAGAAATTTGTTAATCGAGGGTAATAAGCATATCTTCTCAAATATGTTCAAGGAGAAGTCCCCTAGTGGCGGACACCTACAGTTTCGAGAACATAAAATAAAAACTTAGTTCGAGAAATGTAACTTTATTTATATATTAGTCAAGTCAGTCAATTATAAAATCAAAATCAATTAAAAGTAATACAACTTTTGCTTAAATATATTTAGGAACTTTAATTATGCTTTGGTAAAAAAAAAAAAAATTGGCACTGGTACCTAGTATCGGACGGACTCATCTTCGAACCCCTAGCGCCGGACACTATTGAAACGTGCATCGGTCGCATGTATACACATCTTTATATTGGGGAATGTCGGTACATGCTTCATGAGCCCACTCTTGACAACTAGAGCATTGTATCCAGTCTTCGTCGTGGTCCTCTAAGCACACTACGCAAGTTGTTTTTCCGATGTTTTTCCGAGTTTTTCCTTTGGCCTTCACACCTTTGGTTCGTTTCTCCTTCTCTTCTATTGCTGGTTTGAACTTGGATCCTTTTTCCTTAGCAGCAATTTTGTAGGGTGAATTTCGCTTCTTTCACTTTTTTCTTCCAAGTCGCTGATCTTCTTATGACAGCATCCGGCAATGGTTTCAATTTATGGACAATCTGAACAACATCTAGATTAAAGCTCGTCGACGGCTTGGAACCGCTGATTATTGGTTCGTTGCTAGATTTTCTTGGAGTGACTGTCGATTCTTCTGAGACCAAATCCTTGGACAGTTGTGCATCACAGGAGGTCACGGAAACTTCCCCGCTGCAATTTGGTACGTTTAAGGAAGTTTCTGGCTCTTCTAGTGGAATATTGGTCATGTCTGGAGCCAAATAATCCACGTCAGAAAATAAATGCCTATCAAATAGGTAAATGCCTGTGCATTTTTAAACCCAATTCGTTTAATTCTTGGACGCGCGTAGTGGAGTAGAATCGCACCTCTTCTGTTGTGTGCCGGCTATTCCTGATGCAGTTTTCGGAATATTTCGTCGATTTCTCCATAACGAGAGTTTGCTGCGATGGTTTGGCCTGGTTCCAGAAAGTTATACCATACAGTGGGTTTTCGTCTTTGGAAAGTGCCTGGGTGGTTCATCGGTGTCCAACCACACGTGGCGATCCGATCAAAAAAATAATCGTTTTGGTTGCGCAAAAGGAATGAAGAACAGACCTCGAAACGTGAAAATTTTCTTCGATCATTCAAATAGTAAGGCACCCATTTTTCAAGCTTCTTGTCCTTCCCAATACATTTTACACCATCAAAAACCGTATGGAGAATGACGCCCTGTTCTTCCGCCATCCGACGCACCGTTTGTGATGCGTCAGTCTCCACCAGGGTGCTGAAATCCTCGTCCTGGATCATTGTACGTCGACCACTTCCGGGCTCATCTCCGAGGCTGAAATCTTCGGAACGAAATTACGCAAACCAACGTCGAACGGTACGTTCATCAACACAATCATTGTTGGATGCCTGATTGAATTTTTCGGTCTGTTTCGGCAGCGCTTCGGTTCAATTTGAATTTGCAGAGAAATATTGAACGAACATCGCTCAACGACATTATATACTAACAAGCTGAAAAGAGGCAAAAAAATTGGAAAAAAAAATTAACAGCATCAATGTATACAGTAGAAAATTCTCTATGGATCAGTATATACAACGATACAGTAGAATGAATATTTATTGAGCTACAAAAACAACATGACATTGAAACGGACAAAATATTCGAAACAGGCTAAACAATATTCCGTCAAAAACTCACAACCAACGGCACTCTTGATGAAGAAATAATAAGGAGATTCAAAAAAATTCAGCATTCCATTCATAGAGGTGCAGAGTGGCACGTCAAGTGACACTAACTGACAATGACAAATTATGACGTCAATTGTCAGCGTTGTTTTCATTTGGGATTGAATGAAAGATTTTTTATTTTCATTAGGGTACATAAATTCGAGATATTATGAACAAAATACGGGTGGCAGATGGGTCAACCTCATTTTTTCTGTCAATACTGTTCAACAAAACGAATGCGAATCAGTGAAACACCAGGGTTCTATGCATCTTGGACATTTTAATCAGTTATTCTTTGTTGCTATGGTAACGTAATATGTTGGTTCATTCTCGAAACAGGTCCTGTCTAACTAGATGTCAATACATCTTGGTACACTCAAAAACTGTCAGAGGAAATGAACCTCAGGTGTTTTCTGGCGTTTAATCGTATTCAAAAACGGATCGTACTGACGTCATTCATAATAAAATTCGCCAGAATGGAATGATTGAGTTTGTGTCAGATGTCAAATTCAACAATAAAAACAAACTTTTCAACTTTCTCTAACCTCAATTAGAATCGGATTTGTACATAATTTCCCAGCTTTATTTTATGCATCCTTACAACGTATTTTTTCTTGAGTTATCAGCACTTTATAAACTCTAACGATCAAAATTAAGCAGAAACTGACAACTGACGTAACGTAACGTCAAATTCCGTTTCAAAACCCACTCCATGCTGGTTTTGAATCATCATGAATACGTTTCAAATCATAGTTGATGTGACATCATCGTTTCAACGCCATAATGAACGTATTTGAATCACAAACGAATACGTTTTGAATACATGCGCGCCAGAAAACGCCTCAGTTTTCTTGAGGTGCCTTTTATGAGTGATTTTTTTTTATTTTTGAGAACAGAGACGGATTGCCTACTTTCGAAACGTTATCTGTTTTTAGAAAGCCAAGTATTGAAATTTTATTTATTCAATTATTCATTTTATTCATTGCCAAAATGTGTGAATACCAGTTACTAATAAAATCGAAAGAAGTTCATTTTTCAGGAGAGATTAATTTTTAGAAAAAAACTTTTATGGCTCTCTACTTTTCTATCTACATGTGGGAGACTTCTGACAGGAGAAAAGAAGGCAATTTTGAACTCAATTGCCCTAGTTTTTTCATCATAAAAATGTTTCCTTTTGTTTTTCAATTTTTATAAATCTCACACAGTATCATAAAGCTCTCTTGATATAGGATGTTACAAATACATCCGTAAAGACTTTAAAATCGCCTGTTACTGGTCAAAATACTATTTTAAATTTGCGATGAAATATCATGCCGACTTTCATGAATACCCAAGATTTTTTCAGAATCCCAAATAAGAATACATTTCGATAAAAGAGATCATATCTATTTGACAATATTTAAGTACATAGCAGGGGAGCCCACGATACAAAATGGGGATTTACTCGAGCGTCTCAGTAACGTTAGTTACAAATAAAAGTGGTAAAAAACATAGAAAGTTCAATTTCTCTTTTCTTCGTTATGATTTCCTACCACGTAGTAACGGCTACATCCATCAATTAATTGATTAATTAATCATCATCTTCATCACGAACGAGTCTCCGTTATCAGCTATGATGGCATCGTGGCAACAGAATTCAGAGTGGGGACGGAGTGAGAGAGTAGGTAATATAGATAGAGAAAAAATGAATAGAGAATAGAGGAATAGAAACTCGGAGAGGGAAATATAGGTATCACACAACAGCACGCGTTAAACTTTATCGACGAATTTTTGTTATTTTGGTTTGCGGAAATCGTCAGATTATATATTTTTCGTTATCCTTGAATTATTTCCTTCAAAATAAAAAAATTAATTACTCTCGAGAATGTCGAAATGACGTTATTTTTTTACAACTTTGCTGCCCTCCCCTTTTTTTACGCCACTCTCAAATTGTCAGATTACTGGAATATACACTTTCAAGCAGGTAATTAACTCACCCTACCTTAATCTGACGCGCTCGAGAATTTCTGATGATCAATTTATTTTACTAATCTGATCCTTTATCCCTCACAGGCGGCCTTATATATGGGGCTCATATTTGGTGGAGGTACTTAACCGGGTACAAGGTATCCCCCTGTATATTAATCTGCCGCGCTTTAGTAAATCCCGAAATCCCCGCTTGGGCTCCCCTATTAACAGATCCGGTAACAGAAATACCAATTTGAGCTTATCTATATATAACAGTATTTCCACTCAAAAAATACAGAGATTCGTATAAAAATATGAATCAACCAAATTAGGTCAAATCTCAACTGGATGTCTGGAGATTTCCAATGTTATCACAGATTACTTCGTTTCAAACACAAAATCATCACATAAACATTACACACAATTTCTTAACTTAGTTCTTGACTTGAAACTCATCAGGCTGAAAAACTCGCGTAATGAACGCTGAAAATAGATTAATCGGCCGATATAACTTGAGATAGTTGCATCATATTCTTTTTGAGCATCTTGAAAGAAGGACGGTTTTCCGGAAGTAGCGCCCAGCATCTCTTCATAACCTAAGAAAAAGATATAAGTGAAAGAAAATTGATAGATACACAATATTGAAGAGAAAAATCCGGGCTGGTAGGCCGTGGTTGAATGAAACTTGAAGTACCAAACGTTTCGTCTGCTACTGCGGCAGACAGTTACTGAGACAGTCATTGTTGAAACTTCGAGATATAACGTTCGTCTTCGCAGTCACCGCACATACGACTGATGATATCTGCGACAGTAGCAGACGAAACGTTTTGTTTTTCCTTTTTGTTGAAAAATTGTTTGTGTTCAGCCAAAAAGGGCCAGCAAAATCTTCCGAATAACTATAAACCAGTCGCTTGGCTATCAGTGATATCAAAAATCATGGAGAAAGCAGTAAATCACCGTATCCTTGAATATTTGAAAGGCTTTAACATATTCAGCGATCATCAATATGACCTTCGGAAACAAGATCAACAGGCGACCTTCTATCGCATGTCACCCATATTTGGAAAAACGCAATCGAGAAATATGGAGAGTCAAGAGTTTTTGCGCTTGATATTCCTAAGGCCTTTGACTGTGTGTGGCGTGAGGGTTTGCTGGCCGAACTTCGATGCTATGGTTTGTCGGATCATATTTGGGTATGGCTCTCCAGCTTCCTGAAAGAACGTTTGTTTGAAGGTGATTGACAATGTTTCATGATGAGTTTCATTAGTTCGGACTTCCATTGTTTGATATTATATAAAATGATTTGAAATCCCTGAAAGAACTACCCATGAACTACCCAAAATCCACAAGAAGGACGTTCAGCTTAGACCGATCGTCAGCTCCAGAGATTCGGCTACTCAAAACTTGTCTAGATTTTTACTTTCCATAATACAACCATTACAAGGAAAAACATCGTCTTTTGTGAAGAATTCAAGGCATTTTGTCGAACTACTAGTAGAAGAATTGGTTCCAAGTACAACATCAGAACCTGCTTCAGATCCGGTAACACTATCCGTAGCAGCCTCACAAAAACCAGGCCACCAAACGCGTACTGCGATTTCCTGATACCCTGTGAGTACGGAAAATCATATATTGGTGAAACTGAGAGGCCATTGATTGTTCGCATTACCGAGCACAAGAAACACACACAGCGAAGGGAAACCAGTAAATCAGGAATAGCAGAGCATGTTTGGACACATCAACACAACATCGAATGGTCCCAAGCTGTGATCATACACAGAGAGGAACATTGATTTGGGAGAAAATTCAAAGAAGCGTCATACATGTTGTCCAACAACAGCTTGTCCAATTGTTGTCCAATTCAGCTAACGTGGAGATACGCAACATATGGAAACCCATCATCAAGCAAAAAATGGCCAACTCCCGCCAAACGGTCATCTCCCATTTAATCAGTGCGGAAAAAATGAAAAGCGGGGATAAGTGAAAGTACTCGAATGACCCATAAATAGTTACCTTTCGGAGAAATCAGTCCAGTCATCACCCGAAGACGATTGTGGTTACTAACAATCGAAACGTATTTTCGTGAACTAGCTTGACTGGGCTTCTTTTTTTAGTTTTTTCAGGGATTTCAAATCATATTATATAATATCAGACAATAGAAGTTCGAACTAATGAACTTTTTCCTGAAAGAACGTTCCGTGCAAGTGTACGTCGATGGATATCTCTCGAATACTTTTACCAACAACGCTGGTGTTCCCCAGGGATCCATATTGTCCAACCCCTCTTTTTATTGTATATCAACAAGAATCCAATATATTGCTTTGCTGACGACAGCGCACTTGTCTCGTCATTCCATTTGGATTCCAGACGTCGTCTGCTGATGCACATCTTCACCGTCAGCAGCAGGTTGCATATCTTAATGAGGATCTAGAGGTAATTGCGAATTGGTTTGAAAGTAACCAGGTTCAATTCAATGCCATGAAAACCCTGGCATCGGTTTTCTCCAAAAAGATGAATGTCTCCGAACCGGATATAATAATGTCAGGACTGAAAATTCCGCTTTCTGCTTCGATAAGTTTGTTGGGGATTAAAATGGACACCAAAATGTCTTGGCACAATCATGTCGCTGGAATTGCAAAGGCTGCTTCTCAAAAGCTTGGAACACTATTACGAACAATTAAACTGTACACACCTCAGCAACTGTTGATGCTTCATAAAGTTCAGATCAGACTTTTGGAGTATGGTTCTCATGTATGGAGCTCCACCCCTAAGCATACCTTGAAGATGCTGGATTGCATCCAGAAAAGAGTCGTTTGTCTGGTTGGAGACACGAGCATCTCTTGCAGCCTTGGTAGTTTGGAACATCGAAGAAAAATTGGAGATTTGTCTCTCTTTTATAGATACTTTCACGGGGGGTGTTCAAGTGACTTGGCACATTTGATTCCACCAAGAGCGGTACATATCAGAAATAGGCGACAAACTATGGCTGCTCATCGTTTTAAGGTTCAACTCAGTACACCTCGAACTTCACTGTTTAAGAACTTTTTCATTTGGAGAACTGCGTTTTCATGTGGAATGAACTTCCTGAGTAGAGCGCTTTGAGGATTTTCCTGCAGTGCTTGTGTTTTGTCCTTGAAAACTTGAGGGTCAATTCGACCACGGCCTTCCAAAATGATAGGCCGTGACTCCGGCCGTAAAAATTGATAAACAACAGTTAAACTTCATATCTGAGTGGAGCACGTTAAAAGAAACAATGAAATTTCAGGAGAAGAGTCACTTACATCATACACCTGTTTATGGCAGTACTGCGGTTTTTCTAAAATACGTCCTCTTTGAACACTTTCGGCCACTTCCCTGTTAGTCATCCGTCCGTAGGGAATTTTTCCGCAAGAGAATACTTCCCACATCAAAACTCCTGGAAAACAATAATAATATTTCATTTACAAAAACAATTTGGAAACTCATCTGTAATATAATTCAACTCAGCATAAAAATATGATTATAAATAATATTATTATTATATTATTGTCATTTATTATATACTTGTGATGTACTGTTTGGAACATTTGGTGTAGTAATGAATACCTGGAGTTTTTCCCCAACACCAAACCGTTATTTTAAGACCTTGACACGTGTTTTGATCACCAAGTGATAATCTTCAAGAGGAATATCAAACTGTTTGATCTTTTTTTCTTCAATTAAAACTGCAATGAATTTGCTCATCTCTGATTGTACTGAACCTGCTTCAGTGAACTCGACAAAAATATCGCTGGTTTTTTCATGAAGAAAGAAATGGCTTACAAAACATATAATAATTTGAATGAATTTATCAAAAACAACCAAGGCAAAACTCCAGGGTCGGACAAAAATCAGGAGAATATGAGTAGACTTGTGGTATTTTCTGGACAAAAACGTTTTATATGGGACAAACGGGGATAACTTTCCCCGCTAGATCTAAAGTATTTGAAAATAGTTTCTTCAATGAGACTGATTCAACATTGGCAATCTTTTGGAATTATTAGAAACCAGTGGATTTAAGATGTCAGAACAATTGCTCAACAATCAAATAAATGTGAATGATTATCCTTCGTCGATTTTGTTTTGTAACAATGAAACTAGTGATTAGGAATTTTGATGATCGATGAGTTTGTTATCTGAAATGGTGGAAATTTATCAGTTATGTCGGTCGGTATGTATGTAGGTCGGTCGGTAGCCAGGCGGTTCGACGTGGGTGCTTTGTTCACTCAGTCAATCGGCCGATGGGTCTGTCGATGGTTCAAGCCGCAGTGCGATAGCTGGTTGATGGAAAAACATATTTTAAACATATTTTGAACATATGTAGTAAAAGCCATTATGATTCAGAATCTATTAGAAGCACATCTGCGCTTTTATTCATAGTACTGTCGAAATTATCCCCTGAAAAAAAAACGCCGGCCGTCGCTGGTCTTCGTCGATGAACTGTGACTTGGCCTAAGTCGCGCTCAACTCTACTTGTGCTTCTCGATCGATCTAGGTGTCGCGTCGCTTCGAGAATATTTCTATCGGCTTCCGAAGACTTCCATTGAGATATATAAGTACTACCAACATACACAGGAGGCTAGTATAGTTGAAAGTGCGGTACAAAGCGAACTAATGAGGCGATAGACATTTGTGTATTAGTCTGAAGTTCAGTTGAAGTTTTTGTGTGGTATTGGCAGTGTAATAATGAAATAAAGGTAAGTTCGATTGTACAGTATTGTTACATTTTTCTCCGTGGGTTGACCAATAATTGACTACACTGAATAATCAAACTGAACTTTATTTCACTTTAAATACAACAAACACTTCAACTAAAACTTCAACTATTATTTGAATGTCTATTGCCTTACTAAATCACTTCGTGTACCGCACTGTAACGTTCACTTGACTGTCTCGATACACTCGCAGCTAGCGTTTAAATATCGTAATAGAATGCCGAAGAAATTTCGCCGAAGTTCCGTCGAAATCGGTAGCATTATTCTCGCTGCTTCTCGAGTGGAGGGGAATCATCGTACATTCGCGCGCTCTTAGCTACGTCACAATTAGTTTATGGCTACCAGTGGCAGCCGACGTTATTTTCTTTCGGGCATGATTTACAACAGTATATCGTCGAACCTACTGGAAAAACGTAACAGTACGGAAGCCGCTGTGCTTCTATTGTATAGCATTCCTTTTGGCCCTAGCTAATCATATTGAAATAATAATAATAACATATAATAATGACGATTTTTCTTACCGTAGGCCCAGATGTCTGATTTCGACGAAAACCGCGCGTAATTCAAAACTTCAGGTGAAGCCCACTTGATAGGAAATTTCGTGCCACCCGAAGACGTATACTGATCATCCAAAACGTATCGTGTCAATCCGAAATCTGACACCTTAACCGAATGATCGTTTCCCACCAGACAATTCCTAGCGGCCAGGTCTCTGTGGATGTAGTTGTGTCTCTCTAGATACACCATAGCGTCACACACCTACAACAAAAACTCATCTGGCTTATATATTGTTGAATGAACAACGTCTGCAAAATTAGATTCAAGAATATGAGAGAGTGTTTATTATTTTACACTACTCGTGAAGTTACCTCTACGAAGTTGCACGCAGTCCTTAGTACGAATTTACACATAAGTTGACACAAAAAGAACCGAAGTAGATATAGATAAAGCGATAAATTCACAATCCAAGGGTATATCACATTTTATATTTTTATAGCTTTTCATTTGAAATAACCACCATCATCAGTGACAACAATCATACAGAAAGACAATTTATTTTATCATGAACTTTTGGGAAAAATTAAACCAATACGGAAAATCAAAGCTACATGGCAATCTACATTAAATGCTCGAATTGACCTTTTTGTTGAATGCACATAAGTTTTCGGTCCAGACAATTTCTGTGGTAATTTTCTAGCATATTTAATAGGTGTAATACTAATACATGCATCTCTTATTTTTTGTTTGAGATGGTCGATATCTGTACTTGGTGTTGAAAAAACTTTATCATTTATGTATCCCCAGACAAAAAAACTGAAGGAGTAAGATCTGGGGTTCGAGCTGGCCAGTTAATTGGCCCATTGTTTCAATTGTTGCATCTGAATGTTCCTTACTATTGCTGCATTATGGGGAGGAGTGCCGTCCTATTGAAAATATTGTATTTCATGGGGAATATTCAGTGGCAATGCATCTAAATAGACATCGAATTCATTGAATAGAAAATGAAGATACATTTCACTATTCAAATGATCATCGTAAAAGGAAGGGCCACGGATGTTTGTTCCCACAATTCCCAACCAAACATTTATTCCGAACCTTTCTTGGAAATTGGTTTCCCTATGTAAACGTTCGTTTGTATTATTCCACCTATAATAGATATTTCCGTTGAACCAACCATTGTTGATGAATTTTAATTCGTCCGTCCATATTATTTTTTTACAAATATTTCCAACTTCCCTATTTCTATGTTTCAACCACTTCGCAAATCGTACTCTCCTTCCGTAAACCCTTTCATCAAGGTGATGAACTTTGCGTATCCTGTAGCATTTATATTTGTTCTTTTTCAAAATAGTTCTGGTGGATTTTACATAAATCCCCATTTCGTGGGCAATTTCTCGTAAAGAGCAATCTTGATTAGCATATTTTTGTAACTGACCAATCCTAAATTTAAAAAAAAAGATGTTTTCACTGTGTAAATTTTTATGTGGTAATATTTGCTTGCCCATAACATTCATTTGTATTTTCTATAATGTTATCCAATTTGGTACTGAAGAGCCTTAGGGCAAGTGTCTTAAGGCGAAACATCGGTGTATACCAGTGAGGGTGACTGTGTTCTATGTGAGTACAATTTATTACCATTCATTCAAAGTAGAACTCATGTGAATGATATCTGATTCTTATTCCACAACAAATGTTTGAAATACAAACTGAGTAGAGAAAAGTATCTTCTATATAATTCAGTGTTCATATAGAAGTATTTGTTTCGAAAGAATTATTTTCTTTCGTGTAATTCAATGTTTATATGAAAATAGCTGTTTCAGGAGAACTTTCTTTCAGTTTGTGACTGAAAGTTACTTCTTTGCATGATCTACACATTCATGTATAGAGTTTCAAATTGATTACTTCCTTTCTTTGGAAAATTCTCTCATCCCTTTTTTTGTATCAGATGGAGTAGTAGAAAGCCAAAAACTTTCTTTCACAAAAAGAACTTCTTGATATTGATAGTATTCACGGCACGACAACTGGGGCAGATATTTTTAAGGGAGTTGAAAATGCCATTAATAAAAAGAACCATCGATGGAGAAATTTGAAATCTGTAACAACTGATGGAGGCAAAAATATGTACCTATGGTAAAAATAAAGAAGTGGTTGCACTTGTGACAAAGGCTGTAGAAAATGATGGTGGTTCAAAACCATTAGCCTTACATTGTATCATTTATCAACAGTCCTTGTGGGGAAAATGTTTGGATATGTCGGAAGTTCTAAAACCAGTCATACCAGTTGTTAACTTCATCAGATCCACTGGGCTGAATCACCGACAATTCCGCGAGTGTATTCAACAGATTGGAGAAAATGATCATATCATACTGCCGTACGCTGGCTTAGTTGTGGAAAAGTCCTTATGCGCTTTTTTGAACTTCGAGCTTTTTTGAACTCATTTTTTCAAATGAGAAGCAGCGCCCTTTTGCCGATTTAGAAAATAGTGAATGGATGTGGAAGTTAGCCTTCTATGTCGATTTGACAAATCATATGAACGAACTGAATTTGAGATTGCAAGGAGGAAATCAGCTTCTCCGTGATTTATACACCAATATTAAATCCTTCAGGCAGAAAATAATACTCTTTCAATCGCAATTACGTAAAAAATGTTTCACATATTTTGAAACATGTGAAATATTCAGCCACACTACAGAGACTGAATTTCCCGTCAATTTTGCAATTGAAACTTTGAGTGCTTTGAAGATAAATTTTGATACTCGTTTTCCAGATTTTGATGTCATTGCGAATGAAATTGAGCTTTTTCAAAATCCTTTTGATTCTGACATTGAAACTCTGGCTCCGGAAGTCCAAATGGAAATTATTGATTTACGGTGCAGTGATATGCTCAAGAACAAATATCAAAATTCATCTTTGTTGGAATTTTATAAGAGTCTACCACTGGAACAATTCGATAATTTGTATAAATTTGCTCGTGGGTTGTTTTCTGTTTTTGGTACTACTTGTGTGAGAAAACGTTTTCCAAGATGAAGTACACAAAGAATGTTTATAGATCTCAATTAACCGATGAGCATCTTGAATCTATTTTGATAATTGGTACAAGTAAAATTGATCCACAACTACAAAGTATTGTCGGTGGAAAATCACAATTACATAAATCTCATTAGTGTTTTTGTTTTACTGTGATTAATTTCAATTATTTGTTAGTTATTAATATGCTTAAACTTAGATGCTTAAGTTAAGTTTTCTTTGTCATCATTTTTGTCGTTAAGTTTTACCTTGCAAGTAAATAAAACCGAGTAATTATCATTCTTCTTCAACTTATCACAGCAATAGTAACAACAATTAGGTAATCATTTGCTGTCGCGGGCCAGATTGATGACAGTAAATCATTGGCTGTCGCGGGCCGGATTGATGACACTGGTGGGCCTGATTTAGCCCGCGGGCCGTAGTTTGGAGACCCCTGGTATAAACATTCGGATTTTCGGAATAAGACCATTCGGGTATAGCTCAACATACATATTCCTTGCCAAAAGAGGATTACAATTTGATTTTGCATAACCAAACAGCATATCACTCCTTTCATCATTTGAATACATCTTTGATATGTTCTTAAACGTCTGACAGTTCTCAACAGATATCAACAACGCATTGATTTTTCCTGCCATAGAAACCAAGCAAAGCCTAAGCGTTTGAGATGGTTAATGAATTGAGATGCTATTTGATCATTCCAAAATATACAACAATCGAATTTTGACCAAAAACTGATATTTTCGTTACTTCCAGGATTGAGAATTATAAAAATATTACGAATTATAATTGGTCCGTATTTAAAAAAAAATTGATGGTGGCAATGTACATCGTCATAGTACATTTCGAATACAATAACATTTTCCTTTTCAATTTTTTGATATTCTCCATTCAAATAATCGAAAAACAGCATGTTACCACATGATAAAAGAAACGGCCTGCAGAACAGGTAATATGTTGGAAAAGTTAGTTATAAATAATAAAGACAAAACATCTAATTTCGAGAAATCAGGAGTATATTGATTAAATCGTGGAATTTGTCCTAAGGTACACATATATTGGTCAAACTGGCAGAACTTTTAGGAACCGCATCAAGGAACATCATATGAACTATGTAAATAAGAAAACAAGTTCAACATAATATTATTAATAGTTCTTAGTGGAATGTGGCAAGTAGCCCAGGTAGAGTGAGGAATCGCTAATTTTGTCATTAAAAATGAAATCCCAGATGTGTGAATGTTTCAAAAATACCCGTTGTTCGTAGAACATAGGACATCCTAAAATAGTAAATATATGCAGTCAGTTTTGAATTAGAACACAGATTATTGTTCCGACAAGTGGAAAAAGCAGCAAGCAACAGTGAAATAAGTGAGATAATTACAAATTTTATAGAAGTAAAGCGATGAGTTCTGTAATTTTTGTTTTTGAATAAAGCCGTTGAATTTGGATAAGCGTATCATTTATTTATTTTCAAGAATCTACGAATAAGAGGAACATTAGTAACAGGTATAGATCGATCTAGTATTCATAATGTATTCCAGCAAGGTAGACAAAGTGAAATGGGATATTTTTGAAATGAGATAAAAGAGAACAGACGTCTTAACCTCTCAAACACAATAGATTTGGTTTACTTACTTGAATGCACATGTCGAGGAGCAACTCCTGATTGACGATGATGTTACGTTCGTTTCTTATCAGATAATTCAGTAAGGATCCATGCCTCATATACTCAGTAACGATGTAGATTGGATTATTTTCTGCAACGCATACTCCATAGAGTTGGACCAGATTTATATGGTGCAGCTTCCTGTAACATTGTGAAGTTTACTCAATTTGGAGTTGAATATATCACCAATGAGTATGTGGTGCAAAATATTTTTCAACCATCATATACAAATCACACACTATTTGAATTCGTTTTTTCAAATTCAACGGATTGAATAGTCTTCTATAATAATGAAAACTACACTCATTATGTTTCAAGAACTCTTTATCAAATATGAATCAATATGTGTGCTACAATGAAACACTGAAAATGTATCATGGAGTTCCTCAAGGATCGATTATTGGGCCAACTTTATGTTTGATAAATGCCAATTCAGTATCAGTATTGACTCCAAGCTTTCTGTATCCCTAAAGGTTGATGTAGCGATCATTTATTTTGAAAAACAAATAATGCGCAGAAATTACTCGCACAGAATATCTAATTGGATGATTGAACACTTGATTACTATGAATATAAAGAAGTTCAGAGTGTTGTACCTCGGATTAAACAATGATGAGTTTTCACAGAACCAACATTTGCAGAAAAATATGTTCGGTAATTGGAGTGGTACTTCAGCGAAATTTATATTATTCGAGTTTCTTTATCACACATTGGTCTATTCATAACTTGGAAATCTCAGGATGCACTACAACAGCAATAATTTTATTATTCAACGAATGATTTGCATTATCGAGCACAAGAGAAACACACAGCGAGGAGAAACCAGCAAATCGGCAATATCAGAGCATGTCTGGACTCATCAACATAACATCAAGTGGTCCAAGCTGGGATCATCCACAGGGAGGAACACTGTTTTAAGAGAAAGTTCAAAGAAGCTGCATATATGTTGTCCAACGGCGCATTCAGCCAAGCTAGTATAGATATACGCAACCATACGCAATATGGATACGCAAGTGGAAAACGGTCAACTCCCGCCAAACGATCAACTCCAGCTGAAGCAATGGAGCGGAGAAAGGGAAGAGAGGATATGTGAAAGCACTCGTATGACCTATAAATAGTCATATTTTGGAGGAATAGTCAAATCATCACCCGAAGACGATTGTAAATACTAAGAATCGAAATGTCGATATAAGTTGGGTTTTAATTTTTTTATTTTATTTTTATATTTTTGTATATTATTCATATTCCTTTTTTGCTTCTCGTTTTCATTTCTTTCTAATTATTTTTATTCTGTGGTCATTTTTATCTTGATTATTATATTTTATTTTATTCATTTTATTGTATTTTCATTTCACGTTTCATTGCCCATATATAATTGATATTTCAGCTATTCATTCTGATTTCATTTGTTCTTCCATAGATTTCGAATCATATTAGAGACTGGAAGTCAGTAAACTAGTAAAATTCAACATGAAACACCGTCAACAACGTTCAAACAAACTTTATAAAAAGTTGGTTCTCTCATTCATAGTTACAGCAAATATTTGAATAACCGTTTCAATTTGCAAATGACACATAATAATATTCATGAACACAAAACAAGAATCCTAAACCATATGAGAATGATATTGGCAAAAATTTCCATGGGACAAAAGTCAATTTTACATGATGTGCTCAAATTGTAAGCAGCCAGTGCTTTAATTAAATAGAACAAAATATGGCTGGTGAGCGGTAGTCGAAAAGAACATAGAGTGATATGTGCTATGACTACGAGAACGACGGTTATATCCCGTAGTCTGAGCAACGACTGACTGGCGAGCTGGATGTTCACTCGTATTTATAATTTCGGAGGAATGGGGGAGGAGTGATGGCAGGATTTCCATGAGAATGCTCACTCCTGATTGGTCCGCACTTTTGCTGTGTTGTGTTGATTGGTCCGCACTATTATTCGGTTCTCCACGTTATTGACAAGTATACTGGTGGTAGGATGTCGATCGGAGACGTATTTTACATCGACATCCCTCCAGCAGCATATTGTCAACAACGTGGACTAATCAGATTAACCAAATAACAGTGCGAGCCAATCAGAATGGCCCAGCAAATGTGCGGACCAATAGGAGTGATCATTCGCAAGTACACTCCGCCATCCGTCCCATCACTCCCACCACCCTCTGGAATTATGAATACGAGTGAACACGTAGTTCGATAGTCAGTCGTTGCTCAAATATCTAGACATAACTTTCATCGTCGCAGTCAACCCACATGCCGCAGTAGCAGATGAAAGGTTTGTTCTCTTAAATGGTGACCCCGATCGTGAAAGCTAATGTCCTTACAATGCTTCTTTACCTAAATTTCAACAAAACGATTTCATACATTCTTGTCGAATTTAACCTTCCTCAAAATCGCAAAGGAACATTAAACAAAAACCTTCAAGGTGATTTACAATTTTTCACACACTTGCTTTAGCCATTTACCTACACTGTTTCAGGATTTTTGGTTTACAGTTTATTTGGTAGTAATTTCAAATTGAAAAATAGTGTACTTCGTTTCAGTTCTCTAAATAGCGTTGTTTTTCCGTAATTAATTATTAAAAATCGGATTTTCTAGGCCCGCGACGTCACGGGCCTAGTTCCGCTTCTTGTTCGATTGACCAATAGGAACAATACAAATAATGAGCATTGTCAAATTGTAAAATTCACGTAGCTTATAAACAGTTTCTGATTCATTCGTAATTCAAAGTAAACTCACACTCACTTCCGACAACTAAATCTCAGAAAAAAGTGGAAGGGAGAATTAATTATACATGGGATCTAAATACACAAAATGCAATAAAAACATTATTTTTGAAACATCTCCGGCAGTAGACATTTTCATGTTGATATCACAGAAATTTTAATCATGGAAGTGTATATGAACCCGTTAACGTTTAAATTCATAAAAACATTCTCCATATGAAATAAAATGAACTCGAAAACCATGGATCTAAATAGAATTTAACGAGCTATATTTTCAAATGGTTCTCAAAGGCTTATGAACCCTAATAAAATAAATTAATTATGCATTCATGCCACCCACCAAAAATAAGAAATTCAACGTTATATATTCGCCATATTGCCACCCATTCAGCTATCTCTCTTGAATGTATGAAACAATGTACCTGTTTCATAACTTCGTATTTTTGTTAAAATAGTTGACACTTGGCAACACTGCTGTTGACACGATCAATGGGGAATGTTCCTAAATTTGGGTTATTACAGCAAATGCAAGTTTGAACAAAATAAAGTTGAGTTTAATTAATGAGTTTTTCAAATTCACTTCGAAAAATATTCAAATTGATGTTTCAAATGTTGGGTTTTAATTTTAAAAGGGATTTGTTTCTAATTCACATATTGGCAACAGCGCCTGTATCAAGTTGAAATAATTTATACGTACCTAGATATTCTACTTTAAAAAAGGAAAATTATCTTTATAAATCAACAATTAAGGCAAAATATAAATTATAGTTCAATACCACTTCCACAAACCACATAAACAACAGTTGTTTTGTTATTTATTTATATAGAGGACGATAGGTTAGATGCACAAAATGTCATGTTACAGAATGTCTCGAAACTCGGAACATAAGTTAACAGAACAGCACGCCTCTGAAATATGTCATCTTTGTTTGTCTCATACAGGTAACGGATTCATTGTCCTTTATTAGCTATAACCGATGTTGCCAAATGGTGAAATAGAAACGAATCTCTTTAAATGTTGAATGCATTATTTCATTCCTCTTTTTTAAGTATTTAAATAATTTTTTTAAAGAAAAAGGTTGAAATGATAGAAAGAAGTGAATGGTAACTATATTGAGGTTTCTCTGGGAAAAATGAATGATGTAGATGTACCTACTTTGAATGATTCTATTGAAATTTCGATAATATTGATTTTTCTTGGACACGCGTTGAATAACTTACGTCATAACTTTAGCTTCCTCTATGAAGTCATCTTCGGACATACTGCCAGCTTTCATCATTTTCACAGCCACGTCAATGGAACCTCTCCATTTTCCTCTTCGCACCACACCAAACTGACCAGAGCCCAATTCTTCTAACAACATCAGTTCGTTAGGCTCTATTGTCCATTTATCTGCAATATACTAGTTATTAAAAGTCGTTATAAGGAACAATGTCCAGGAATCGGTGGCAAAATTTTGGGAAACTAGATTGGTCAAAAATAAAAACTATTAAAGAAAAATAAAAGTGGCAATGTGGAAGTTCGGTACTTATTGTACGCTTAGTACAAAAAAATGACCCTTGAGACGTTCACGAGTTTTATATTGAAAAAGTACCTACAAGTTTCTCGGTACAAGATTCGGTTAGTGCAAAAACTAACTGAAGATGACTTTGATCGTCGCATGAGATTTTGTGAATTTATAAGTGGAAAAATAATGAGAAATGGTAAATTACCCTTCAATGTATGTTTTTCGAAAATTATCAATATTATTTTTTTTTAAACTAACCGTGGCCAAAACCTGCAGTTGCTGGAGCTGGCCTTTCAAGGGGAGTTTTCTTCAGTCTAGACGGTAGACCACCGCTATTATGTTTGTGGTAATTGATAAGTTCCGGAATAGAATCGCTGCAGTAATCTCCTCGAAAGAAGAACTTTCCACTGGAATTCTTCTTAATTTGGTAGTGTTTCACGTACGGCATGGATCTGGAAAGTACAAATAAATCATTTTTCATCGTCTTGGAAACACCCTGAAGCCACTATTGAAAACATCAAACATGAGATTACAAAGACCGGCGGAGTAATTGGGTTTAGTTCTTATAGTCTATTCTGATAATAATGTCTGAGTGAAAGAATTCCCATAATGCAAACATGCCGGCACCTCAAAGAAAGCAAATAGTCGTCTCAAAGCAAGTGGCACTGCAATTCATTCACAAAGTGACTGAGATATTTCTACCCGCTATGCCCCTTGAGGACAATGCTAACGAGCCATTGAAATGGTGACTTCCGACAAACGACTTCAAAAGAGACGGCCGACGCTATTTATCATATTGCGTTAGAGACAGTATTAATAGGCGTCGGACTGGGACTGTTAATATAAATTTTCCAATGGTATATTCTGTATGATGCCAAGATAATCGTGAAAACTAATTTTGTTCAAATATTGTTATTGAGTACAATTTATATTTGTTAGGTTCCCGAACCTAACGCGCTCTCGAAGTAAACTGAAGAATATAACTAATACTAAGACTAACCCCTCTACAATGGCCTTCAAACTGCCAACAGAAAATAATGTAGTATTTTCTTCCTATCGAAAAAGGGGAGTCGATTCTATTATTGGGTGCAGTGTGTCTATTGTCGGTAAAATTCAAAGGAATATCTATTTATACCGCCTTCAAAAAACAATGTTTCCTACTGGACATATTTTTTCTTATATATATATATATATATATATATCTGGACCGATTATAGGTATTGTTGCATAAACCTGCTATAACTGCCACCAGAGTAGATCAAAGAAGCATCAGTTCATTCCTGTGATTGCGTTTTAGAGGTCCTAAATGAAAGTGAGATAAGAATTGTGCCATATGTGGTTCAATAGCATTTATTTTCCCCTGTAAACACTAAATCATTTGAAAAGTTAAATCGTGATGAATCAATTTTAGAGTATAAATACCACTTACGTTTTTGTAAAAAGAGATAAGGTATGATGTCCCTCAACTGAAGAGTTTCGCACTACAAAACATCCTTCAGTGTCATATTGTTGCAATAAGGTTTCGACTCTCTGTCTTGGCATGTCGGCGACGAACCAGCTGTGAAAGTAGTAATTATATTGAAATGAACATCCTAATTAAAAAAAACGTGTTCTTTATGAATAGTCACACAAATCCCAGTTCTTTTTGAATACAAATACAAGGTGTATCTAGGAGATAGCTAATGTACTATGAAAAAAAAAGTGAAGAAAATATCCAAATTTTTAAATTTTGACGGGTCAGCAACTTTCACGTTTTTCCTCCCAAACATTTTTTTTTTCGCATTATTACTAAGAAAACTTGCAGAAACATAATGATATTGTTATCAATATATCAGAAAGCCTTGATCGCATGTTTCCATTAACTATACATTTTTTATTCGATCGGGCATCTCTGTGGTAATACTTTGTATGATTTGTAATTTGTACCCACGAGTTGAAAAGAAATACCATAAGTAAAAAAAAGAAATTGGTTGCCCTAGAGGTTATCCTTCTTCGAGCTCAAAATTTCGAAAATTTGACGAAATCACTTGAATAGAAATTTTTAAACTACACTATCTTTTGAACGCGTCGATTTTTGTCCGCTTTCCCTGTTTTGAAAATGTTAATTCATTTAGCGGGAAGTTAAAAATTCAACTTTTATATAAACATCTTTAGGGGGCCTTTCATGGATGCAGTCAAGCTGCTGGAAAATAATTCCATACAAATCAAAATATGAATAGATAAGTACTCTCTGATCATTCCCATATTGATTTCAATTTAAGAGCCACCGGTAGACAGCTGTTTCAGCCTATTGGGCATCGTCAGTACTGGGCAGGCGGTCCTCGGTTGACTGCATTAACCTTTCTAGATTTCATATAATTTCTAGAAACATGTGGATTCGTTTTGCGACGGCATTTCAGGTTAGCTTCCCAAATTTCTGCTACCACAGTTGTCGGTTGATTGGTAAACCACCAACACTGACATAAAAACTTGGCAAGTTGACTTGAGTAAGGTTTGTGGCTTATTCGCATACACTTGCGACTTAAAAATAACCCACAAGAAAAAAACTAACAGGGTCAAATCGCAATTCAGGCCAAATGAAGTTGGTAATCATCGACCTATAGTGCTCGCCGTTAACAGTGATGGTCTGGCCAACGTCGTTCTCAAAGAAATTTGGACCGTTGACGCCGCCAGCCCAGAATCCACACCAAACAGTTACTTTTTCGAGATACATTGGACGCTCTTGGATCTCATGTGGATTGGTATCGTCCCAAAACAAACGTTTCTGTCTATGATCGTTTACCTTCAGTTTCATGAGTCACTTGAAATTTTTAAGGGTGCAGGCCAAGTCGCGGCCCAAAATTTGCCAAATTGTGGTCTGCAACGCAAAATCGACTGAATCGGATTCTCCTGCACTTTCTCACAGACATGGTCGATGTTTTCGACAAAGCTTGCGTTTCGTCAACGTGCGGGTGTTGGTCGATCGTTTTCTGAACCAGTGGGCTCATATTTATCCAATACAGTGCGAATAGTCCTCTCAGTAGGCCGATTATGGCGACCGTAAAATGGGCGAAGCGCGCGGTACGTTGCCCGAACAGAACACATATTTTGATAAAACATTTTTATTATTTGTATACTTGTTGTTTGATGCTGTCCATGGTGATTCGGCAAAAAAGACTGAATAAATAGCCTTCATGAACTGTCAAAGTTCGAAAGTCTCTGTTGAAAGACCCTATATTTTTGTATAAAACTGTCAGACAAGATTTCAAAATTTAAAAAATAATATTAAGAGAATTCAATATCACTGGAGTTTTATCCCAACACCAAACCGTTATTTTAACACCTCCACATGTGTTTCGGTCACCAAGTGATCATCTTCAAGAGAAAGATCAAACTGGTTGGTGTTGGGATAAAACTCCAGTAATTTAATTACCACACCAAAGGTTCCAAACAGTGCATCACAAGGGAATTCAAAAGTATTTGAAACAAAGCGTTGGGGTTTGGGTGAAATCATTACGTTGAATCTCATATAATGCTCATTTCATACTACTTACTCATATCGATATAATCCCATTGATTCTTTTTCTTTGACGTGATTGCTGGGAATAAATCCAATATTCCTGAAAAATATAACACAACTTCAGACTCGTCTTCCAGGATACCAACCTTGAGAGTGGATGTATGAAAAAGCACGTTTAAGATATGCCAGTGAGAAAGAAAAAAAAATAATTTTGAACCATGGTTTTATCATTGTATTATTTTTTTTATTATTTTTGGTCTAATTTAATTTTTTTGTTATATTTTATGATATTGAAAAATGTTTTTCCCTAAAGCGATCTAAAAAAAAGTTATTGCCATTTTTAAAAATATCCCTAGACTTTTCCGATAAAGAATATTTTGAGTATATTCAATAACGTTTTTTTTTGTTTCATTACTGATTCATCTTTGTTTGCTGCTCTGTTCTCTGTTCCTACTTAGTTATGTTATGTTCTGAATTATTGATGTTAGATATTGAATTTTTGAATAAACTTGTGGAAAATTAATCAGTTTGAAGTATTTTAACGGTACACAATTTCTTATCACTACATAATATAAAACGAAGTTGCTTCTGTTGCTGTTGCTGTCTGTCCTATGTATGCCCAGATCTTCAAAACTTTGTAACGAATTTTAAAGTGAGTTTTTTCAATAGATAGAGAGGAAGGTTTCTACGTATATAACATTCATAATGTAGTAGAGAAACACTGATAATTTCAGAGGTTTCGAGTGTGATGTCATAAATAATTTTGTTTCATTACTGATTCATCTTTTTTTGCTGCTCTGTTCTCTGTTCCTACTTAGTTATGTTATGTTCTGTATTATTGATGTTAGATATTGAATTTTTGTATAAACTTGTGGAAAATTAATCAGTTTGAAGTATTTTAACGGTACACAGTTTCTTATCACTACATAATATAAAACGAAGTTGCTTCTGTTGCTGTTGCTGTCAGTCCTATGTATGCCCAGATCTTCAAAACTATGTAACGGATTTTGATGTGAGTTTTTTCAATAGATAGAGAGGAAGGTTTATACGTATATAACATTCATAATGTAGTAGAGAAACACTGATAATTTCAGAGGTTTCGAGTGTGATGTCATAAATAAATAAATTTTTTGTGCTTACATCACAAACGCTGGCTGATCAAAAAATGTACTACAGTATTGTACACCTTAAAAATGTCTACGAAAAAGTCCGCGATGGTATTATGTCTTCTTCTTAGGGATAACCCACAATAAATATATAACTTTATAATTAGCAACGATCGCACGCGTTTATAATAATAATAATAATAATATGTTATTCATTTAAGATCCCAATACAAATACAAATGAGAAGTACAAATTGAAAATTCAAATAAATAACGAGATGCTCGTTATATGTAGATATATTTAGTATCAGCATTGCACCCGTACGGAGCCGGGGCGGCTCGCTGGCTTTGAATAAAATTCCAATTATATTCCTTCGTATTGATTCAATAAACCAAACGTCGTTAGATATATGATATTTACAGACTTCCGCATAGCAATTGATAAGAATGATAATAACATTCTCTTATCAATGATGAACATATTTGCTTTGGTGAATATAACTTCACTCTGATAGATATAAGATCTTATTTTTTCTAGTTTGATGTGAAGTACGTTGCATTTGTATTGCAAAAACTTTTATTTCACTCATTTTATTTCATTATGTTTTGAAAAAACTTCTGATGAACTATCGAAGGCGATGCGGAAATGGTCAAAGTAATCTATATTGATATGACACGCAAAACTGAAAATATTTGATTCATAACAGGAGCTGTTGCCCACGATTTCATTCGCGGGGCCTTCAGATTTTGTTTTTTTTTACAGATTTATCAACAGCAAAATCGTTTTACAAAATGTAAATAAAGGGTGACAACGAAATCATTGTACATGGCGGCAATCAGTTGTTCGTGGATTATGCAATTTGTTATTTGGTATAAAAATATAGGTTATTGATATCGATATTACTATTGATAAAACAATTGGAAATCAACCGACTTAAACGGAAATGAACCCAAGTCAAAAATTTCAAATGAAACCCCGTACATATTTTTATACCATTTGATAGTATACAAAATTCTCTTTTCAGCGGTATATCACAAGTGACCATTTCTTCAAAATAGCGGCGTAGAAGCCATTTTCTTCAAATTCAATATGGCGGCACTATGACGTCATGCACATATACGAAAATATTGTTGAACAACTTGATGTAGTGAGGAACAGAAAGATTTTGACTTGTTTCTGAAGAAAAATTCAAGAATTGAAATTGTTACTGAATCACGCAATTTTCATTCATTATTTGATGTAATTTTTTACTTCACTTATCTAGAAAATTTCATCAGAGAGTGATATTTTTTGAACTTTCACATTAAAGTGTGAAGTGGAGGTGACTAGGTTAGGTTAGGTTAGATCCAAAGTGAGTGGGTCTATTCGACCCTCCACCGCAACCCTCAAGTGTTTATTATGGACCAAATAAACCCAGCTTCTTAACAAAATCGATTAGTTTGTATGGTGAGTGGTCTTTCAGGTCAGATGATAAGAGTACGGTTCTGCCGAACTCTGAAAACCTGATTCGGTCACCAGCGGGGTAGTCACAAAGTATGTGCTCTGCCGTTTCATAATTTTCCAAACAGAGGCGACACACACTGTCTTCCACAGCCCGAGTCTCTGTATATGATGATTTAAACGACAGTGACCTATAAGAAGGTCTGTTATATATCGTAGTTCATCCCTACTGTAGTCCAACAACTGTTTGGTATCAAGCTCCGAAGGGTGAATAAACGCCTTGGAGTGAGCCAATCCTGGAATATTGTGCCAGAAGTCCATAAATTTTCTTGCCATCCAGGTGTGAAATCTTTGTTTGACAAAACCTAAAGCGATGGCAATTACAGGTTCTAGTCAGATGTAGCTGCTTGCAGTACCTTCCTTTGGAAGAGAGTCAGCAGCCTCATTGCCTTCCAGGCCAATATGGCCAGGAATCCAGACCATCTGTTAAGTCTGTCTATCGAGGAGGGTACTTTTTGGCAATTTGCTACCAATTTAGACGTTGCTCGGTAGGAGCCAAGAACTTCCAACGCCGCTTGACTATCTGAGAATATTTTTATTGACTTGTGTATGAGGTTGGAATCTTCCAATCTCTCTGCACACAATTCAATAGCGTAAATTTCCTCTTGAAATACAGTCGCATAGGTTCCTAGGCAGGTTGATGATATCTCTGCCCTGGGTCTGCGAATAAAAACACCTGCACCAGAACCGGAAGGTGTTTTTGATCCATCTGTGAAACAACAAGTATCTACTCTTAATATTTCTGACTAAGTCTTATTCAGTCTTACATATCCACTGATGATGCCAACTTGGTTAGTGAAACGCGCTTCGAAAGACAGCATTTTGTTCTGGTGTGAGAAAAGTGTTTTCAATATATATAAATTCATCGACTAGAAAAATTTATATTTCTTTTTAGATCTGCATTTCACTGGTTTCGGTGTTATTTTCTGTGATGATTTTTGTCACTGTTTTGTTTTTAAGTTTCATTTATTTCATATATTGTCAATATATTTTCTGTCTGATCCCACTATTGCTATGTAGGAAATGACAATACTTGGATGGTTAAATCAGACAACAGTTGCTTACTTAGGGAAATAATGAATATTTTCATCACTACTTTCAATTGTCGTTTTGGAGATATTCCCAAAAAATGTAAATTGACAGATTTCGTTTGTTGGCTCTTTCGCCTCCAACTCAAACAATACGATGAGATAGATGAATCTTTTGTGCTGTTTCTTCTTTGTTTTGATCTGATTTTGAACCATTTTTCTACACGGAGTTGCTTTCATTGATTTTCAACTTTTTTCAAGACGGACATCTATTTTTTCATCAGTTTCAATAACCGCTATCTTTACAAATTCAGCCAAAATAATACACTCATTTCTCGATGTTTCAGTTCGGAAAAATATCAACAGAACAGGTCATACAAGTCCCCGTCGGAAATGTTTCAAAAAAGTAAACACCAATCTTTTTTCTATTTAGAAATTTTGATGGTATACGTTGATCTTCAGTTTTTGTTAAAAGACACAAATGCTGATCAAAAATCAGTTACCACCACTTGACCATTTATCAAGACACATATATTTCTCAACATTTTTGAAAAAAGTCATCAAATTCGGATTCATTAAGAGTACAAATGAACAGAAATAAATTGTAGCTCATTTGTGAAATCTTTTCCCAATATTTTTATCTGCTGAAAACAGAAAAAAAAAATACTAAATCCATAAGAATGAGTTTTCAAACAGTACTCTAAAATAACCTAAGTTGAAGTATAGGAAGCAGTACAGTTCATCTCCTAATAATGTCAACATGGTGACTTAATTGAACATCGAGTGCAGTTTAATATAGTTTTGTTGTGTAGAAAAAGTGGTTTTTTGTTGAATTCCATTACTTTCTAACTACAATTATTATGAAACTTACCCTCTGGAATCTTTCGCCATCCACCAATGTTCTTGAGAATCATTCAGCACCTCATATTCCTCGTTTTCTGTAAGCGATAAGTCATCAGTATGCATCGCTTGGTAATTATATAAGGCTACCACGATTTTTGGCTGCGTGGACGACAAAGACTGGCCTTCCGTAGAAGAATGGTATTGAGTGCCTATACAAACAGATAATGCGATTCAACTTCAGATACTTTAAACGACCTAAAAAATATTTCCATAGACGATGATCACCTCATCCTTTTTGAGATAAAATCCGTGGTTGACAATGAATGATCAAATATGCCAAGGGCGTCGCCAGCTTATGACTAAGGGGGGGGGCAATGGGACAATATTATGGAGGGTAACAAATATGAACGCCTGGTACAGTCGAAAGCATGAAGCGTTACATTTTGGAAGTCTTTGCTTCGATGACGATTGTGATAAGAACGGTTCTGAAATCAATGTAAAAAACTTCGCAAGCCCTCGACAGCACAATAACTTAATCAAGCTTTCAAACACAGTAATAATTATTTATTTCAACAAAAATAATATTCAATTAAAACATAACCTGCGGGGATTTTTTGCAAAACTTTCAACCACTTTATCATTAAAATTATTTAAGTTTTTATTCATTATAGCTCTGCGTACACTCATCATGGCCAGACCATTAAGGCGATCTTCTGCCATGGTGCTTCTTAGCCATGTTTTCAGTCTTCTGCTAGGCTGCTAAAGGATTGCTCTACTGTACAGGTCGTGCATGGTAAAACGATCAAAATTTTTAATGTTTTTTCGGTTTCGGAAAAAAAAGAATTTGTTTCTTTTAGGACATCAACAACTGTAAGATTTGTTAGATTAAGCCTATCGTGCCACAATTGCTGCCAAAGTTCGATTTCATTCTTCATGTTCGGTAAATCATAAAACTGGGCAATAGATTCACAAGTTTGTTACAGATTTTCAGTCCAAGTATGGTATTACTAAAGACCTCTTCCAGTATTCTGAAAGGCTTTCTGCTGGATGATTGCTTCTATGACGTTGTTTCCCCGTAATACGCGGCATTGATGTAATGTCCTCCTCCAGTCCGACTTTCTCCGCAACAGCAGTAGCTTCCTTTATAATTTCGTCTGTCACTTTTTCCGGATTTTCACGGTGGTTTTAAATTAGAAGTAAAATCCTTTTAACGTGTTCCGAGGCTTTGACCACGTCCAAAGCTACAGATTGGAGTACGTTGATAACGGGTTCCATCAAAGCCGAGTATTTGGCTACCAAAAATTCAGAGAATGAATGAAATTCTGGAAGTAGCCTCATGCAATTGGAAGGCACTTTTCCGAGTTGCACTATTTCCTTCCTGAGATGATGTTTGTAAGGGTTCCAGAATTATTGGAAGATTTTCTTTAAAAACATTGATGGTTTTGTGTTTCTCACTCCATCTTTTCTCGCAAAGTCTGGAAATATCAGGTATCAACTTCCTCTTCAAAACTGTTTCCCGAAAAAAGTTTATAGTATCTTTGGTGGTTCCCATGGCATTTCTAATTTCAGGAAGTGAATTTAGATCATTGATAACTAGATCTAGTTTGTGAGACGAGCAATGAAAGTAGAGGACTTTGATGTACTTTTTGCGTAAGATCGCTTCTACCCTTCCGTCTTTTCCTGACATCGTTGAACAACCATCAAAACCAAAACCAACGCATTCATTTATATTCAGATCTTCTTTTGTCAAAAACTCATCTATGCTATGTGCAATCGATTTCGCATCCAAATATTTTAGCTCAATGAATTCGACAAACATTTCTTGGACTTTCTGTGTTTCTTCATCAAAATATCGTGAATACTGATGAACGGCTGTCGTAGAAAGAAATGCGATGCACACAACACACACACACACCATACCTACCTCCTACCTACATACTTGTGATATACTGTTTGGAACCTTTGGTGCAGTAATGAATATTACTGGAGTTTTTTCCCAACACCAAATCGTTATTTTTACACCTCGACACGTTTTTCGATCACCAAGTGATCATCTTCCTCTTGAAGATGATCACTTGGTGATCGAAACACCTGTCGAGGTGTAAAAATAACGATTTGGTGTTGGGAAAAAACTTCAGTAATATTTCCTACCTACATATTTCTACACTGTTTAATGGCAAATCTGATGAATCGTGATGATAATGGCGGCGATTTTAAAAACGGATGTCAAAATCTTAATGTTATTCTGAATATTTCAATACTTTCTACAATATACATTAAACCTTGTGAATTTATTTACGTTTTGTCATGCGATGCGGAATTTATTAATAGGTAAGGAAGTCAATTGATCGCATTTTGGTCGCTTTGCGGCTAGCTACATTTGATCTTTCGGTGGGGGCAACCGCCCCTCTGCCCCCCGTTGGCGACGCCCTTGAAATATGATATGAACAATGAATATATTGGTGATATACATGTATTGGCTGCACCTATCGCCTCTTCTATAGTCGCTGGTTGTCGTCAATTTGACAACAAAAAACTGGACTTTTTGGGAAGAACTCATTATCAATCCTAACAAAATAGTACCTATTGGTTACATTCACCAAGAGGGGAAAATATGTGATTAAACCCCATACACAATTTGATGAGCACGAGTGATTCGTAAACAACTTTTCCTCCAAAGCTGAGAGGTGACAACCTGAATGTGGCCGCAAACTCCTTGAAAACGTGTGGTGTCTAAGAAATTGACGACAAATCGATGGTTCAGGAGACTACAATAGGCCTGCTCGTTGACACTACAGTAGGCCCTCTAATGCCTCATCAATATGTTGGCAAAAATTGAAACGATCATTACCGAAAGTTAAGTTGTAGAGAATGTACCGTTTGGGAATCAAAAGACTCACTACTGAGTATCCCACAGCTGCTCTAGAAGTAAAGTTAAATCTTCCCACATTCCTTTTTTGTGTAACAAAAGAAGAAGCAATATGTGCTTTCAGAATATACCGGATAGTTAATATAAGAGTGAGAAATCTGTGGCTGGGCGAAAGAAAATTCTGGTTTTTATCTCACTGCTAATTAGGCACGATTTCGTGATCATAAAAAACCTCCAATAGATGCATCTCACGAGCCGCAGCTGAGAGGAAACGTTTTGGTATGGTATACTAATGGATCCAAGATGGCTCATATGACTGGCGAAGAAATGATTAGATCAAGATTCAAATCTCCAAGTCACTTGCAAACATTCCACTGTTTTTCAAGCAGGTGAACTCTGGAAAGTCGTGGCGCAAGGATCTACGTTTTCATCAGACCACCAAAGGGGCACTACAGGCTTTGAAGTCATCTACTTATGAGTCCATACTGACTTGGAACTGCAAACGAATCAAAGAGTATAGATGCGGGTGCCAGGTCTCGAAGGATTTGAAGGAAGAGAAAGAGCTAATTTAATAATAATTAATAATTTTTTATTATTTCCTGGTTAAAAAGTACATTGTTATACGTACAGTGACAAGGAAAACGTCTGAGGGTAGGACACGTTACAGAGTATAATGTTTGTAGTAATCAATAATCTAAAAATATGATACATATAGGTATATACATATAATTATTTGTTTGGCTTAGATTATGTAAAAAAATAACTATAAATAAATGAAAGTCAATTTTATCACATAGTTGTGATATTTTGTCATTAAAATATAAAAAAACAGTTTAAAATTCATCAAGTGTGTAGCAATTTTTTTCAATAAGTGCCTTTTTCAGTCTTGATTTGAAAATTTTAAGATTTGGTGATATTTTAATTGATTCTTCTAATTTATTAAACATTTTTGGTCCAACATAAAGAAAACTTTTCTGATAAAGAGTTGTTCTATGAATATTGGGCATCAGTTTGTCTCTAGAACGAGTTGGATAATTATGTTGCTGGAAAGGTGTATTATGGTTGTTTCTATAAACGTATATACACAATTCATAAATATAGAGACCAGCAACAGTTAGTATCTTGAGATTTTCAAAATCCTCTCTACATGATTCTCTCCAACCAATACCGGCGATGATTCTTATTGCATTTTTCCCAAAATAAATATTCTTTCAGCAGCAGATCCGGTACCCCAATTCAAAATTCCCTATCTCAAGTGACAGTTTATGGTCGCATAGTATAAGCTCAGTAAAAACTCTTTACTTCAAAAATTAGCCATGAATCTCAGAGCACAGCAGTTTTTTCTCAATTTAATACAGAGGGTCTCAATATGAGGAGTCCATGTGAGTTTGTAGTCCAAGGTGACGCCTAACATTTTTGTAGAAGTACAAGATTCAATTGGCAGATCCCCATTTTCATGGATAACAAAATGTTCGAGCCAGTTACTAATTGTGAACTTCATCATTACAGTTTTGGATGTACTGAGTGTTAAGTGATTTTTTTCTGCCCATATGTTTATTTGTTTATGTACATCCTGGGTTCTTTCCTGTAGGGTCGTTACATCAATTTCCTTCACTATGAAATTTGTGTCATCTGCATACGCTACTGTGTGAATAGTTGACAATCCTTGAAAATATTTCATCAGGTCGTTAGCATATATCAAAAATAGTATAGGTCCAAGGATTGATCCCTGTGGGACACCCTGCCTAATGGTTGCCAACTGAACGAGAGTGTTTCCAACACTGACACGTTGCCCTCTATTTTCCAGGTAGGATTTCATTAAATCTAGGGCAACTCCTCTTACACCATATCTTTCCAATTTCCCTAATAGCAGGTCATGGTTAACGCAATTGAAAGCTCTGGAAAAGTCTATGAACAATCCGCAAATATGGAATTTACCATCAAGAGCATTAACCACATGCTCATTGAACTTATAAAGTGCTGTTTCTGTACTTTTGTTCTTTGTGAAACCGTGTTGGTTTTCTGAAAAAAGGTTATTTGTTGTGAAGAAAGACATTAATTGATTTTTTAAATTTAGTTCAAAAATCTTGGAAATACTTGGGAGTAAGCTAATTCCCCTGTAGTTTTCATAGAGGTTTCTATCCCCTTTTTTATAAATTGGTGTTACTTTTGCTAGTTTTAGACTATCCGGAAAAATTCCATTTTCAGTAGACAAGTTTATGATATACGTCATTGGGCTGCAAAGTTCATAAGAACATTTTTTCAGTAAATTGTTTGATATCTCATCGTAACCACTTGTGTTTGAATGCTCTTTATCAATTCTATAATGAAACGAACTAATAATCCTTCCTCTGAACCTGAATGTATCTCAGTATTCTTTAAGTGTTACTTGTAGGAAGAATTGCGATAATGGAATAAATTACCATCACAATAACATGCAGGCCAAAAATTTGATTATCCTATTACCAAAGAAAGTTGTATAGAGTATTGTTAGACAAAAAAAAAAGAGATTGGTGAAAAAACTTTTCAAATAAAACTGCCCACTAAGATGAAATGTTCAGATAAGACAGTGAGAGGTGACTGAGCCGTCTCATGACGGACAAGCATGGGTCTGCAAAAGTTTCTTGAAGGATTAACACTAATGTTCTGTGATATAAAGAAATTATCACCCCCAAAGTTCATTAACTTCAATTTCTTTCATAATTCCACAAATAAAAATCTATTGTGTTGTGTGTTAGGAATCACACGATAAAAGGTAAGACCTCGTTAATCCTTAGCTCGCACAAGTTTCGACTTCTGAGGGTTGTCGTTCGTAGGGGTGCGACAGCTGGTTAACGGGAAAACAGATTTTAAACAGATTTTTTAAAACATGATATTTATGTTATCTACAATGTGTTTAACTGAATGCCAAATATTTGACGGAAATGGACCTACCATGAAAATTTTCCAGGCTACCTCCCATTTCCGATCCAGAGTTATTCTTTGTCCATGATCCACAGGGCTGGCATCCATCAGACTTTCTTCTAGTAGATCGGCAGCAGTCCCACTTTCCATCCCTCCAAGGACTAGGGTGGAATGTCTTTTTTAAATGTATGTTATTGGCGCATGCTGAAATGATGAAAGAACAAGTATTATAATAGATGAAAATATACTCTCTATAGGAGAATTTCTCTTGTTTTAGTTTTACAAAAATTAACGAAACAAGGACCTTTTAAAAATAACAGGACACTGGGGTTAGAATTGGTGCGCGGTATCCCTTACCATTACTAAAAATAGATGATAAAGCGTATTGTCAAAGGAGCCTCTGCGATACTATGTTACCTCGTGAAGTACTCAGTATTAATTCTATGCAGGAAGCACCACGGATGTAGACCAGGGGTCTCCAAACTTTGAAGCCTTCGGGCCATAATGATTTTTTCAGTTTGTTCCAAGGGCCAATTTCTACCCTCAACTATATTTCTAGACTAGGATAGTCGCAAAGTGCGTGACCTAAGCAAACTTACGCTTTTTTTGCATTTCAATTATTATTGTGTATTGTGACACCTAACGACATCTAGTGGCGAGTAGTGGTACTATTTTAGTATGGAAAAGAAGCGAAAAATCGACAGTGATTTTAATCGATGGGTATTTTCAAATTTTAATATTTTGAAGAAAAAAGGAAGGAGTGAAATTTTTTCCTCTGTTTGAGGTTTATGAAGCCCATATTGATTATTTAAAATAGTGAGAATAAACACACGTCTTTCCTATTATCTATTTCGATTTAGTGAAACTCTATTCATTCCCATTCACCATAATAGTTTTAGTGTGGTACTCATTATTTTAGATGTGGAACGCTTCATTGATAAAAAATTCCTCAGTGCAGCAACACTGTTCAAAATATCATATTTGTCCTCACAGTTAACACACATACCACTAATGATGTCTGTCGCTGTAGCAGACGAAACGTTTTGTATTATAAGTTCAGTTCGAGCACAGCCTCTCTTATAGTCACTCCGGCTGTAAAAGCCTATGTTTCTATAGGAATATATCGACTATGTACCGGGTACTATTCATAAAAAAATCTCACCTCCTCGTATTGCAACTATCCAGTCGATGCGGTCGCTGGGCGTTGAAGCCAGAAGAAACAGAATATGATCTTTGCCTTTTGAAGTGAATCCCAACAGAAAATGAGAATACTCATCCGCCTTCAGTAAGTCTTTATGGTGAAGTTTGTTTGCACTTTCAACGGTGTGGATCGAATCCAATTGTATTCTTCCCCGTTCTTGTGGAGCCTATAACAAAAAACCTCATCACAAATACAATTAAAAGGAAATACAACCATCACATCAAAACCTTTTTACCTACAAAAAGTTCATCCCTACTTATCCCTATCCCTACTATCCCTACTTCCCTACTAATATTATAAATGCGAATGTAACTTTATATTTTTTATGTAACATAAAACATGTAACATAAAAAATTTGTTTTTCAAAATCTCGAAACCTAGCTACTTTAACGTCATCTAGCATTCCAGTAATGAATTTCCAACCCTTAGTACCGTAATGCCGTCGCATTTTATTATTCACAGTCAGGACAATATCCAGTCCAATCCAATCCATTCCAATCCAATTGACTATAGTTTCAGCTGTTTGGAATTTTTCTATATTTATTGTTATTTTCTTCTGTCATTTTTATTCTTAGGTTAGGTGCTTGTGGTTAGATGCCACTTAATTATTTCAACATTTGGTGTTGCAATTCAATAAATCATTTTTTAAATTTTTAGAACCCCATCGTATGTAATAACTTTTAAAAATTGATAATCCCAGCCAAGCATTAAAATATAGTTCTCATATTGATCCATTTCTATTGTACTGACACTTATTTAATGGCATAAATGCGAGCGAAACCGCGAGTAAAAGTATAAATCAACACCTCCTATATAGCACGTTAAAGACATTCCTATCGATTTCATAGGTTTGCAAAAGGAGTGAGAGGGTGTAGTTCCACCTTCGAACAAAATAAACGAACACAATATATATGAGGGGGTTCAAACCACCCTAGAAAACCGAACTTGTAAGTATGTTATGTTGAAATATGTTTTTTTCCGTTAACCAGCTATCGCATCCCTACGAACGACAACCCTCAGAAGTCGAAAGTTGTGCGAGCTAAGGACTAACGAGGTCTTACCTTTTAAAGTGTTATTCCTAACACGGGTTGGACGATAGATACTGCCTTCTTTAAATTCCCAACATTCCGTTTCGATTCCAACCATTTGCGCAAAGGGGGTGAGGAGTGTATCTTATTTCCCCTGCTCATAATAAAAACCAATCTTAAGACTGTTCAAAAAAGTACTACCAGCTTAAAATTCATAGAGTATTTTGGGGGTAGACATCTTACTGCCTATCAGTTTTATCAGTAAAAAAACAGTCAAGTCCTTTCAGTAAAATACTTCCAGCTTGAAATGAACGGTCATTGAAAATATTAATGAGAAATTGTGGTCTCCGATTGGATCTTTGTGGAATATTTCAAGTTGTTGACAATACCATGATCTGACACTCTCAAATTTATCCAACAAACATACGTCGATTTATCGTAAAAGGAATTATCGAATTAGCAGTGAAATACCCGATTTTGATAACTTTTTCATCATATGCTTGAGCAAAATGGAAAAAGACTTACTAAAATCAGAAGCAATTAAACTGAATGAAACTGCACAGATTAGAAGTGCTTCGACCTTTCACAAAATCAAACTCAGATCCTGAAGTCGATGGTAGGTAGATAGGTAGGTCTAAAGTAAGTGGGTCTATTCGACCCTCGACCGCAACCCATAAGGGTTTATTGTGGCTCACAACTATTAACACTCGGCCAAATAAACCCAGCTTCTTAATGAAGCCGATTAGTATGGTGAGTGGTCTTTCAGGTCGGATGGTGAGAGTACGGATCTACCGAACTCAAAGAACCTGATTCGGTCCCGAGCGGGGCAGGCACAAAGTATATGCTCTGCAGTTTCATCATTTTCCAGACAGAGGCGACACACACTGTCTTCCGACAGTCTAAGTCTCTGCATGTGATCATTCAAATGACAGTGAACTGTAAGAAGGCCTGCTAGACATTAGTTCATCCCTACTGTTTGGAATCAAGCTTCGAAGAGAGAATAAACGCCTTGGAATGAGCCAATCCTGGAAGATTCTGCCAGAAGTCCATAACTCTTCTTGCCATCCAGGTGTTAAGTGGTTGGCAAAGTCCAAACCGATGCCAATGACAGGCTCTTGTCCAATGAAGCCGTTGCAGCACCCTCCTTTGCAAGAGAATCAGCAGCTTCATTGCCTACCAGGCCAGTTTGGCCAGGAATCCAGACCAGAGACAATCTGTTTAGTCTTCCTATAGAGGAGAGTCTTTTTTGGCAGTTTGCTACCAATTTAGACGTTGCTCGGTGGGAGCCAAGAGCTTCCAAAGCCGCTTGACTGTCCGAGAATATTTTTATTGACTTGTGAGTGAGGTTGGATTTATCCAATCTCTCCGCACACAATTCAATAGCGTAAATTTTTGCTTGAAATACAGTCGCATAAGTTCCTAGGCAGGTAGATAACTCTGTCCTGGGTCTGCGACTGAAAACACCTGCACCAGAACCGGAAGGTGTTTTTGATCCATCTGTGAAGCAACAACTATCTGCTCCTAATATTTCCTTCTCCCGCAGAATCAAGTCCTCTCTATTCGTGAATAGTAGGTACTTTATAAGGCAGTTCGTAGTTGACAGTTGGAGGCATAAAGTCAGAGGTCATTTCCAGAATGCTGTGACTTCCAATGTCAACCAACAGTCTGTTGCACTCTGCATTGAATTGATTTGTGCAATTGGCAATGTGCACAAGTCTATATGCAGTCCATCTAGCCTCTCTTTCCAGAAAAATGTGGAGAGGAGGTAGATCTAGAAGGATCTTCATGGCCGCTGACGGTGTGGTACTGATGGCACCACTGATAGCCAGACAAGCCTGTCTCTGTAAGCCAGAGAGCTTCGCTTGGGCCGTTTTCTGTAACGCCTTCGACCACCAAGCAATTGCACCATAAGTGATCATCGGTCTGACAATCATCACATAAATCCACTGGATTTGTTTGGGATCTAAACCCCAAGTTTTACCACAAATCCTTCGACATGTTCATAGAGACAGTCTGGCTTTGTGTAAAACTTTTTCTAAGTGAGCGTTCCAGGTGAGTCTTTTATCAAGGACAATGCCAAAATATTTCACCTCCGTTCCAAATGGAATGACCACACCATTGAGGGAAAGTGGCGTTAGATCGTCCAATTTCCCTCTCTTGGTGAAGGGGATTAACACAGTTTTGGTGGAGTTGACAGACATCTGCTCCCTCAGGCACCAACTGTGAACAACGTTCAACGCGCTTTAGAGGATACTACAAGCTACCCTTCCCGACGTGGACCTTGCCAGGATGACAAGGTCATCTGCATAAGCTTGCAGATCAACTTTTCTTCTGTCGAGGGCATCAAGCAGACTATTCACCAGGAGCGACCACAGAAGGGGAGATAGTACCCCACCTTGAGGGCAGCCCCTGGTGACCCTGAACCTGATAGCTTCGCCTTGAAGAGTCGTAGTTGCAGTTCTGTTTACTAGCATGGCATAGATCCAGCCAGTTATGGTCGATTCTATACCCTTTCTAACCAAAGACAATCCTATAGATTTAGGTAGTGCATTGTCAAATGCTCCTTCAATATCATGAAATATAGCAACCGCAATCTCCTTGTTGTCGAAGGATTGGGAGATTTTCTCAACAAGGTTGTTTAATGCTGAATCTGTCGATTTGCCGGTTTGATAAGCATACTGGTGGTTATTCAGTGGGGATGCATATAAAGCTGCCCTACTGATATGTCCGTCCAGTATCCTCTCAAGTCCTTTCAGCAAGAAGGATGTAAGGCTGATTGGTCGTACCGATTTGGGGTGTGGGTCTCTCCGGCCCACTTTAGGTATATATACCACCCTTGCTGCCAACCAATTGGGTGGTATATAGTTCCTCGCCAGACTAGCTCTATACAATTTTGTGAGAATAGGTAAAATTACTTCCAGTCCGTTTTGAAGAAGAGCTGGAAATATACCATCCTCTCCGGGAGATTTGAAGGGCTGAAAAGACTTGATAGCCCATTCAACTGCCGGTGCTGTGATAACCTTTCTTGCGACGGCCCAGTCGTTCTTTTTTGGGCGTTTAGCACCCCCAAAAAAGTCGATGGACGTGAAGTGAAAAGCAAATAATTTCAGTTTTTTACGAAAAAAAGCGTTTTGACTTGCTATCTCTCCATCATTAAACAAAAAATGTGGGAAATTTGCAAAAAAGAAAGAAAAACTAACTACAATGAAAGAAGTTCTATGAAAATATATAGGATATACACAGGGTATATTCCGAATACTTGCTGGCAGAAAAAACTCTCCCGAAACAACTACTTTCACACGAGCATTGAATCTGTATCTGTAGAGTAGGGAGGGTGAGTGTAAGCACACAGCACTTAGGCCACATGTGAACCATTGTACACCCTTCCGAGGAGTTGTCCTTCTAGGTCATCGTCCATTCTGTTCTTTCCAGGAAGGTGGACAGGTCTCTGGGAGACATCTCCTTTACATCGGCAGGTGCGTAGGCCAAGACTCGCCGAACACACACTCTCTTATTGACGATAACTCCGAACATTCGCATAGGACATGCCTGACAGTTTCGTCTTCCTGTTTACACATCCTGCCTAGAGGTGTGTCCACTAGCCCCATATTATGGAGGTGTTTCCTTAGGAGCATTGAGTTAAGCTAAAGAAAAAAATCAAAACATACATTGAATTATACAAAACAATACAAGATAATATTGATATAAAATGTCAGTTACATGGAATCATCATCAATGGTATACTTCGAAGTTTCGGGACAATACACTTGTCTCATCACCTCATCGTACATACCCATAAATAAAATTTGATAATTCCAATTCCAGCCGATCGTTTCATAGTTACTGAATTCACTTAGGGTTCCAGATTTGTGAGTATGACGATTAATAGAACTTCATCAACGGCTTGAAGAACACCGAGGCGCTGTATTCTAGAGGCGCTAGAGCTCCGGTATGCAAAAACTACCTATAGGCCAATCAATGATGGCTAAAAGGGGGCTGTAGTGGAATTGAAATATGCGAGAGTTTCTAACTTCAAGGCTTCATTAGTTATAATTAATAGGTAAACTGAACATCCCCTCCCTGAGACGTGCGTATGAGGTGGAAGGGGGAGAGAAGATTCCATTTTCGTATTTTTCGATTATATCTCAGAAATGATAGATTCTTGAAAAATAAAATACAACAATGTCAACATTTTTACTTGAAAACAGTTTTTATACGTCGGATAAAAAGTTATATGAGTGATATAGTCCAATTTATTATAATTAATGAGATATTTGAACATAAGGATTTTTTTTTCATTAGCAAATGCTATAAATGGTAGGAGTTTGAATTTTGGGCTGAATTTGTTCTTTAATTAATATAAAATAAATGAGTCCAATATTTTTTCATCGTATTTATTTATTTAAACATAAAAGAAACAGGTGAGACTGTTGGAGTAAAGGAGAACATAATTTTTGAAATTCGATATATTATTTCTTAAGAAATAATACGTGGTTCTTTTTGTTACACTGGGTGGGAAGAAAAATCCAATGTTTTATAACAAATTGTTTAATGAGAAAACAATGAAAATGTAAATAAAAACATTTTTTTAGATAAATCATGATTTAAAAAATGCTTCCCTAATATTAATTACAAGTGGCAGAAAAAATTAACAGATCCGTTTTTGAGCAAAGAAATATTTTTTAAGAAACGATTTTTTTAAATCATAATTTGCATCAAAGATTATGTTTCCAAAAAAATGTTTAAATTATCTTATGAAAAATGCATTAGTTTATAACAATATTTTAAACAATAGGTGATAAAAAATTTTAAAATTCATTTTTATGTAGCTTCTGATCATAAAAAACGGATTGATAGTAATATTAAAAAAATGTTTTCAATGATTAATGAAGCTTTTTTTTTAATTTTTCAATTGCTGATAACAAATTGAAAAATAACATTGAAAATCTATTCTGAGACCTTTCAAAAATAGCTCTAAAAAAAGAAATGAATATCAGATTTGTTATTTAACAGTTATGCCACTTACAAAATTGTTAATCAACTAATGCAAAATTAACTGGAAAATCACGATAAAAATTTTTGACCGCGGATTATTGTTCATTCATTTATCAAGTAAGTGCCTGAATTTTTCAATTCCTAATTTTTATATTTAATAAGTTGAAATAATATTTTTCGTTAAAGTTCCAAAGTAGGCGTGTCAAAGAACCCGTATTTTCAACCCTCTAGGAAAATCATAAATGTTGGTCCTACGGTTCCGGCAGCAGAAACATTTTTTTGGGAAATTTACCCCTTTTTTTGGTTAAGGTTCCATAACTTTTATCCTCTTCTTTCAAGCAAGAAGTTTACCCAATTCGAAGAGAAGCGGATAAAACTTATAGAACCTTAACCTTCTTAGGCCAACCCACTACAAATATTTCAGATTTTCTGCACAATAAAAGTGTAAATATTGATTTCAAAACCAACAACTTAGGCATGCACATCAAGAATAACAAAGATAAAAGTTCAGTTTCAGAAAAATCGGGGTAAATTATCATGTGGGTCATGTTCCATGTTTTATATAGGTCAATCTGGAAGAACGTTCAAAGCCCGCATAAAGGAACGCAAATATAGCTTCCAGAATGGAAAAATAAATTCCACATATGCCAGTCATTTAATCACAGGGGGACATGAGTTCAACCGTGAATACAAGCCCCTCCATTTCCAGAAGAAAGGTTTGAAACTTAACTTTTTGGAGAGTATGGAAATGAACAAATTCAAAAACTCAATATCTTATGAACGATCAAACTGAATTGAATAATTTACCATTATTGAATCTGTTCAAATAGTTGAGTATATTTATGGTACTTTCGAGAAATTTATTCATATTCATTCATTAGAAAGTAGGCATACGAGTAGGTAGGTAATATATTAGAGTATACAATGGTTGTAATTTTGAAGTAACTTTTAGTTGACCCTTGAGGAAGCTATATTGTATAGCGAAACACGTGTCGCGGTTTTTGTAAAACTCTTTATAGTGAAAATCACACAATAAACTGTATTAATGAGTTTCAAAAACCTTTTTGTCAATACTCTTATGTTACTACCGAATAATGTAAATTTGTAACAGTGAAAAATATGTAGATAAATAACTAATAGATTAAGCGCAGGGCTGTTCGCTCACATCGCTGCATTTTTCTTACTTCTAGCATTTCAAACTCGTCGTAACTTCTGAACAAAAATCCGATTCAAATAATAAAAAGAGGAATCTACATGTAATCCTCCTTGATTATGAAACTATTCAGTTGGATAATAAATATCAAGTAAATCAAGTTTTTGCAATGCACTCCAAATAACGGGCAAATTTACGATACGTTGAGTTGCTTATTGTAATTTTGAAGGGATAACTATTTTGTTTTATTCATAAAATAAAGCCCATGTTACTAGCTGATTATGTAGCTCTCTATATGTGAAATATTTTTTGAAATCGATTCAGAAGATTTTATGTTTATTCATTACAAACAAACATACAAAAAACTCAAATATTCAATGTTGATGTTAGTTTAGGATTATGAATGAACGTGCGGTGTACTGATAAACAATGTTCATCACTGCGAATTTTCCTGTAGGTCGTCAGAAACAATGAAATTACTGATAAAGGCATCAGGAAATTCCAACCCCACTATCTCCACAGGATGTGTAGTTAGGAAAAAAATTTAACATGCGTGGCAGCCCCTCCCTTGTTAACTTCCGGTCAGTAGGGCCTTGTTCATCGAAAATATGTCACAGAAACAATAGCTTTATCCCTGGTACACTCGGTCTGCATACCAAAGCAGGCATTAAAACACACTAAATAGTTACTCACTGAAGACGTGCCTGATGATTCATCGACATCGTAGTAAATAAGGAACTTGCTGGTGAGGCGAAACAACCTTTTTTTGAAGTTCACACACGTGAATATATTTTTGTTGATGGATCTTTTAACCAGGAATCCCTCTTTCAGTATTTTGTTCTCCTGCATGTCCTGACTTTTCGGAACACAAACTTCCCGCACTCGAACATTTAAAGACGCACCGCGAACAAAACACAGTTTAAAATAAATGCCACACGCGTACGCGCTACGCTATTTCTACTCGTGTAAGTTTGCGCCCGAAGAAAGGTTGTGCTTTACTGATATCAGTTATCCTTTTAATAACAGCTTTGTCCACGTTGGAAACGTACAGGATACGTCGCAATTAGAAAATCATTCGTGTGTAAGGGGTTGCCAGAAAACAACGAATACACCAGCAATTACTTCATTGTGCTTATCGAAAAGTCGTTAGAGATAAAATAGCAGGCAGGGCCGGCCAGGCCAAAAAAACAAGTTTGGTTTACAAACTGTATTTTCCTTGCATACAATCACAGTCTTAGTAACAGTTTGTAGAGATTTATACGTGATAATTGAATTTGAATAGAACATAATTTTATTAATCCATAAATGACTCAACAAGCTATTCGCCAAGTCAAATTTTACAAAAATAACAGTTCAATAAGATCATAATAAAAAAAACAATACCAGTTTATAAAATAATATATAATGTGGAAATGAAATATTAAAAATATTATACATATCTCTTTCGTGTAGTTCAATGTTTATATGAAAGTAACTGTTTTGAGAAAGATTTTCTTCCAGTTTGTGTCTGAAAGTTACTTCTTTGCATGATCTACACATCTTTGTATAGAGTTAAATTTTGAAATCGGTTGCTTTCTTCCATTCTTTGGAAGATTCTCACATTTTTTTGTATAAAGATGGAGAAGTAGAAAGCTAAAACGTTTCTTTCCCAAAACTTAATCTCTCCTGAAAATATACCCCTTTCATCAAGATTCCTTTGGCTGGAATTTAATCAAATAAGCGAACGAATGTCATTACATACTGTACTCAATGACATGAGTAGATTAAACTCATTCGTGACAAAGTTGTGATTATCTTAATGAATTGCGAACATCTTTTAATGTTATCCAAATATCGTATTGAAGGAGCTGATAAGGGAAGTGTCTTACGACGAAACATCCGGATGTCTTCCAGTGAAGATGACAGTGTTCCATGTACTTGAGTGAAATTTTACCTCTTTCAATCACTGTATATCATTGTGTAGCAATCCTGTAAATGGTATCTGATTCAATTCCATAAAGAATTTTTGGAATATAAACTGCATAGAGAAAAGTGTTTTTGTATAATTTAGTGTTCATATAAAAGTGTTTTTTTCGTGTAATTCAATGTTTAAATGAAAGTAGCTGATTCAAGTATTTTTTTGCCAAACATATTTTCAAAATGGGTCTTCTGTGAGAGCCACATATCGGTGATTTCGTGTACATAATCGGCCCTCAGAAGTAACCATTCCCAAAATAGTGCATAAATTCGAAACTACCGGAAAAGTGTGGCAGAAAATCCACAAATGCCTCTTGAAAGTCTATCACAACATTTGGGCATGGACAGAACTTGAACATGGCGAATTTTGAAAAAAGAGTTAGGTCTACATCCTTACAAGATTCAATTTACGCAGGAGCTAAAGGATGCCTATTTACGGTTACGTAAATAGGCAAAAGTCGCATCTGGGACAATAAAAATCCTAGTCAGATTCACAAAAAACTAATGCATGCTCATCGTGTGACACAATGGTGCAGTTTTTGAACTGGGAGTATCATTAGTCCAATTTTTTTTTAAATTAAGATGAACAAGCTGTTGCAGAAAACGCATAGCAATACCAAAAGATGATTTATGTTTTTTATGAAATAAGATTGCGACAGGCCATACATCACGAGAAACATTGAATTTATTGTGTACACGGTTTGGAAGGAGGATTATCTCGCTGGGTTTATTTTTTGTGGGGTTTGTGAAAAACAAGACCATTCAACAATCGAAGCAAGAAATTACACACGAATAATTCGTGACAAAACTCCACAAATGTTTTTGAAAGTAATGGAAATTCACCAAAAGAATTATGTGCTGCCTGAGAAGTCGTGGTGGTCATTTGGCAGATATTGTATTTCACATATAATTAATTGTACACTAGCTACGAACTGCGATAAATTTCAAGTTTGTTATAAAACATTCATTTTATTCGTTATCAACATTGAAAACCTCTTATTGGTTACCCGTTTTTTGTGCCGAAAACTATACTCGTAGAGAGATAGGAAGCCACTTCTCATTTGATGATGGATGTCAAAGCTTCGCTTTGCAAAAGTCCACCTTTGAGACCCCTGTTCATCTTTAATTCATCACTCTTCCAACTTGAATTTTTTTGATAGTGAATTTGATGTTGAAGTTAGTTTAGTTGAACATATATATTCAGTTCATTTCTTTAGATTTGTTTACTGCCTGTCTTCAAGCATAGCTCACTGACTAATAAGAAACTTTTTCTTCGGTATTCAGAGGAATCGGGCAAATTTGGGATATGCAGTTGGTTAGTACCTCATCCACTAGATGGAGTGACATTTTTCTTATTCGCTCCAACTTAAGATGAGGAATGAAATATTCTGAAAGAATTCCGATTTTCAGTTATGCCAGTCAGTTATCCTAGACAAGAAGCTAACATTCCAGGACCACGTACAGCAGAGAATAGGAATGGCTAAGCAGGCCAGAAGACGCCTGGCGCCGATCATAGGAAGAAGTAGCAACATGGCACTGAAAGTCAAGCTACTGATGATCAGAACGATCCTAATGCCAATAATACTGTATGCATGCACTGCCTGGGGCCAGTGTGCGCAGACATACAGAAAGAAGATCCAAGCATTTATGAATACGAGCGTAAGGGCTGCCGTAAATGCACCGTACTATGTTCCAAACAGATACATATACAGAGATCTAGACCTGGACACGCAATATGTGGACGTGTATATGAGAGAACATGCAGAAAGCACGTTCGATAGAATCAGATCGCACTTAAATCCAGCGTTTCGCAATCTACACGAGGCGTTGAACATGGATGACCCCAGGTTCCGAGAAAGGGACAAACATCCAAGGCCGACCAAACAAAATCAGAGACCGCCCCCACGAGTCGCCGTCAGGCGGCTCCGGCAAGTATAATATTTTGAAGTGTATTAACCATATATTCTCTTTCAGGAAAACTGCGACTCACTTTCAAATCGCATTCTCTCAGCTTCACTGAGAAACGCCCGTCAATCACAATTATGGCCGCCGTTAGTTTTGGGGGCCCCCATGCAAAAATTCAGTTAGGAATACCGCGACAAACAAGAGCCAAATAAAAACTTAAATCGAGAAGTTAGATAGGGAAATAAAAGCACCTAAAGGCTGGTTTCCAACCAAAAGAGGTTAGATATCAATCTTGCTGAAGTGCCAGCAGCTGGATTGAGGACCGTTTCCTTAAGAAACGGGGGTGGAAGGAAAGGGTCGCCAGGTCCAAACCTGCGGAAGCGATTCCGTAAGGAGGGAGCTTGCGACCTGGGCACACAACCCGGGAGGGGCATGGGGGGATTTTCAGTTATGGAATATCATTGACTTTAGGTCGATGCTGGTCACTATCTTGCACTGACGAGTGGCTAAGGAGCCCGAAACCGGTCTGCAAGTGTGCCCGTTCCAAAACTGAAGGTCGATTCTTTCAGTTGTATTGTCAATTGAATATGCAAAAAATGTTGTTAAGATTCCTGCACTGACGCATGTCGGATATAATCCAACGCCGTTCGTGGTATTATCCAGGGGAATAGTTGTTTTCTGATAGACGTCAGTCCATTCAACCTTCTGTGTAGGTATATCCGAGACTGGCTAGAACATTTAAAGTTCATTTCTTTAGATTTGTTTAATGCCTGTCCTTTACTGAACAATTACTCGTGAAATTGTATAAACGTTATTGTAAATGTAAACTACGGATAATATTTTTTTATCCAACAAAATATGAACAAAACTTAACATATATTCACAATTATTAAGAACACTTGATAATAAATACTTGATAACAATACTTGGAGTTAATGTTCCAATCTCAATATAATTTGAAAATTCATAAAAATTAACAATTCAATGGGTTCCTATACAATATACAATACAATATTACTAATTTAGTTTATTCTAATAGTAAGTTCAGAACTTCTATTTTTAGATTGATCAAGAACATTCTGGAATACATATTATCACATATATTTCCTAAAAATAAATATCTGGAAGATAATCGTGGGTGTAAAATATTTTATTCCATTCACTTACAAGTCACATTTAAATACATTAATAAGTAACCAACGGCAGTAAAAAATTCATCAGTTGATATAAAATTCATTATCATACACATCTTGCAGATCCTTATAACCAGTGTAATGCTAACCATTTGATATCAATTCTTAACTTTTCTTAAGTAGTTTAGAATTCATAGAACAATGTATTTTCATATTTAAATACAAATCATATTATCAACTTATATGATGAAACTAAATTACATTCAAACATAATAACTATAACAATTCATATTGAATATACCTGATATGATATACACTATCATATTTCTCACTTTTCAAAAAAGATACGAATTTCAGAAACACGAAGCATCACAAGAATAAACTACTACTGACATCACAGGTATTCAAATGAAAAAACAAAAAATGCATTATGCCTTTCAATCAGTATATAAAAAAAGATGAAAATATATTATTATTAATTAAAACTGCAAGGTACCATTAGATAAAAAATATGCCTTTGTCAAGAATGCAGAAACTATTATGTTGTGTCAAAAGTTTTTTCCCCTTTAATGTCACGTGTTTTTGTAGCTCCATATCTCAATAAATATTTATTCTACTGTGATCAATAGAGAATTTTATATTCTACATATAGATGCCAATTTTTCTCTACAAATTCGAATTGAACCAAAGCGCTACCGAAACAGTCCGAATAATTAACCAAGCATTTGGAAATAATAGTCTCAATGTACAGTTTGATGTTAGTTTGCCAAATTTTGTTCCGAAGATTTTAGCATCGAAGATGAGCCCCAAAGTGGTAGATCGACAATAATCCAGCACGAGGATTTGAGGACCCTGGTGGAGACTGACCTATCACAGACGGTGCTAGGGATGGCGGAAACACTGGACGTCATCTCCCATGCGGTTTTTGATGGTTTAAAACGTATTGGAAAGGTCGAGAATACTCGAAAAGTGGGTGCCCCACGATTTGAACAATCAACAGAAATTGGAATGTTTCGAGGTCTGTCCTGTGTGCAACCAAAACAATCATTTTTTTGAATCGGATCGTCCTGTGATGAACAGGACAGTAGATGCTCAAAACAGTGACTGGACACCAATGAACCACCCAGGCACTTCCCAAAGACAAAAACCCACTAAAAATGACCATGGTTACTGTATGGCAAAGCACAAAAGACACAAAATCTGTATATTTTAAGTATATTCGCGCATTTGTTGCGCTTTCTGAAACAGCGTAAAATTTTTGATAAAACAAACAGACCTGTGAACCAATTACCGATTTATCTATGCTACAAATTGTTTTGAAAAGTGACAGACGGAAAATAGAATAAAAAAATCTGTTTAAAATCTGTTTTTCCGTTAACCAGCTGTCGCACCCCTACGAACGACAACCCTCAGAAGTCGAAACTTGTGCGAGCTAAGGATTAACGAGGTCTTACCTTTTAACGTGTGATTCCTAACACGGGTAATAAAACAGGGTGATCAAATAATCTTTAAGATTATTTGATCACCCCTTTGATAATGTTCGTCAAAGTTTTAGACGAAACTTCATGCCCAAGATATGAATATAAATCAATGAAAGATATCAAATCTGATACATAATTGGTTTGCAGTCCTGCAAATCAAATCCAATGGTGCTTTTAGCATTAAATTGGTTTGCACAAAAAATTGTATTATTTCTATATGTTAATCTTTAGGTAAGGATATCTATTGCAGACAGTACTAGTGTCACCTTTTAATGAAAAATCGTTTAAAATATGAGATTTTTTTTCACTTCTCTACATAGTCACCATCAACATTTAAAAATTTGTAAAATCGTAGCAACAGCTTTTGAATCCCTTCATCATAGAAGTCTGCCATCTGACTATCAAAAGTGTCATTATTTTCCAAGTGCTTTCTAGCAACAAACTCCTTATATTTTGGAAAAATAAAAAATCAGGTCTATATTGGGTGATCTAGCGATTCCCAATAAAAGCCAGCTTGTTTACCTAAATTCCTAAATTTATATACAAAATGGGGATATTCCCCCTCAACTTTTAAACAGAACAAGATACTAGGATCGAACAAAGTTTACACAGAAAAGTATAATTTTTGGTGTTTTTTTTTATAAGACAATAGTATTGCATCACGACCTTGATATCTTGTTTCGTTCAAAAGTTAAGTACAATACACCCTGTATGTGTGTATTGTTTTTCTGTATAACCTATGCTTTGTCGATAACATATATTTTCTCAGACAATGAAGTATAATGATTGATATCCTGAAAATTATAGATGAGATTTGACTTCAACCTCACTTCATTTCTAACAATATTCATGTTAGTTTACTGTAAAGAAATTAATGGAATATAGTTTGAGAAAGTTACCTACAGTTTTCCTTTCTTCCAGAGTAAAAATTTGACAATGTGAGGAGCAACCCTTTCGGGGTTATTGTTATGAACGTCATGATTTCCTTCAACCATTTTGAATCTAATATTTTTCTGTTTTTTCAAGTATTGAATCAAAGAGCTTAGATACACCTGTTGAGCAGTTGATTTCTTTCCAAGAATAAAGAGAACTGGGCATTGTAAAGGATTTGACTTTAGCGTTTCTATTATGTACCGTATATCACGAGTCAAGTTCAAAGCATGTTTAATTCTCTGATCCAAAGTGAACTGGTATTGATCATTTCCTACTTTCTTCACTGATCTGGGAAACAACGCTACGGCAGCCGCCCTTGTAATTGGACCATAGTTCCTTCCATTCTGCAACTTATGCAGTGCTTCCTCTTCAGTATAGCTCGGAGGTTGTTTCCCTAACAGTTTCTCTTCCATTTTAACGAAATCCTCCAAGTTTCCACTGATGTAATCTTTGAAATAGCTTGCTGATACTGGAAAAATTGAAACGGTGTCCAACATTATTACCTTCTCCACACAATCGGGGTAAAGTTGAGCATACAAAATTCCAATCTGGCCTCCGTAGCTGTGTCCCAGAATAATGTACTTCTTTCCATAATACTTTGAAATATATTTGTATACCAAGAGGTAGTTCAGGGTATGGATGGGCAGGTGAGGAGGAAAATGGGATGATTGGCCATGTCCCGGTAAGTCCACTGCAATATAGTAGAAAGTATTTGGTAAGTAGGTTATTAAACGATCAAGTGAACCAGCATTGTCCATGATTCCGTGAGTGCATACAACCAGAGGATCCTGTTCTTCGCCATATGCTTTACCTAAAATAAATAAGTAAAATGCACTGATTGTAAACATTTATTCATTCTCAAGAAGTTATAATATGGTGTATATATTTTTCCTCAATATTTATTCACCATAAAGAGTTATATAACAGTGTGTATATGGCCAGTAAGGTAATTAATGAAGTACTACCAAAGAAACCTCCACCAGGCTTGTCTGTGGTTGATTTTAAGATGAAGTACAAAAATTTTCATCACCTACTATGAATAGCTATCACACCTTTTATCAATAATCTATTTGACGTTACAATGCTAAATTTTGATTTGAGGAACTGTTATATTCTGTACTCTCAAATCACTTATTCTTCAAAACAAAACGATACCTGAAATTGAAAGAGGGATATTTTTAGGAGTGGGTAATTTATGGGAAAGAAAGGTTTTGGCTTTCTACCTTTCCATCTTTATACTAAAAAATGTAGGAATCTTCAATATAGCTCGAAGATTGTTTCTCCAATAGTTTCTCTTCCGTTTTCACAAAATCCTCCAAGTTTCTACTGACTTAATCTTTGAAATAGCTAGTTGATATTGGCTTTTGGTGGGCTATTCATAACTGAACATAACTGGTTTTTTTTTCAATTCAAATTGTGTATGTTGAGCCAAATATCTATTTGTTTCAAGTCAAGCAACATTTGGTATTGTTTGAAAGTAAATTTTCGTTGAAGTACATCAAAGTTATATAATCAATAACTAGTACACTAACTTTCAAAAAAGTTGTAATTCCACAATATAATCAATGATTTCACAAACTACACCTAAAGATTTGATTTTCACAAACTTTAATTTTTTTGTTTCCTACCAGGACATATCAAAAACTAAGGAAAAGCTTTCTCTTTGGAGTTTGCTGCCAATTATTTTTCTCCAGCAGAAAAGTCTCACAATTCAACTATGTACTTTAAAAAATTGCAAATTTTATCCAAATTACCAGAACTTCTTTCCAATCACCATCACAAATCCTTAATAAATATAGGTCAAACCTGCTAGGTATCCCCATGGTACTGATATTCTGATCTCCTGGACATTCTTTTTTGATGTTTCCATAATATATAAAACTTTGTCAACTGTAGACCTTGCAAATAGAAAAACCACAGGTAATCTTCCCTATAATATTCTCATAGGACTTGAGAAGTATATCACAAAAAAATACTGATACTGAAGTATTAAAACTTATCCCAAATTGGCAATATCTAACCATAATACCAAAGTACGGAATTATTTGAAAGTCAAAAGAGCAAAGTCCAGTTTTCGGTTGTAACCGGATTGTGACCACTCGAGTAAAATTTACTGCACCAGATCAGAAACCATGCATTGACATGATAAATAGACAAATTGTGCTGGCTATTAGAAAGAAAGCATTGATGCAAATACTAAAAAGGAATAGATGCCGTAGGTGGCAAATATGGCTAAAATAACAGTAACCTTTTATTTCTAATTTCTGATTGAAAATAAGAATGCAGTATCGGACAAATTGTATGTTTTTGAAAGATAATGGAGTTCCCACATATTTTTGGTTTAATCGGTGTTGAATTTGTATGTAATGAGTGTATCTGAATACTTGGAGTAGTGGTGTTTTGGAAGTTTTTCAAATCTTTCTTTGCTATTTCTACTAATAATGATTCACTTCTATACAGTTCTTATATTGTATGGCTGGGTATAATGAAACATATATTTTATTGAAACTTCTTAGGTGAATTAGGTTTAGTATATTGAAAATGAAAACAAATTTAGGTTGGATTATGATTAGAAAACGTCCAAATTCTGAATTTAGGATCGGATTTTCCAAATTACATTATAGAAAGTGAGGTTGGGATTGAATGACATTGAGATTGAGAGATGTGGAAAGTGTCAATTGATAGATGTTTCTTTTTTCTACACTGGCATATACGCCGTCGTATAATTGAAGATATACATGGCTGAATTTGTTATTACATTGGCTACAAAAATCAATGAAAAATCCTAGAGGTACGTATTTAAAAAAATAAAGTCGATGACAAAATCTAATGAACAGAACTTTGCATTGCAAATTGGTCTATATTAGATTATAACAAATATGAAACAGTATTAGAAGTTCTTCCGCCTTTTTTTATTACATCCGAAATGAAGGGGATCGAACCATAAAACGAAATTCGACAACTCTAGGTTTTAGCAAATATTTCAAAAACAATCACTGATATTCTCGATCTGAAAATAGATCATTGATGAGAACAAAATAATTTATATATATTTGCATTTTCTATATCATCTCAACTGAAATGAATTACTTTATTGTTGTTATTAAATTTTCTCTTCATGGCATTCAATATATTTGATTGAAGAGGCCGTAGTCGAATGGAACCCGAAGTACCAAACGTTTCTTCTGCTACTGTGGCACACATCATCAGTGGTATACCTATGCGTTACTGCGAGGACGAAGGTTATATCTCGAAGTCAGCAACGGCTGTTTGTTTTCTATAACAGTTAATTGATGGTGAAATTTTAAAATGAGAAAACAAACGATATAAAAATATCTCTTCACCTAAATTAAGAGTATTTTAGAGATAGATATTTTGATAATGAACACGCATAAAGAGGACCCTCTTCTATTTCAAGTAATTTTTACTAATACCAATTTTATTTTTGATATGCAATAATATAACCAGAAACAACATCACAATCACAGACTAAGTACCAACACCCAACATATTTTTCTACAATTTCCCTTTTCGCTGAAGTAAAAACTCAGCAACGTGTGGCGCCACTTTTTCAGGATGATTCATATGAACATCGTGATCTCCATCCACAATTTGAAATATAACATTTTTCTGAGTCTTCAAAAATCGAATAATAGGACCCATATACACTTGCTGCGCAGACGAGTCCTTTCCGAGAATAAAAAGAACTGGACAACGTACAGGATTTGACTTCAGTGTTTCTAAGATATAGCGCAGGTCATGAATTGTTAACAAAGAATATCTGATTCTTGGGTCTACGTTGAACCGGTATCGACCATTTTCCACTTCTGTTACGGCTCTAGTCAACAAAGCTTGAGCAGCCTGTTCTGTTATTTGACTATAATTTCTTCCATTCTGTACTCTTAGGAATGCTTCTTTCAGTGTGTAGCTTGGTGTTTGTTTTACTAACAGTTTCTCCTCGTTTTTGACAAAATTTTCCAGGTTTTTACTAAGATAATCTTTGAAGTGCTTTGTGGTCACAGGGAAAAGTATTACTGCATCCAACATTACTAACTTCTGCACGCAATCAGGATAGAGCTGAGTATATAATAACCCTATCTGGGCCCCGTAGCTGTGCGCTAAAATGATATACTTCCCATAGTATTTTGAAACATATTTATACACCAAGAGGTAGTTCAGAGTGTGAATGGGAAGATGCGGAGGAAAATGAGACGAACGTCCGTGTCCTGGTAAGTCAATAGAAACGTAGTAAAATGAGTTTGGTAAGTGAGGTATCAAAGTATCAAGTGAACCGGCATTATCCATGAAGCCATGTGTGCAAATAACTACAGGGTCATTTGATTCCCCCCATGCTTTGCCTGAAATAAACAGAAATATATTTTCAAACTATCATGGAACAATAATAAACTTTTCGCTTCATGAGGCTAAAATTTGCAAATGTGATCTTTCATATTTTGTTGGTCAAGGTTTTCCTATCAAAAAATTTTGATCACCTTCATTTGCTCTTGATTTGTTATTATTGACACCAAAGAGAAAAGTTCAATTCACCTCTTTTGGGAGTAGTTTACTTTTTTCATTAGTTCGGACTTCCATTGTCTAATATGATATAACATGATTTGAAATCCCTGAAAGAACAAATAAAATTGAAAAATAAAACTAATAGCTGAAAATAACAATTATAATAATGAAATACTCGAAATGAAATTACAATTGAATGAAAATTAAGAAAAAATTGAATTATTGAAATGAAACAAAAATTAAAAGATTTCAAGTCAAGTTACTTCAGTTTCGATTATAAGTATTCCCAATTGTCTTCGGATGATGACTAGACTATTTCTCCGAGAGATGACTATTCATAGGTCATTCGAGTGCTGTCACCTATCCCCTCTTTCCTCTCGCCGCTTTACCATTTTAGCAGAAGATGACCGTTTGGCGAGAGTTGACTGTTTTCCGCTTGAATATGGGTTTCCATATGTTGCGTATCTCTACACTGGCTTGGCTGAATGCGTCATTGAACAACATAATGCAGCTTCCGTGAAGTTCCTCCTAAACCAGTATTCCTCATCCCTGTGGATGGTCTCAGCTTGGAACCACTTGATTTTATGTTGAGTCCAAACATGCTTTGCCACTCACAGGGTATGTGGTTAATGCATTTCTTGGAACCGCAGTTCGCGTTTGATGGCCGGGTCTTCGTAAGGCTGCTATGAATGGTGTTTCCGGATCTGAAGCAGGTTCTGATATTGTACTTGGACCCAATTCTTTTTATCCTCTCTGACAATCCTCTAATGTAGGGAAGTGCAAGCACTGGTTGTGACGGCTTCTCTTCCTTGAGAGGCTCTTGCTGTCTTTTAGCCAAAGTATGTTCCACCATCACTTTGGAATAATCATTCTTTTAAAGATCTTTTTTGATGATGCCGAGTTCTCGAGTAACTGATACAATACAAAAAACTCCATAAACACGTGTCTGAGGTACGCATACATACGAAAAAAACTAAACAGAAAATATTTTTTTCCACTCTCCCCTACTGGAAATTTACTGCAAACAGCTCATGTATCATTTTATTTCGGAAAAGTATGTGCGTGTTTATTGGCCGATTACAGGCTTATACTGTTGCAGTTTACAAAACTGCAACACGTGTTTCATTATACAATAACTTTTTCAGTCCGAAAGCGTATAGTGTTACTTTTCTGGAAAGAAAAAAACTCTGGGCTTGGCTTAATGCGCCTCAATGGAAGCAAAAGCCATTAACATAGAGAGAGAGGTAGAGAGAAATCTCTGGGCAGGTGAAATCTTCTCAAGTAATCAGCAGCTTGATTTTTCCCATATGCTCGATTTCAATTTCTCTTTATATAAAGTTTAATTGAAAAATTCTTTCTGGAAGGTATTGATCGACAAAATATTATGGAAGGTCAAGTATGAACTACTCCCTGAAAGGGAAAGGGGATAGTTTCTACTTTTCTCGTTGGTAGCGATAATGATATATATGATGAGTAATAAAATCATATAAGATAAAGATAATACTTTTGTCTAATTTCTACTAAGTTTATTATCTGTTACCTAACAAATAATAAACTCAGTAGAAATTAGACAAAAGTATTTTTTTTATCCCATATTCAATATGAATTTCTACAAAATGAATAGGTCATCAATCGAACCAGTAATCAAATCATAATGTTGAAATTTACTTACTGGCAAAAAAAATATTACAATTAAAAATGAATTATATAACCTATGTATAAATTAAAACTTTGTATAAAAATATATATACAACATACTATAAATATATTATAGCGCGTCAATTTGAAAATGTATCACCCTCCATATTTCGACCACTATAGTAATCTAGAACTATGCAAAAACACTTCAAATTTATTTTTGAAGGAAACATTTTGTAGGCTTTTCAAAAACAAGAACTTCTCCCAATCAACAGAAATGCAATAATCTTCTCGACGCACGTTTCTCCAACCAAGTTGGCGTCTTCAAGAGATGAAGAAGAGTTTTCTTCATCTCTTGAAAGGCTTTTTTGTTAGCAGAATATTACGAAATCAAGACTAATTAACTTCACATAAGGGTAAATTGCATTTCATGTATATAATGGTATCAGTTCAAGTGAAATTCACAGAGGTTGTTGCATTTCGAATGAAATTAAGTCAATTATCAATTAAAATATACTGTCAACAACATTCGAAAAAATGTGTTGAAATTTTGAAATATGAAAAAATCGCATAATAATGGAATTAAGACAATGATTAGAACATTACAACAAACTACAAATAACAAGCCACAAAACTTAAACGAAACCTAAAAAGTCTTAGTCACGTTGACGTCATCGTAGCCACTGATAAAAGTTCAAAATCATTCTACTCAATTCCTCGAATTTATTGTAATAATCAGATTATTTTCAAAAAATGTGAGAAATTTACACACCTGCTAGATATCCCCATGGAACGGATATTTTTATTTCCTCTATTTTCTTCATTGAATTTTGTTAAAACCAATTGTCAATTCTCACCAAGAGAAATACTTTTTTTTAATGATTAACGACAGTGTATCAGTGCAAATATCATCACAAAAGTAGCTATTACTGTCCATAATCGCAGCATACCAATATACAATATATAGAAATACCGAAATTATTTCCAAATATAGGATTAATGTGAAAATCAAGATTAGATCCGTGGAGAAGACGACTGTTTGATAGTGAATCTGTTCATTGACCCTTTGAAATCATAATTTTTATAATTGGTGGACCAAATGGTCAAAAAGCTGAGCGAGAAAGATAACATTAAAAATAAAAGACACTGTTTTTCAATATAAACAAATTAATTCAACGATATGATGATCCCCATTTCTTAAACATATATTTGAATTATTATGAATAATAAATATCGCCAGTATCACAAATACTGGCGATAAAGGTATGTCAGATTACATACAAGTTGTATGTAATTTATGGTTCTGTCAACTTCCAAACACAGAACAAGATGCGTTTAAGGTAAAATACTAAAACTGTCCGAATAGTATGTGCTTTCGTAGGAAATAACTCAGATCACTCTGAGGGAAATAACAGATGATCCTCAGGATAAACCAGAGACAAAAAAAATACCAATGGGAAATGCTACGTTTACATTTCGGGAAGATACATGAATCCTTTTAGTCTTTAAAAAAATGAATATGGGTTTCATGAATCTCAAACAGTAAAAAAAAATTATTCAAATTTGAAAATAGTCTATGATATGAATAATGTTGCCAACATCGTTTTTCGGCGAGATTGTCTCTGACATTTTCTAAGTGGTTTTTGTAGAAAATTACGAAACGATAATCAGTAGACCGAATTTCACTTGAAAAAAGAATAACTTTATATTATAATGCTGGCCACATTTGTTGTCGAATATTTTGTGAACCTTAAAATATTATTCGTTTGGCGTTCTAATTTTTTCTGGATTAGGTGTATTTGTCATTAGTGTTAGTTGTCATATGTAGTTAATGTTTATATTGCCAAATTTTGAGTTTTACTGGCTATCGATTCTTTTTCCATATCGTTTTTTGGATATATATTTGAATTCTGGGTTCTTTTATACTAATCTTGGTTGAAGTAATATCAACAGTTAACATGACAACTTACACTAATCACAAATACAAAATGTTGCCAACTCAGAAAGAATACATCGCTCTAAATGACATTCTTATTCGATATCGTTTATTTGTGTTTCGGCAATCGTAATACCTGAACGGAAAAAGGTGCCTATATTTTTCTTGTCAGTTGTCAAAATCAAATAGAATTTTTTAATTCATACCTTTATCAATCAACTTCCTTAGTCGAATTTCCAAAGTATTTTCTTTATATTCAAACAAGAAAAAGGCTAAAGTACAAATGGAATAATACTTGTGCCATTTGCGAGATTTCTCACTAGGCAAGTATCACGTTTTATTGAAATGTGCAGAAGTTGAAACAGGTTGGCACAAAAATTATACTCAGATATTCTGTATATTTATGTTATAATCTAATGTCGTAATTGTGTTTGTCCATCGTGGAAATAACATAATTTGTTCACTAGTAAACCAGAAATTTGTGGTTATACCTATGTTTTTTTTCTCTCCAAGCAAGTGATTCACCCTCAATCTGTATTTGTTACCATGATTATTTCCTTCCAAAATTATAAATAGTTGTTATCATTTGATGGTAGGTGATGTTTACTTTGAAGAAAATTTGAAAACGTCATTCGTGAAATGATTCTTAGAACTAACAAATGTGCATGAAATAAACGTGATAAAATTTCAACAATATGTGCACTGTCATCGTTATTTAAAGTGCTCTAAATATTGTTTGTCAGATAAATTATGGAAGTTACAAAATGCAAACATAACCTTCAAATTATTTTCTCATCACTGCTCTGTCAGTGCTACATTGTCCATTGAATGAAACTGAACTTAATTGGAAGTTATCTAACCAATACATGATTTTATTAAATAATTTTTTATACATTGAATCCTTTTTTCATCTTCCTTCTTGCAATTTTGAAATGAGAAATAATGAAAATTTTCAATGACTGTAACTATATAAAAGATATTTTTGAATTTGAATAATTTGCTTTTCTCTATAATTTCAGAATATGAATGAGAGTAGTTCAGTAGGTCCAGGAGGACCAATAACACTTAATAGAGAACAAATTGTGAAAGAAGGGTGGCTTCAAAAGAGGGGGGAGCACTGGAAAAATTGGAGATCAAGGTAAAGTATTTGGTTATTGATGATTCTATGGCAATATTCAAAGGCACAATTAATTTATTAATAAATATCTTTTTTGAAACTTTGTGCTAGTTCATGTATTTCGGTCTGCTTGTCACAAATCTTAAGTCAACAGGGTGAAGCTATGGTCCTTTCTATTTCATCAAAATAACCCTAGTTCTGGCATCATGTTCTGAATGATATTGTTGCTCCACTTGAGTTTTTGTAATTATTTGTAGACAGTATCACAAAAAGTCAAAATGACCTAGCTAAGTAAGTGTTTGTGTATTCCCACAAATAAATGTAATTTGTTAATTTAGCAAAATTTTAAGTGTAACACTATATGAACTACAACTTATACTATATAAAACTTAAACTACACACCATGATCAAACTTTATTGTAGTATAACTACAAATGCATGAGCATGAGGTCAGATTGTTCTCCCTCTTAAGTTACACTTGCCTTATAGCGGTGCAAAACTGTGGTACAAGCAAGTTGAAGAACTACAGGGGTAAGTCGCCTATAGATATCAATACTGGTCAAATACTATTGACTTCATCATTCAAATCACCTTATAAAAAATCTATAGAGGTTAAATCTGGTAAACATTTGGGCCACACTACATATATACAAAAGATTACTTGAAAGAGTATTTCCTCATGCCAGTATGGATTTCTTAGACCAGTAATATGCATTACAGTGTTATGATTGAGGGATCAAACTGATCAAAAAATATTATTTAAAAACATGGGACAGTTATGAAGTATTACTTGTGGCTATGCAGTCAATCTGTTGCTCCCTACTCTCAGAGTTAGTGGGGCACAATGCGTGGTCCAAATATTTTTTTGTTATGCTATGAAAAAAGTTTTTTTGACTCGTGGGGCTCCTTGTCAGTGAAACGCTATCCTCTCTCTGCCAATTTCCATGAATCAACATGTCAGCATATTTATTAGGCAAGAATGTAAAAGGCATCTTGTATATTTTCCAACCTCCAGCAAATAACAGAACCTCGCTTTTCTGTAGCAACTTCCCTACAAAACTAATGGGTTTTTTCAGTTCAATTACTTATTTACTTTCAAAGCAAGTGGAATATTCAACCCTTTTTATTACTGTACATTCTAGAAAAGGAGGGGGGTTGTCTAATGAACCTGAATGGGGGTTTTGCAAGATTTCTGCAAGAATTCCTAATTTGGGAAAAAAAAACAACATTTTAAAACCTCATATTGCCAAATCCAGAATAAACTGGTGCAACATTTTTAGCACCGTCCTTCATTATTTAAAAAAACTGAAGTTGCAGTTGATATCTTAATTATGGTAGTGATTGGCAGCTTTATCTTTATATTTTTTGTAGTAGACCTTCTGATCTGGTTTACAATTATTTTCTGATCACCTTTCTATCTTATTGTCGAACTGATATATTGCCTGTGAGACACCCTATATAGACACAAAGCAAAATTAATTCTATTTTATAGATATTTTGTACTCTTGGATGATGGGGCTTTGGTTGGATTTAAGAATAAACCAGAAGAGTTCAGCCAGGTGGAGCCTCTAAACAATTTCACAGTGAAAGGTTGTCAGATCATGCCCATAGACAGGCCTAAGCCATTTACGTTCATAATACGTGGTCTACAATGGACAACTGTTATAGAAAGGATGTTTTGTGTTGAAACAGAGCAAGATCGGTGAGTATAAAAATTATCAGTGTTTTTTTTTGGAAATATTCGTTTTAATGGCTTGTACTACTTTCTGAAAAAGTATTAACTTTTTTATGTTGATAAAAAATATCAGGTATTAAAAACTTGTAAAATTCTCACTTTCTTTATTTTATTCATTAACGCATTTCATGTGTTTCCACATTTGTTGGTAGTAACACAAAACTCAAAAAACAAAAATTTTGATGCCAAATTTCAAAAATTCTACTGACCTTTGCCCAAGAAGATCACTTCTTTTAAAGCATACCTTCTTGTTTATTAAGGTATAAATTGTACATTCTGGTCAATTCAGTTTTTTCAAGTGAAACACTACAGAAATTACCAACATGCAAAAGTAAAAGTATCATATAGTTTCATAAATAATGATGTATTTTGATGGTAAAGATAGAACTTTAAGGAAATCAAATGGTTGTATGAGAAAAAATGCAAATGGCATGTCAATAAAGATTTGTATCATGCAGTGGTGAATTTAGAGGGGGTGGTATGGATTCCCTAGTTATTTAATTCCTCATTAAAAAATTTCGTGGAAGCATAGTGATGACTCTGTGGTTCATGCTATGTTGAGCTTCTAATTTACGTTGATTAGGGCGATTAGAATGTTTATTGATAAATAAATTACCTTTTTTTTGTTAATTATTTTGTTATATTTCTTCAGGGAAGAATGGGTAGCTGCTATTAAAATGGTGTCAGAAAGAATATCTGATTGCGAAGACGTAGAAATGAACCCAGCAAACAGCGAGATTGGAACCATGGAGGATCTGTGTGAAAAATTCTCCTTACAAGGCACTTCTATCTCCAAATCCACAGGCAAACGGAAAGTGACTTTGGAGAGCTTCGAGTTCATCAAGGTCTTGGGGAAAGGAACTTTCGGTAAAGTGATTTTGTGCAGAGAGAAGGCCACAGGTCGATTGTACGCCATAAAAATCCTCAAAAAAGAAGTTATCATTCAGAAGGACGAAGTTGCTCATACTCAAACTGAAAATCGCGTTCTCAGAAGTACTCATCATCCATTTTTAACGGTTGGTTTTTTTTGTGAGCCCTAAAGAAGTGTTTTTTTTGTTTCGAAAGCTGTATGACTTTATTTGTTTCAGTCACTGAAATATTCGTTTCAAACCAACGACAGGTTATGCTTCGTGATGGAGTATGTTAACGGGGGAGAATTATTTTTCCATCTTTCCCGTGAACGTGTTTTTTCAGAAGAACGAACCAAGTTCTATGGAGCAGAAATAATATCTGCCCTAGCTTATCTGCACTCGCAGGGAATCATCTATAGGTATGCAAATACACATTATTTTATATAAAGCTGTCATAATTAACCTGAAAAATTTGATAAATAAGCGGCTTATAATGTATTGGTATCATGGATATAACCAGTCAACTCTTTTTTAAACTTAAACACATTTTTGATGTCCTTCAGATTTTGTTGAAGTTCATTGTATTAGTTCAGTGTATAAAAAATCTTTTATAGAGTTAGACAGATTACATTTTGATAGGACAAAATTGTCATTTGCCTGGTTCTTTTGACTACTTTAATAATTTTGTTGTTATTTGAAACAGTTTAAGAATTTTCTACTAGTTCTCAATCCTAATAAATTACAGTCTCGTCCAAAGCAAGTAGTTTACATTATGTTTCTATAGAACCATGTCTCTTCTACGAACCACATTAGAACTAGAATATATATAGGATATTCACGTTAAGAAGAGAATGACGTCACAAAATGACAAGTTACAGCGTTGCGGAAATGTGCACTATTTCGAAATTTCATATTCTTTTGTAATGTTGATTTGCTTTATTGCTATTAATCTTACTTAGTTGGAATACAAATTTGTTGAGACTGTTTCAACAATGCTTTAGGCATATTGAATATAAGCAGATCTCATCAAAAGAAATGATTAGTTCTGAAAAGAAAAAGAAAGACTGACAGTTTTCGAGTTTTTTTTTCGATTCGACAACGTCTGGAATTTAACTATTAGTTGATCAACTTACAAAATGAAATTTTACTAGTTTCATTGCTATTGAACGCATTTCATTGGGAATTTTTACGTTGTTATGTTGGATATACAAAATTACCAAAAATGACGTAATTCTTTTCTTAACGTGAATATCCTATAGAATATACAATATAACTAGAATATACCTGCCATTTTGTATAGCGAAACACGTGTTGTGTTTTTGTAAAACTGTTTAGTGAATGTCTCTTGAATATTTTATACTTCAATTGAATAGAACTGGCCAATACTTGATGAAAATCCATATTAAAACTAATTAATACAGTTTATTGTATGGTTTTCACTATAAAGGGTTTTACAAAAACCGCGACATGTGTTTCGCTATACAATGGCTTTCTTAAGCGTGAATAAATAATAATTAATTATTTGTATAGCCATTGTATAGCGAAACACTTGTCGTGGTTTTTGTAAAAACCCTTTATAGTGAAAACCATACAATAAACTGTATTAATTAATTTTATACTTTGTATTTATATCATATTATTATGTATTGATATGATTTGTAAGTCAACCAATAAAAATTATCATTAGGGTTACCCAAAGTAAATTATTCGTGAATATTATTTTTCGTCATCAAATATCTTTTTACACGCTTTATATTAGTTTCATCTGTATGTATGTATGTTTGTTTGTAATTCTCATTTTCATTTCATATCGCGATCTGTATTTGACAGAATTATCGACATTATTGCTTGATCTATTCGCGGGCAGATGGCGCTGTACGTAAACTCCTTGATATAACTCGAACTCACTACAGGTATTTCTTCATTTGAAAAAAGTGTTTTTTCAACACGCTTTTATTAGCTTCACCTGTATGTATGTATGTATGTTTGTAACTCTCAAGTTCGGGATCTGTATTTGACTTGATTATCGACATTATTGCTTGATCTATTCGCGGGCAGATGGCGCTGTACGTAACCTCACTTTACATGTATTTCTTCATTTGAAAAAAGTATTTTTTTATTAACACGCGCGCCTGCTGCCTTGGGCTTGGTAGCTGATTTTCAGGCTCCCTCTCCGTATTGGGAAAATATCAATGGTTATTTTTCTAAACAATATACGGCTGATTGATCCCAAAGTTTAGATGAAATAGATATTGTTTAAAAAACTAAAAAAAAACGCTTTTAAAGAACATCGAACTAAAAAGTTAAATATATTTTTTTTAAATAATCTTAAAACAATAACGAACGAAAAATAGCGTAGAAGAATTTGTAGAACGGGATACACTGTTATCATGATTATTGCTTTCACTGCATTTCTTTCATCCTAGTTAAAGATGAATTTACTTTATGTATATTTATGTATGTGTATACATATAAACTTTTTAGTTCGATGTTCTTCAAAAGTGTGTTTTTTAGTTTTTTAAGCTATATTTATTTCTATCTTAGTCAAATAACTTATTCTACTCCATAGATGATTATGTAACCTTAAGAATTGTATGAAATATAACTTTTTCGAATTATGTGAAAAAAACTCTACTTACAGGGACCTGAAACTGGAAAACCTGCTATTAGATAAAGATGGTCACATCAAAATTGCTGATTTTGGTCTTTGTAAAGAAGACATCACATATGGAAGAACAACAAAGACATTCTGTGGGACTCCTGAATATTTGGCCCCAGAAGTTCTGGAAGATAACGATTATGGTCAGGCAGTCGACTGGTGGGGTATTGGAGTTGTAATGTATGAAATGGTGAGTGAGGATTTCTTTCATACATAAAAATGAAATACAAAACATTTCTGAACTGCAGATGTGCGGTAGACTACCCTTCTACAATAGAGACCACGATGTGCTGTTCACATTGATTATGATGGAGGAGGTGAAATTTCCCAGGAATTTGAGTAACGAAGCCAAGGACTTGCTGGCGGGTCTGTTGGTGAAGGACCCCACAAGGCGATTAGGAGGTGGACCTGACGACGCTAAACAAATCATGGACCACCCCTTTTTCAGCAGTATAAATTGGAGAGATTTGGAACAGAAAAAAGTAAGTAAGAGTTATGTGATGAGATTGAAGGAAAATTGAGGAGTCAAGGGGGAAATGAAAAAAAAATAAATGGTGGGATAGTTAAGGGGATGTTGTAAAAAAAGTTGTACAAAAGTTAAAGTTAAACATATTTTCAACGAGTCCTTCAGACAGGGTATTTTTCCAGATGTTTGGAAGGTTGCTAATATAATTCAAATTCCGAAAAAGAATGCACCTACCACGTTCAGTGACCTACGCCCTATCAGCATTCTGCCCTCATTCTCTAAAATATTTGAGAAAAATGTTTCCCATCAAATAAGAGCTTTTCTTGAAGAAAATCGAATACTCCCGCACGAGCAGTCTGGGTTTCGCAAAAAACACGGAACACAGACTGACTGCCCTGTTGAAAGTAATCGACGATCTTGCGATATTCAGAGATAATCAAAAGTCACCATTTTAGTACTGCTTGATCAAAGTAAAGCTTTCGATTTAGTCAATTTCGATTTACTCATCAGCAAGCTCAAGTTTATAGGTCCCTTAATGTTTTCAGTATTTATTTTTGATTACCCCACTTTCTTATCACATTGTCAAGTACATCTATACGCAGATGATATACAGTTATATTTGTTTTCTCATAACACCGATACAGAAAGTTGTGTGGCCAATATAAACACAGATTTGCACAAAACATTCCTATACTTGGAGAATCATGGACTGAAAATCAATCCAAATAAAACTTCAGCCTAATGTATAGGGTCTCAAAGACAAATAGTAGAAACTCAGTGCAGCTTTAGGCTCACTCTCGATAACGCAGACATTGACTGGGTAGACAGTGCTAAAAATCTTGGCGTAACCATAGAGAGCTCTTTGTCTTTCCATGAACATGTAACAAACATTTTCAAAGTATCATTCTTCAAACTCAAATCGCTATATAAATTCAAGTATCAGTTATCAGAAGAAATGAAACTCAGGTTAGTTAAAACTCTTATTTACCCCCATATCGAGTATTGTTGTTCGGTGTAATACAATTTTTTGCCGCAATATAACAAACAGAAGTTACAACATATACAAAATGCTTGCATGCGATTCGTATACCGTATACCATATGGTGAACATGTCACCCCATTTTTGTTAAAAATGAAGGAGCTGAATGTGAGGTACAGAGTCCAATATTTGAAAAAAATGTTTTTAAGTTGCTTCAAACTAAAACACCTAGTTATTTATATAGTTTACTAAGCAGGCATTCTGACATACATATGGTCAATTTGAGAATTAACTCATTCAAAATACCTAGACAGCGTACTTCCAAATTTCAAGGATGTTTTTCTTATATAGCTCCTTTCTATCTGAATGAAATTTTACCCCTTTCAAATCATAATATTCATCAATTTAAGAAAGAAATAAAATCACAGATGCTTACTGCTCAGTGCTAATTTAAAATTCAATGTATAGTAGGGCAATGAAATTTGTTAAATTGACCAAAATAATGTTAAGAATATTAAGAGTTATTAGCAACTATTTGATGTATTATTTTTTTCTCTTCTCTATTATTTTTATGATAGTAAATAAGTATGTTTATAATTATTTTCTTATACTCACTGTATAATTTTTGGGAGGGGTGGAAGATAGCCTTTGGCTAACCCTTTTCTTTTTCTGTATAAGGGCCGGTTTATCAATATGTAGTTAAATGCTCCTGTTAGCTACCTCGAAGCTAAGCTTAGCTGATAGTCAATGTTGCAGTTACTATTCAAATCGTTTATCATACCCTGACTGATGCTAATGTTTAATAACTGTTAGTTAACTAAGGTTGGCATAAGTGACAATTTAAGGGCTTGTTTTTATTGGAGGATTGATTTTGAAAAATGACAACTGCTAACAAAAAGTTCATGAGTTATACATAATAACCTATATGAGTTGAGAGGGCATATGAAAAACGAAAATGAGCAATAAAAGAACATCCAATTTTACCGAAACAGACAGATCACTCCTAATAAAAATTGCCAATTCCTATAAATTTATCATTGAGAACAAAAAAAAAACTGATGCTATCACATGGAAGAAGAAAGAAGAGGCCTGGAAAAGAGTTGAATTTGATTTCAATTCCTCTACATCAGGACCTGTAAGTCTCTACCTCATCTAATTCTTTGAAAGCATCATTACGTTTATTAGCAATGTAAGGTCTTCTTTGAACTCCAATATATCCTCATCTTCGTCATTCAACAAATGGAAAACTTCTTTAATCAAACAATTATAGTAATTAACCCTTTACTTGCAAAAAGTATTTCTCAAATTATCACAAAAAACATAAATAATCTAATTTCGCATGCCCGACCACATAACCACAGAATATCGGAACTGATATTCTGTGACATAACTGTCAGCTTAAATAAAAAAACTATCACTTTCTAGCGACTGTTACGGTCACTGAGACTTCAGCTACCAGTTGATGGTAACATGATAACGAAAAACAGTTTGACTAGGAGCTAAGACAAAACCATTAGTCAAATGAGGTTAGCTGGCGATTGATAAACCGGCCCTAAATGTATTTTTATGCATAATAAACGATAATATTTTTATTAAAAGAAGATGAAGTAGTTTCAGAAACTAAGGAGAGATATGATGCTGAGAACCGATAGTGAACGTTGAGATACTGGGAAATGAGTGTTAGGATACTGAGAAATGAGTGTTAGGATACTGGGAAATGAGTGTTAAGATATTGGGAATAGAGAGTTGAGATGGTGAGAAATGAGAAATGTTTGAAATATAAAACTTGAACCTCTGGAGTTGAATAAATCTAACAAAAATGATTCCACACAACACAACTTTTGTGCTTTTCTCGAAGCATTTCTCAAGTATCCCCTTGGGTAATCAATATATCATCATCTCCTAAGTTAGATCTGAAAAATGAGTTCAAGGATGCTTAGGAATGAGTGATGAGATTTCAGGAATAGCGAGTTGAGATGGTGACAAATGAGAAATGTTTGAAATATAAAACTTGAACCTCTGGAGTTGAATAAATCTAACAAAAACAATTCCTCACAACACAATTTCAATGCTTTTTTCGAAGAACTTCTCAACAATCCCGTTGGATTATCAAGAGATCTTCATCTCCTGAGTTGTAAAGGTTTGCAAGATAAAGAAATTATAGAGTGAAAAGCCGATACAAAAAAGAATCTCATAGAGATCTTGAAGTTAACAAGTCTTGGTTGGTGACAAAAGTAGAGTAAGAATTTAAAAAATGGTTCGAACAGAATTAACAGTTGTTAAAGAAGGCCCTTTGCATCAGATTATCCTTGTGTAGCCGTAAGTGTGAGGTAATCTTCAAGGCTTTTAATGACACATTTCAGTGTCGAAAATTAAATTTAGTTCATCTGTTACTTGTGCAGCTGCTTTATCACAAATTCTCCTGAAAACCAGGAACTGAGGGTGATCAAATGACTAAGAGTAGCTTTTCCACATGTGATTAATCAACAGTTATTCATCTCCTGTTGCAGATTCCTCCGCCTTTTAAACCTCAGGTAACTAGTGATACGGACACCAGATATTTCGACTCTGAATTTACGGGGGAGAGCGTTCAACTGACGCCTCCAGATACCAGCAGGCCTCTCGGATCGATACAAGAGGAGCCATACTTTCCCCAGTTCAGCTTTCAGGATCTGTCTTCGACTCTCGGCAGTTCTGCATACATCAGCGGAAGCATGACCAGTGTGGCTCCAATGCAGTGACTTTTCATTATATATAGGTAAGTAGGTTATTTTTGAAACAGCTTGTATGTTTTTATCAATTGAGACTAAAATTGAATACAATGACCTACACAGCAGCTTCTGTGGACTTTCATACCAGTGGATTGAGTCCTATTTATTAAATAGAAATCAAATTGTCAAGTCTACAGAATCTTCCTCATTAGAAACAATTAGATCTGGCGTTCCACAAGGGTCTGTCCTTTGTCTGTTGGTGTGTGTGTACACACACCTTGTACTGATTTTAATATTTTATATGTATTATTTTGCACTATTTTTAAGCTTTGTAACCATGATTTATCATGTATACAATAAAGCATATTCTCTCTCTCTCTATAATTATTATCATGGATAATGTTATTAATTTTCATCAAGTAATGGGTCAGAGTGTTCACAAATTCTTTAGTTTTAGTGAATAGTGAAGCAATGAATCCCAGCAACAGGTCTCATACTTTTTCCAATCTGAAAGTACTTCTTGTAATATTTTTTTGTTCTGTTTCAGTTCCAGGTACTTACAGGAGATGAAATCCACTAGGACATAAGAATAAATCGTCATCATTTTTGTGATGATCTTTAATACGTAATGTACATAGGATTAAATCAATGATTTATTTCGATGAACGATTAATACCACTAAAATAATTGTATATATTTGAGTATGTAAATTAATTATCAATTATATATAGATTAACTGAAATTTTAAAAGCTGGGAGGGTAACTGATTGAATCAATTCATTATTAGAATTTGTTGTGAAGTTGTCCGGATCGAGCAATGCCAGAAATTCAATCGGTCTTTGTAGAATTATTTTCATTAGTGGATTACAGATTGCCAATACAAACGGGTAGTTTTCTTCCATCAGTTATATGGTACTGTCGGAAAATCCATTAAGTAATAGTTGAATTGGTTATTTAAAAAATCAGGGTAGCCAGAGGTTGTGCTGGAAAAAATAAACTATGAATGACTATCGAAAGAGAAGTTCTGGGAATCCCCCATCTATCTTGAATTGTTATGGTAATAGGTAAACCATTCAGAACTCACTGATATATGCAGTACTCTAGATATCATCAACTAGCACTCTGTTCATTGCTGCATCACCTTTGATGTTTACCGCAGCTGTAGACGAAACGTCTGGCTTAAAGACCGGCAGACTACCATCAACAATTATCTCCTGCCGCGAACTTTAAATGGCCCTAAAAGCAAGACTAACCTTTGAATACTTTTACTTTATCATTATAACTCCAAATAAACAGTTTATAGCAGGAAACATTTTTCATTATGGAAGAAGGACATTATTATAGTGCAGATGTAAAAAATCCCCCTTTCGTCTTTTGAGCGAGACAATATAGTCAAGATTAGAAAAAAGTTAACATAAAAAGGTATAGTTTTGATAAAAAAGACTTGAGTTGAATCACCTTTCGCCAAGAAAATGCTACCAACTTTTTTTTGAATGGCAAGGGGAACTTTTTGTCTCAGGAATAATGTCTTTGAAAATAATATCTCGAGACTACAACATCTGACAAATGTCAATAATGCGCTTAATAGAATTGAGGAGGCTAGGAATGTTAACGGCATGTCTCGTACGTATAATTACGAGAATGTTTTGTTCTGAGCCTTTTTTAACTGAGACCTTAACGCAGATATATTTGTAGCTTAGAAATTATGAGGGGGTGCCATAAGAAAGCTTTTCTATCCAATAGTGTTCCATTTTTGGAAATCGATTCAACCGTCTCCACTGTTGAATATAGTAGGCAGAAAAATAAAGACACTGACTTGACTGACAAAGAATTTTAAATGAAAAATTGTGTTCAGTGAGGTTGTGTAGCTTAAGGATAGTAAATATTTTTTGAAACTACATACATTAAAATTATTTATTTTTTTAAATAGTTGAGAGATGTGGGTAAGTTATTGTAATGAATGATAAATTGACCTGTTTAAATTTTTTCGGGAGAAATATTGTTTAAATAAATGTCTAATTGAATATGTGATTTTGTTAGTTGGTGGTGAGTTTTAAATTGGAATGGCTAATTTAATGGATATGAAACCTTCTAAAGGTTAATGGAGTCTCAAGTTATGATGAAGCCTCCTCCATAATCTATTTTATTTTTCCTTTGTAGCTCCCTAGGATTGTTGTGCTGACTCTGCTATCCACTGAGGTTTCATTCACTTTCATAATTCTTGTAAACACTGCCATGAAGGATCCAAGCAAAATTCCAAGCACAAGGGTTCTCTATTTCAATTTGCAAAGAACTGATTCAGCCATAGTTTTAAAGAATATTACATTTTGGCATTGCTGATTTCGGACAAAACTCGAGAGTAACGCTTAGGTCACTCTGTAATCAAACTAGTTTTTTTGGTAAATGGTTAGCTTTTTTGTAAATTAACATTTTTTTTTTGAGGTAATTTGAAGCATGTATAACAAACAACCAATACAGGAGTTATTTGTAAATATTAAAGTAATTTATTCATTTTGTAATCCTATTTTCAACTATAAATTATAAATATTTTGAGGATTTATTTTGTTTTATTTCAAGCTGGAGTTGATTGACATGTCTTTTGTTGAACACTATTATGATCAGTTATGGATTGTTTCTAATAAAATCTCCCTGTCGTAATTTCATTCAACCGACTCGAAGGACCAAATCATATCAACTCTCACGTATAATCAGTGAAGGTGTCAGTGACTATATGTGAAGGTGTCAGTGAAGGATTCTGTGAAGAATCCTGCACTGACACCTGTCGGTGTCAACGCCCTTCGTGGTATTAGCCAGGGGATTAGTTGTTTTCTGATAGGTGTCAGTCCATTAGCTTACTGTGAAGGGAGTTGAGACTGGCCTGAACGAATCGTTCTTAGATAATTTCATATCAACTCCTTTAGTATGAGAGAATTTGTTTAGCTGACGCACTGAAAGAAATATCTACAAACTCCAAGAGAACAAGCTAATTCACAATAATCTTTAAATCTCAGTTTGTCACATTGAATTAATTGATATATGATTCCCATAAAAATTATATGGTTCCCTTATAGCAAAAGCGTCTTTTAAATTGAGTTATTGTTTAGATGGTTTTCTTTGTTACTTTTTGAAAAAGTTTGTTTGTGTTTTGAGTATACTTCATTATATCTTGTCCAATGAATCTTTTTGGATACTTGGTACTTTCCTTCTTTTGAAAGTATAGTTATTTGAAACAATAAATCTGACTCAAAACAACTATTGAGTAATCGACATCCTATCAGAAATTCCAAAACCTTTTGTTTACAAAAACTATAGCTTGGGCGTTTATAAACATGTTTATTAGTTAGCTGCATGGATTCATCCAGAAAAAATGAACATTAACCATTCTATTAATTTATCAAATTTACATGACTAAAGCCTTGGATAACAAATAATCTATATTTTATTACACGAGTTATACTGAGAATATGAGAAAATGCTTATGGAATTACTGTTTTTCTTTTAATCGATCTTCGGTATATTTGTTAAAACACTCTCGAAGTGCTAAAATTGGCAGTTCAACCTCCACAACAGTTTTGGTCACGTTTGGAATCCCCTAAACTGGGAAGTTTGGGCCCGTTTTCTTTATCAATAACAATACTTTCTCATCATTTGCAGACGACTGGAAGATATTAAAAACAATTTCTAATCTTGAAGATGCTAAAGTTCTATAATTAACAATAAATCTGGATTGAAGGGGTTATATTTTTAGGAGTGATTAATTTTTGGGAAAGAAAGTTTTTGGCTTTCTACTACTCCATCTGATACAAAAAAAAAGGAATGAGAGAATCTTCCAAAGAAAGGAAGGAAGTAATCAATTTGAAAATAAGTAACATGGATGTGTAGATCATGCAAAGAAGTAACTTTCAGACACAAACTGAAAGAAAGTCCTCCTGAAACAGCTACTTTCATATAAACATTGAATTACACGAAAGAAAAAAATTCTTTCGAAACAAATACTTATATATGAACACTGAATTATACAGAAGATACTTTTCTCTACTCAGTTTGTATATCAAACATTTGTTGTGGAATAAGAATCAGATATCATTCACATGATATCATTCCTTTTTTTTGTATCAGATGGAGTAGTAGAAAGCCAAAAATTTTCTTTCCCAAAAAAACAATAAATCTTTTTTATTATTTTTGTACTGAAAAAACCTTATAATTAAAAAATTGCTATCAGTTTACTTTTTCTTGGAATATATCAACTATATGTGATCCGTGTTACATTCAGTATGAAATTGTCATTTTATCCTCATGTCAACAACATTATATATCAATCTTTAAATTTATTGGCTTTTGTGATCCACCATTGAAATTTTGGGGCCAGTGAAACAGACATGGACATATTATTTTTCGATTGCATAAAGAATAATAAGTGAAGCATAAGTAAAAAGTTAGCGAGATCACAAATTTATAATGTTAATGAAATCATAATTCAAACTGATTAATATGAACTTCAATCATTCAGAGGTAAATGAAATCAGGATATTCCTTAATAAACGTATAATTTTTTAAAGTCAAAAAAATCAAAATCAAAAACACTTCCATGTCAGCAATCAATTAGAATAAAAAGCAATTATGCCTTAAAAAGATTGTGCAGCCATATCATCAGCGCATATTCCCAACAAAGCCAAGTCGTCATCTGGCGGTAGTGGTGGAGGCTCCAATGGCATGCCGTGGGGATGAGGAGGGGGAGGAGGCGGAATAGGTTCTTCATTTTCATAATGGTACATATCTTGTTGCTGGTACATCATGCCACCATACGACTGATAATACTGCCCCATGGTGCTCGGATCGACCCCCTCAGTTCCGTAAAGCACTTCGTCATCGCTGAGGTTCACCGGTTTCGGCGGTTCACTTTCTATCTTTGGCGGGGGAGGTGCTTTCGGTACGGCAGTCTCGTTTTTCTCCGTGTCGTAAGTGATCTTTGGGGGCGCAGGAGCCAAAACAGGCTGCGTAACAACAGGTGGCGGTGGGGGAATGTTCAGAGGTGGGATCGACGACAACTTCGGGAAACAAACCACTTCCGGCTTAGGCATGAAAGCTCTGGGTAGGTTTCCCGGTTCGAATCTCGTCCGACGGGGCTGGTCGTAGGATTGCTTCTTGATCTCTTCTTTTTCTTCAGAGGCCTTCACTCTGTTCTTGAACAGAGGCATCCTTCCGATGAATGGAAGTTTCTTGTAACTAGGCGGACCTGGTGGTTTTTTACTTTTTCCGTTGCTTTCTTCTTGTTTTCTGTCGCCGCTTCTTTCTGAACTCTTTCTGTTGTTTCGTTCTACGCTCCGGCTGCGACTTCGGGAATTGTGGCTTTTGTAGTTACTGCGGCTCTCACTGTCTCTTCCATGCCTGTGGAAAAAGGGGAGATTTGGAGTGAATCATTTGTTGTGCAAAATCTTCAAAAGAGAATCATAATTACATCTGCCGGACTGAGTCATGGCCGGTGAGCTGGGCTTTTATATATCTACAAGAATCCAAATAGCATTTAATATCCATTGTTTACCCCTTAATCCGTACTATGTAAAATTGCAAACAAAAGTTTCTACTCCTTTGTCATACACCTAACCAAACTTTACGCAGATACGATTTCTCCCACCGGCCATGACTCAGTCCGGTAGCTACAGATTATACCTATCCACTGTGGAAAATTGAGACATCATTTTTCTAGGGATGTTCATTTGTAGGAATACTCTAGTTTTAGGCATGAAATTATTAAATGAAAATTTACTTAAAAAGTTTGTCGTATGTCTCTTTATTCTTAATCTATTATGATCTCTGAATTACAAAAGAAAATAGAAATATTATTTTGGCATCAAGAATTATTAGAAATACTGTCGAGGCCCACGTCAGGTCATCTTGTCCACCATTGTTTTTACACCTAGGTATTCTCACAGTTCCCCCTCTGTATATATATATCAAATCACCCTAAATATAAAGAAAAAAGACGATTTATTATTGGGAACTACATAATTACAACACCGGAAGAATGAACATTTTCATCGACCATACTCAAGATTAGCTATGGGACAAAACTCACAAACACATTAAATGCTCCAATATCCTTCCGGATATTCTCAATGATAGTGTAGATGTTTCATATAAGAACATTTAACAAAAAAATTTGAAATAATGTTTTTGAAATGTATTACATTACTTTAGAAAACTGACAAAATATTATGATTGTATATGTGTGCTATTATGTTATGTATGTAGACTAGTCCAGTAAGTTATACAATATGTATCCCATTTTGTTATAAATTCATTTTTTTTTATCTTCATTATTACAAAATATATTTTCAATAATACAAAAAAAAGTGGAATGAATTTAATTTCTGTGAAGATGTAGAACTCGATAACGTCAATTTTTCATTACCACTAACGATACTACAAGTTGCAAAAGTCAGTCCGCTAGTTTTTTTTAATAGAATATTCATCAATTGATTCCATTATCGCTCAAGTGATGTAATGAACTCATTAAATCTCAAAAGTTTTCATCTTATATGTCATAATTGATTTTTTTTTATTTATCATAATAATTGGAAATAAGGTAAAGTTTCATAAAAAATGACTAACTTTCAACGCATTACATGAATAAGATTTCATTTCATTCAATAAGCTCTAGTGAACGGTCCAAATGTTTTTTCTTTTACAATCATAATGTTAGAAATATTTGGGTGAGTCATTCCTATGAAAAAGGCGTTTTGTTTAATGTTTATCAAAACAATAATTTCAAAAAGTTTCTGATTTCTCTACAAATTTCTTCAGTAAACTCACGAATTCCTCACAATTGATAAATCAATAACTCAGAACATTTTGGAGAAAAAAGAGAAACTGTCCAATTTTCTGTTAATGGAAAAAGAGATATACACAGCAGTTTCATAAAAATAATTCAAAATAATCAAATAATTCAGAATCCAGAAGTGGAGATATGACTCCGGTTTGAGTGTTGATTCCAAATAACTCAAGATAAGAGTATTAATGAATTAATTCTGCAGATACCTGAAAGGTACTTTCATGTCTCATCCTCAAACCAACCATTCATCAGTTTTCATGATCCGATTGAAGGATAAATAAGTTGAAAATTGAACTGTTATAGTTTTTAATAACATAAAAATAGTCTCATCTGCATCGCTTTTTAACAATTCACAATGTCCTCAAAAACCGGTGAAGTAGAAAATAACAAACACCAGTATTGCGCAAAAAACATTGCCAAGCATAAATACAACTGAAAAAAAAACACGTAGTGAAGAAATGAATTTCATAATTTGTCTTTCAATTGCTATTAATACTCACCTAGTACTCTCCTGTCTATAATACTTCTCATGTCGTTGCTCTTCCTCGTCGCCGCTCTTTGAAGGAGATCCCCTCCTCCTATAGTTCGTCTTGAACCTCACCTGGTTCCTCTCCTTATCTCTGATCCTCTCCATGTCCTCTTGCTCGCGCTTCCTTTTCTCTTTCTCGGCCATTTCCGCGGCCTCTCTCTCCTCGCGCTTCCTCCTTTCTGCTTTCTCTCTTTCCTCCCGCTCCTTCTCCTTCCTCCTCTGCTCCAATTCGGCTTGCCTAATTCTTTCATTCTCTTGCTTCTGTCTCATTCTGTCCTTCAGTTCCTCGAGCATTTGTTTCTCTTTGGCAGGAGGCTGCGACACAGTCATCCACTGGTTGATGAGCGGGTCTTCGGGCATCGGGGGAGGAGGTGGAGAGGGAATATCGCGTTTCTCCGAATCGCGAACTTCTTTCTTTTTGTGCTCGTCAACGAGCTTTTCCAATACGCTCCATTTTGCGGACAAGTCTTCCTCCATTATTGACTGCACCTGTTTCATGTTCCTCATGGCTACCCGGATGCTTTTCGAGCGATCTTCGTTTTCGTCATCGGAAGTGCTATCCGAAGAGGAGGAGGAACTACTCGAATCAGAAGAACGCCTACGCTTCTTCTTTGTCTTTTTCTTCTTCTTTTTGTCTTTCGTGCCGAACATTTCTTGGGATTGACGTTTCTCTTTGCGTTTCCTCTTACGCTTGGATGAGTCGGATTCAGATGAATCTTCCTGGGCTGCTACTTGCCGAGTCTTTGATTTCTCGCGATCTTTCAGCCACTCCATTTCCCAGTGGGGATTTTGGGCGATGAAATTCTACAAAATAAAAAAAGGTTTCAGAGTAGGAAAATGAGTGGATACTTAGATTTGGCACTTACGCTGACTCAAATATCAGTTAGTGGTCAGTAGATCTTTGAGAAATGTATGTCACACAAAGGCTTGAGTCAAAATATTCATTTCATTTCGAAATCTCCTAACCTATGCAACTAAAAACTTCCATATTTTATTCAATTACCGGAAAGGCTTTCACATGAATTTTTCAAAGACAGCTTTTGTAGGCAATTGTAAAATTTGAACAATAACTTATGAGTTATATAGATGTTATCTTCATACATTTCATACTTCCTAATGATAATTACAAGTGATACAAGAAAGAGGAGAATCAGGATATACAGAAAGAAAAATCTCAATAGAGAGAGAGAGAGGGGAGAGAGGAGATAGAGGAAAGAGGGATAGATGAGAGAGATACTTAATTGTCCAAGAAATCAAGTTCTTATTGCCACAGCATGTTAGGGAAAAAAATGTTAATGAGTGATTTTTTAATTATACAAAAGATTTATAAAAGTAGAACAATCCTATACTAATCAGTTAAAAAAATAAACATATGTCAATAATAGATAAAATGAGTGGGTATATAAAAAAATCATTAAAATTAACTAAAAAAGCAAATACAACATAAATAAGACATTTTGAGAATAAAATCGTATTAAAAAAAATCATAGTAGAGTTTCACTGTAAAATTCCTCGAGATTATAGAATCCTTTTTTGAGTAGAGCTTCTTCAATTATTTTTCTGAATTGAAAGGTACGCACACCAATAAATTATCTATCTATCAAGACACTAGATTTTTGGATACTTTCAAAAGTATAGAAATAGCAAAGTGTAGTATGAGAGCTATGAACAGTGACAAAGGGAACTTTCACGAGACAACTTCTCGCAATTTCTTCACGAAATTTTTGATGTGTATCGCCCCCTGTTGAAATTTGTGTAAACTTCATCTCCTGAAGATGCCAACTTGGTTGGTAAAAGCAGAGTTGATTGAGAAAATTGTTTCTTTTGGAAATGCCTTCAACATATCAAGACAGAAAACATATGTTGAAAATCAGAGAATCTACACAAATATTCTTTCTGGTATCAGAGTTATGATTTCACTTCTCTATTAAAAATTGTTGATAACTTGATAACCTATGAAATATGAATGCAACATTGTAATCCTTTGAAACAATGATTTCCATTGTCTAATAGATTGGTGGTACTATTGCTGGTAACCATTACTTCTGTGAGACAGATATAATTACAAAGTTCCAGATAAAAGTAACAGAATTATTTTCAGTGTACTATTTATAAAAAATTTCTAATACAAGGAATATACCAGAACAGATCACTAACATTTCTGCAAACGTATATCTTATAATTTCCATTGCTTCAGAAAAGCTTGATCTTCCTTCTTCCTTTCTTATCTTATCGGAAGCAATTTATAAAGATTTAGCTCTCTGAACTTCTCACACATGAATTTAACCTCCTCTAAAAAGATTACCTACACAAAAAGCTGAGGATATTCCATTTGCATTAGTAGTTAATATATTTATTTTCTTTAAAGGTGAGGTGAAATATTCAAAAGTTACAAAAAAATGACTTACATTAGAAAGCAATAATTTATAAAACAAATCATTTTCAACAAAAGTAGTTATCAGTCACTATTTAACGAAAAGACAAAGTAGGTAAGCCTGCACTTTAACCGTTCCCCACTTCAACCATTTACCTATAAGACTTCCTTGTCTCTGCCTCCGAATAATTGGTCAAATCGACTTTAAACCTATTCAAAAAATTCATAAAGTACAGAACATATATATCCAATTCTTCACTTACCTCATAATTTTGAAAATGTGCTTGAGACTTCAGATGATGGGATGCGCAATGCAAATCTCCGATCCAGACATCACACAATTTGCAATACCAAGATGGCGCAGAGATGAAAAACTGCAGACCTACGAAAAGCAAGTGATAAAAATTTGGATTGTTCGGTAGAAATGAATAATACAAAGTTCTTAGCTGTTCATTTCCATATTTTATGGATTTCACTAACTGTAAACCGAGATTCGAAACATATCACACAGCACTGAAGAATTTAGTGACTGTCAAAAAATCACAGTGATATACTGTTTTCTTGAAATGAGTTCACTTTCTTGGACTGGTTTGGTTTCAATCTGATGAATACTTTATAAATATGCGAAATAATTCAATATTTTCAAAGTATTCCAAATCATTTGGAAATGTATAAAATTGGTATTTTGAATTGTATCAACAATTTGTATATACAAACAGACTCTGGAGATGTTTTACCTTACCCACCCTTGAAAATCAATATGCAATGTTGTCAGTGCAGTGATTGTTGTGTAGTGATTCGACCTGTTGTGTATAAGAAAGATCATGGATGGAAAAATGAAATGGATCCACTTATTTAGCTCATTAATATAATTTGAATGATGAAGTGGTCAACCGTTGGAAAATATTCCACAGTTATATATTTCTATAAACCAAAAAAAACGGGGCACAGTGAAGCTGATTTTCACCATTAATAACTCAGATTATTTGAAATAAACTTTCATATATCATCAGATTGCGATGCAAGACATGATAACCTCATCTGGTACAAATCCAGCTTTCAATCAACAATTTCGAGTCACTGCACTGACTAAAACAACCAACCCCCCCAACGTTCTGTATCACCCAATACCTTTGATCGGGATACGCTTGACAGGAGCGCCCTCATGCGACGGTAGGACTGGCTCAGCGGGTAACTTATGCCAAGGAGTACTATCGTGATCATTCTCTTTCGCCGCTTCTTTGTGTTTTTTGTCCTGCAAGTGCAGAAGAAAATCTTTAGCGGTTTCCGGAAACTCGTCGCAAGACCGACACCAGTGCAAGCCGGTATCGTAGTGCACGTAGCAGGATTTCTCCATGGAGTCCTTTGGGGACTCTGGTGCCTCGCTCTGTTGTCTGAGCTGAGCCGTCAGTTCTGAACGAGAGTAGGAGCGAGACTGATCTATAGGTGGAGTCTGCTGTGGTGCTTCAGCTTTCATCAGTGAAGCTTCAAGGTCAGCTATCGATTGCCCGTCTTTAATGATGCTCGACAACATCTCGATGACGTTATGTATGGCCTTCATTTTGCCCTGGATCTCTTCCTGAAACGGAAAGAACGAACGTTAATATTCCGTGTCTAGAACGAATATTTCATGGTAATGTGTAAGTCAATACATACTGGCGCCATCTTCATGATCCTCTGAGTTAAATTTTAATATAAAAACGGAAAATACATGAAAATGTTACAAGCGTCCGGCTAGTCGTTACCCGTCGCTGTACTAGGTGAAACTGCGAAATAAAATACTGGTACCTTATGGACATGAATGCACTTACCGTAATTTGGGCTCAGCAGCTGAACATTTTCTTGTACCAGATTTACATTTTCGAAGATAAGAGTTGTTTTATTTGAATTATATATTTGTCTATTTGCTGTCTTACTATTCTCTGGTGATAATCACAAATCATTGCTTAAAAACTGAAAATTAGTGGGTTCAGAGGTAATATTTCATCTTTATTTGATGCATGTCTATCAGAATATGTTTAGAAAACAATCTATATAAATATAAAATGTTAAAATGAGAATTTAAAGTGATCCTCGGCCCTTTGTTATTTTCATTATATATTAAGCACCTGGCTAATATATCATAGATCTTTGCACCGTTTTAAAACAAAACTTCAAAATGATTTTTGACCCTGCTCCTTCCTCCGTATACATTTATAATATACTGGGCATTACACCTTGAATATTTTACATTATTCCCAAACGGAATTCCTTCTTCCAACTCATCTCCAACAACATAAACCTGCTACAAGACAAAACCAGTAAGTCGTCGATGAACTGAAAAAATTACCTGCAACTTATCGTTCTGCCTAAGAATATTGGCCAGCTCTCGATCCGGCGATCTGCCATTTCCAACAAGTTCCTGTTTTTGGATTCGAAGTTGTTCTAATTCGTGTCTCAACACAGAAGCTTTCCGAACGTAATCCTCTCGTTGCTTCGTCAGTTGAGCTTTCTGTTGCTGCATCTCCTGGGCCACTGCTGAAAAAAGTATATTAGCAACTTGTTCGACAAGAATATAGGAAATAATTGAATGAATTGTGACTTTTTCAAACTGCGCATTTCTATTTCTGCTGGAGCCTTTGCTGCGACTGGCGGTCCCATTATCGAGGAGACAACCCTACGAAAAAATGTCGTCAAAAATGGAATCCAATGAACTAGAGAAGGTTAGTTTATGTATAAGCTGCAATTAACTGTCCCTGCAATTTCTAATACATCTACATAACTTTTTTTAAATTTGGATATGTGGATTTTTCATGAGAACATTAGAGAAAGTAAAGTCATATTACCTCTCACCATCACTGGTGTTATTTTGCTGATTTTTTTTAGCACTAATATGCACATTAGTATACTGGAATGTCTTCCAAAGTACCACATTACTAAAACAAATGAATCAACAGCAGACCAGGCAACGAAACATTACACTTTGCATCATCAATACAAAACAAAAACATACTTTCATATGGTATCTTTCTTTCATAAGTAAAACAAAGGGATAAAACAGTTGACATTTGCATTTAATAAGCGAGAGCTGTTTTTTTTGATACAAACAAGAATCATCAACAATTTTTTAGAATTTTAGGCCAATTGATATCGGTTAAATGTTGCTTATTGTAAAGTTTCTATAGTTCCAAGTCATTTATATCATACAAGTGAACACTAATGGCATTTCATAGTTCATAGTAAGTAGATTTATACTGTAATTGTTCCGTATGCTGGATTATTTAAATTGACAGATGAAAATTAATTATAAATTTCTGCCGAATTTTATGAATCCAACCCAGAACATAACATGACATTACTTTTCAATGAATTTCATAAACAATAGCAATTCTTCATTAAAATGTCAGGTTCGTTTTTGTTTTCATAACTTGTACCCAGCTTGGTTCAGATGCATAAAATGATAACCAAGTGTAAAGATCCAATGACCATACTGTGACTTCATATACTTGTATTACTCAGTACATTTTCAAATCTTAAGTGCTTGTCTTTGAATAAAGATACAGTGGAGGATGAGATGTCAAGAAGATGACTTTACTTTCAGAAATTTTCAGTAAATATGGAGAAATACTTTTGTCGATAACATGTTTTACTTACCATCTTTCTGTGTTGGTGTGTATGTGGCCGAGCCCCATTCGGTAGAAGTCACTGTGCCTTCTCCAGGTAGAATAGGCTGGGTTGTCTATAATAAAAAGTTGAACTTAACTTATACCTTATTAGTAAAGTAGTTCAGAAGATGACAACTCCCGATATTCGGGAGGTTTCAAAACCTGATATTAAATAAAATATTATAATGCACTTGTGGACTTGTGTAGACACATTAATAAATAAATAGAATATTAATAGTACCTTCAGTATAGGTATATATGAAATTTTAAATTAAACAACCAAAATATTCAGAATTTCACAAAACCACACATATTTATCTAAAAAGATGATTAAGCATACTTAGTGTACAAGAAAACTATTTATGAATGAAGGCAAGGGTCTATAGTACTATGAAATTTCACAACAATCTAACTGAAAATGAAAAGTATTGAAAGTCTTGGTACATTCCTAAAGGCTTGCAAGAGTTTTTTATGGCCTTCCACTATCTTCAAAAGTATTCAGACCATTTTTCCTCCAAAGTACTCGGAATTTCAGGAGGAAGATTTTCTCTAATGATAATTGCATGATGTTAGTGTATGTTGCTTGATACAGCTACTAAGTATATATAAAAAAACTGACAACAAATTTGTCTTAGCATTCTACTTGAAACCCACATATATTATTTATAAGTATTACGTCCTTACCTGATTAGGATACTGTGCATAGCCTTGATAGCTATAACCACTACCATAACTCTGCTGGTACTGGGGATATGCACTCTGATAACCAGAGTTTGGATACTGCGATGACAAAAAGATAGTTATGTTAATATAGATAATTGTATAACTTATGGAGAAATATTCATTTAAATGGCCCATCCAGTTTTTGAAAAAGTTATTTTATATTTTCGTCCATTTATCATTAATCTAAATGTCAAAACTTGAGACTCTGGTCTACATAAGGAGATACAATCACTCAAAATCAACTCTTTCGATAACTCACCTTCAGTTATATAAACTTTTCAAATAACATTTCCTTTTCATGACGTCATGCTGCTGTCTTGATTCACTTGTTTGATTCTTTCAACATTGTATTTTTTCCCACAAAAACATATTTTTATGAAATAAATCATAATTTTACAAAGGATTTGTTCACTGATTTAGTGAGAAATCAATGAGGAATTGTCAAATTTACATGGCTATCGAAAAATAAAAACTGCCACATTTTCTTCATCATTTAGAATGTCTTGTCCATATTTGTGATTTGTGTAGTGTTTCATTCACAAGAAGGCAGAAGTAAGAAAGAAAGCTTTAAAAAAATTATGAACTTTTTGTATTCAAGTTGAGTAAAACTTTTGAAATTAGGCAACATAATTTTCTTTTCTTGACTAAAAAGTCTCTTTTGATCATTTTGAACTTTGTTGAGTTTTGACTTCAGAATCGTGAACAGCAGACAAAAATAGATGTCTAATACAAACCTTTTCAAAGACTGGTGTGAGCGTTTAAAAAATAAGGTTCAACTTTTATACTATAACAAGAATAACAATTAACGACATGTTTATATGTTGTTACATGTCGAAAATGAGAACATATTGGTACTCAAATAGAAGCAGCTTAGAAATGAAGGGATGACCTGCTGTGTCAAGTCATGCATAGACAAATTTAAGTCCATCGACAAGAATCCAGGCTCATTAAACTGTTTCCACTACTTACATTGTTGTACATGCTGATTTTTCTAACTAATAACAACTACACTAGGAACTCAAACTGTGCTTTGGATGGAACCTCATACAGGTACAGATTTTTTCCTCAGTAAAATCTACAAAAGAACATAATTTCGAAAAATTTGAATTCTCAGTATACAGTCTCCACCAAATGATCGTATTCATTCCAAATGAAATAATATAATAGGTATGCCATTACATTATTTTACTTACATTGATTCTTTCCATATTCACGTTATTCACCACACACCATTTCCTAGTGCTAATTAGTGTAAGAAAATGAAATTGGATGATTTTTATCCAAAAAATATTCAAAAACCAAATGAATTCCTGAAATACAAATGATGCCTGTTTTATAAATTATAAACCATCACTCCTTCAGCAAATTCTAATATATTCCGACAAATGACAGCTTAACGTGTTAGGATGTTGGGAAGCAGCATAACCATCTGTCTTTAAGTTATAAATCAGTGTTGCCAACTGGATAAACTACAAAGTTGCTACACATGAAGCAAAATTCCGCTACACTGCTTTATATTCCGTTATGCTTGTATATCTGACGCAAATCAGTCTTTTAGTTTCAAAATATTGGAAGTTACTCAGCTACTGAAACTATATTGGATTAACTGTGCATTTAATTCTTCGAGTGCTGTCCACTGCCTCTTCTTCTTCCATATTTTTTTCAATATTGATTATTTGTAGAAATTTCCGCTACTTTATGTTCAAATTCGCTACGCCGCTACCACAGTAGAATAATTCTGTGCCGCTACTTTCGAATAAATTCCGCTACGGTAGTGGAATTCCGCTACAGTTGACAACACTGTTATAAATCCTGCTTTACTTGGTTGTGACTTGGTGAGGCGACGGTAATGAAATTGGTAAAACCTGCCAACGTCTACAGTGGAAAATGCCTAATGAAAAATGAGAAATAAAACTTTCTATGTTTTTTTACCACTTCTATTTGCAACTAACGCTACCGCAGTTTCGTCCTAAAAGGACATTTTCAAACTGTTACAATGAGTTAATTGTATTTATTCATATTTTTATTGTTTGCTTCCTAATACAATAAGTTTACTGTATTAGTTTTAAAATGTTCTTATAGGACGAAAATAGAAAGTTTTATTTCCAGCAGTCAAGCTGCTGTTTTTTTTTTAGAAAAAGTGAGAACACTAATTTCTACCCAAGTGCCGATGTGTTTGTCCCAGCTCACTTAAATGTTACCACACTCGGTTGATTTCAATACATTGATTGATGCAGCCGTTACTACGTAGTAGGAGATTATAAGTTGTTCACGTTAAGATGAGAATGACGTCATGAGATGACACGTTACGGCGTTGCGAACATATGCACTATTTCGAACTTTTAAATGTGTTTGTACTGTTGATATGTTTTATTACTATTATCCATACTTAATTTTGTTATTTGTTGGTACTATTTCGACAATGCTTTAGGCATATTGAATATACGCAGGTCTTATCGAAAGAAATGATTAGTTCTGAGAAGAAAAGGAAGACTGACAGTTTTCGTGTTTTTTTTTCGATTCGGCAACGTCTGAAATTTTACTATCAGTTGAGCAACTTACAAAATGAAATATTACTAGTTTCATTTCTGTTGAACGCATTTCAGTGGGAATTTTAACGTTGTTGTGTTGGATATACAAAATTACCAAAAATGACGTCATTCTCTTCTTAACGTGAACAGCCTATAGAGGCCATTGAATCGAAAAGAAAGAAGAAGAAGTGAACAGTGTTTTTTACCAGTTTTATGATATATGATACATAAAAGTGGTAAAAAACATAGAAAGTTTAATTTGTCATTTATCATAAATGACAATCGTTAACTGGCCGGATAACCTTAGTTGTTGAGGCCAATAAGTGAATAAAAAGAACTTTTCTATGTCAATCTTGGTTATGGTTATATGAGTAATAGTTTCTGTATTTTACCAGACGGATTAAGATTTTCCATGGGTTTTATTTTCTAAGTTTCCAATATTCTGATCTGCTATTGAAGGAGGCACACTACTATTTCTTCAGTAACATTTTGTTAATAAATGGCTACATCTAAAACTACCAATACCTATAACAGGCAGAATTGGGAAGATGCTGTGAGTGCATTCATTTTAATATTATTAATTACTTGTGATGCACTGTTTGGAACCTTTGGTGTAGTAATGAATACTACTGGAGTTTTTTCCCAACACTAAACCGTAATTTTAACACCTCGGGAAGATTTTCCTCTTGAAGATGATCATGGTGATCCAAACACCTGTGTGGGTGTTAAAATAACTGTTTGGTGTTGGGAAAAAACTCCAGTAATATTTATATATTATTATTTATTCATTATTGAAGTTGCTATATAACTACATGATGTTTTAGGACTTCCCTGTACTATGTCAAACATGCTTGGGTGATAATCCATACATCAGAATGGTAAGAATATTTTTTTCATATAAAATATTACTTATAGTCCTCAAGAACGTTATAATTGCCTGATGTCCACGATTAGTTAAGTATTTTAGAGTTATATTGTTTGGAACCCAAAAAATGTTGAAAATTATTTTTGAAACTTTTAGATATGGTATAACCATTTTGATTAATATCTCTCTAGCTATGGCCAAAATACCAGATGAACCATTGTTCAAATATCCAAAGTCAGTAGTACCACCAAAGCTAGCGAACTTCATGCAATCAATAATCCAAGTATTTTCAAAAAGGTTATTAAAACACCGATTGAAAATTGATTCTAACCTGTCATGTTTCCATTAAAAATCTGGTGAATCTGCATTATAACTGTCTATGTAAACTCAAAACTGAGTTTGTTGTTAGTTTTATTATTTAGACGATATACGTGTGAGATCTGATCTGATTTGAACATTATCATCATCTTTTGTCACTTCTCCCATCTAAAGGTTGTAGTGAGATCATGGACTGTGGTAATAAAGTTAACTGAGGCGAATGGGAAATTTTTGCTCACGCTTTTGTATTTATTCACGATCTGAGTTGATGATATTCACAGAAAATTACTTAGAGAGATACTTAATTTCAAAAATCTCTAGTAATTCATTCATGCAGAAACAAGAATAATTGTATACACATCACCAACAAATCAAATGAGAAAGGAAAATCACCAAATGTTATTGCATTTCAATAAATTTCAGATATGAATATTGCCTATATGCTTGAAAAAAAAACAAATATCTGAATTTTAAATATACTTCCTTTGGACTCATATTCATGACATTGAAATCTCATAAAACATATATATTTGTAGAAATGTAAATTTCAAGTTTGATTTTTAGACTTTCACTAATTTATTTGCTATTCATATAATGATTCCTGTCGAATGTCTGTATTAAGGTAACCTAATGAGGATAAATTCTCTTTCATTCAATTCATTTCAGATAAAAGAAAAATATGGCAAGGAGTGTAAAATATGTTCCAGACCTTTTACTGTATTTCGTTGGTGTCCTGGAGCCAGGATGCGTTTCAAGAAAACCGAGGTCTGCCAGACATGCAGCAAATTGAAGAATGTTTGCCAAACTTGTCTGCTGGACTTGGAGTACGGTTTACCCATACAAGTACGAGATGCAGCCTTGAAGATGAAAGATGATTTACCAAAAAGCGATGTTAATAAGGAGTACTACATTCAAAATATGGAGAGAGAGGTTCTAAATTCATGCTATTTCACAATACAGGTTAATGTACAAATATTGTTTTTATAGTTAGCCAGATCTGACCCTGATACCATTAGTAGCAAATTGAGTGAACCGAATGATCTTCTGATGCGTTTGGCTCGAACCGCACCTTATTACAAGAGGAATAGGCCCCATGTGTGTTCCTTCTGGGTGAAAGGTGAATGCAGAAGAGGCGAAGAATGTCCATATCGCCATGAGAAACCTACTGATCCTGATGATCCACTGGCAGATCAGGTAAGAACAATTTCCAATATTACCAAACTCCAAACAATGTTTTAATGCAACATGACCCTCGTCATAAGTAACATATTGGTTAGTACAAAAATGTATATCGAGGAGTTCTGAACATTTGTTTATAATGGATGGTTAAGCTGAGAACAGCTATTACTGAAGCTTTGCCATTTCTGTGACATGTGATGAATATGGTGTTATGTTTAAAATATATTTTTTCATTAACCGGCTGTCTCACCCCTACGAACGACAACCCTCAGAAGTTGAAACTTGTGCCAGCCAAAGACTAATGAGGTCTTACCTTTTAACCTGTGATACCTAATCGATTTATTATTATTATTAGAAAGTATCACAAGGAATCACATACCGAAATTAATGACAGTTTTTGAGACACATCCAGCTCCTAACTAAACAATTTTATTTTCCTTTTCAGAACATAAAAGACAGATACTATGGTATCAATGATCCAGTTGCCGACAAATTGCTTAAGAGAGCTGCAGCAATGCCTGCCCTACCTCCCCCTGATGATAAGACAATTACCACACTTTACTTAGGTAATTTAGGTAACTTGTCCGAACAGGATATCAGGTATGTGTTTGAAAATGATAATTTGAATTAAATTAGAACACATTTAGGCAATTCATTCTTGTAATAGAGACTGTAGGATCCATTCTTGGTTTTTCTGATCTCACAATTTTTTGCTTCAAAACAAATACTTTCGTCTATAGGTTAGTAGATAGGTCTAAGGTGAATGTGGTCTTTTGGTGTGGGTAAATTAAGATTATTCATAAATGTCATAAGTTCGGTAGTAACTTTGATACAGGTGAGAATATCGTCTACATATCTGTACCAAAAATGAATGTTTTTTACCCATGTTGGAATTTACTATAGTGGTCTTCAAGCTGTTCATGAATGTCTGCTAAAAGTGGACTGAGGGGTGAGCCCATTGGTAAACCTGAATCCTGTTTATAAAATTTGATATTGAACTGTAAGTTATTCTGATTTAGACATACATGGAAAGCTGTTGACATTTCAAAAGAAGTTGTATGGTCTACTTTGGCATGATTTAATATATTTGAAATGAGAGACTTACATTTGTTGTACAGTTTGTTAGAGAACACGCTCTTTTCATCAAATTAAACTAAAATTTAATTAAGTGGCGTGGTTTGGTTACTTATTTTTTCTACTAAAGTGAGTGAATTTTCAATGCTGTGATGCAGGACGAAATTGGTAATATTTTTCCAAACATGTTCATTTCTATAGAAAATGTTCATTATTTTTTAAATGCTGAAATTATCAATTTTTTACGAATTTTTTCTATTATCTGGCATATGAGTTTGGAAAGTAAACCTTACGGCATTCTGACATCTGCAACAGTTTTGAAAGTGTCCCTATGTATGTCAAATTAGGAAAGACAATTCTAATTGTGAAACTCCACTCAAGTCTCCTTTGATTTTCAGAGACCATTTTTACCAGTATGGAGAGATTCGTTCTATAAGCTTGGTGCCTAAGCAGCAATGTGCCTTCGTTCAGTACACAACGAGGGCAGCAGCGGAGGCGGCCGCCGAAAAAACTTTTAACAAACTCATCCTCGGCGGTAGGAGACTCACCATCAAATGGGGCCGCTCCCAAGGCCGCACAGGCCCATCCTCCATCGTTCATGCAGAGAACTATGAACCTGTTCCCGGCCTGCCAGGGGCTCTTCCCGAGCTCAGTAATAACTTTTTCAACTTGGAACCCGGACACATTCCATTGCCCAACATGCCGCCACCTCAGTCGATCATGGTGCCCCCCATGTTCGCTCCTCCTCCGATTCCGCCTTTTTTTTTCAATCCCCCACAGCTGCCGCAGTTTGCACCGCCGGCTAGCGCTAGCAGTGCGGTGGCGGTTGCGGAGCCAGTTGTGCCGAAACCGACGGTGCACTATCCGAGTCAGGACCCCGCTAGGTTGGGAGCCACGCAGCAGATTCAGGAGTGATGGCATTGAATTTTTTGTCTTGAATAATATAATATAATTTGTAACTCATTTTTGAGGTTTTTCATTTATCTTTTGAGCCTTTAGGATGTTCAAACAAGGGCAGTGACATCTCGCGTCATGAAGACATTATCTATGAGATTGACAGAGAACTCAATCCTCGAATATCAAAGATAAACGAGGCTCCTCAAGGCGGTCTGTTGCAAAGCCAACCTAGAGGAAAATGGCTCGATTCTGATTGGGAAAAATTAGTAGTATTCGCAGACTTTGTACAATGGATGAAATCTGTTGAAGGAAATTTTCAGGCAAACTGTTTCCATATATGAGAATGAGTCATCGGAAAAACTGTCATATTGAAGAATAACAATATCATACTTAATTTGACGAATATAATATTTCTACTGAAAATAATTTCATCAAAGTATGAAAAATTTAGCGGAAAATTTGGAAATTGGCATAAGGAAGACTGAAGCTTGTCGCCTACTTATCCAGCACAGCACGGTGCTCTCCGTCGCCTGATGGCAAATTTTCTCAAAACGTCTATTGTTATTCCTCTCCATAAAGGTGGAGATATTGGCATCTCTTCTAACTTCCGACCTATCTCTTTAATAACAACACTGGCAAAGATTATAGAAAAACTAGTCAAGAGAAGACTAGTTGATTTTCTCGAGAGAAACCAGATATTAAACAAATGTCAGTTTGGATTCCAAAGTAGAAAAAACACTCATGATGCAATTTTTTCATTATTGCACAGTCTATATAACAAATTAAATGATGGAGAGATTGCAGCTGCTGTGTTCTGTGACATATCGAAAGCGTTTGACTGTGTTAGTCATGATACACTGCTTCTGAAATTACAACAGTATGGTATAAGAGGTGTAAGTCTCAATTGGTTTGAATCTTATTTATCTGAGCGTAGTCAAATTGTTAAAACGACTAATTATTCGGAAGAAGGAAAAATAAACTGTGGAGTTCCACAAGGCTCGGTCCTAGGTCCACTATTATTTCTTTTGTATATAAATGATCTGACATCTATTGATATTAAAGGAGAGTTCACACTATTCGCTGACGACACTACAATTTTATGGCATGATCAAAATCCCTCTGAACTTGAAACAGTAATAAATCATGATATTAGCAATATAAAAAGATGGTGTGACGCAAATCTTCTCAGTTTTAATATCTCTAAAACGAACGTACTTTGCTTCAAATGTTCCATCAGCAATTTACAAATTGACATCTTTGTTGAGAATAAACCATCAACCAAATTTCTGGGACTATCCATTGACACTGATTTGAAATTTGAAGACCATATCAAGAGTCTCAAATCAAAGTTATCCTCAGGGTCTTATGCTGTGAGACTGACATCTTATGAGTTGGGATTTGCTGCTGCCAAAGTAACATATCACTCTCTCATAGAATCTCATCTATGATATGGAATTCCTTTCTGGGGTGCTTGTACTTTGACATCACTGCAATCAATTTTAGTTATACAGAAAAGAGCTGTACGTTTTCTATGTAAAGCAAAACCACGAGATTCTTGCAGACCACTGTTTAAGGAAAAGAAAATCCTCACTGTAATATCTATTTTTATTATTGAAACTATATGTGTCATAGCGAAACATCAAAATCAATTTTCAATTAACACAAACGCCACTCGACAAAGAAACGACTTTAATTTGCCCATACCAAAATATTCCCTCATTAAAGACTCTTTCATTTATAATGGGTTGAAAATGCTCAATCACCTACCATCAAATCTGAAATTTGCATGCAGTAACGTAAACTTTAGGGAAGTTTTGAAGGATTTTTTTTGTGAGAGAGCCTATTATAATTTATCAGAGTACTATCAAGATACTCTTTGATTCGACTTGTGGCTGACTCGTTTTATGTAATTAATATTGACAATAAAGCATATTTTGACTTTGAGTAGTAGCATCGCCCACTCGTCCAGCTACAACCAGCATACTGAAATACTGAAGGTGCTGTTTGTTCGATTTCAAGGGAATTTCAGTTGACATCGAGCGGTGACAGAAACATGTCTATCACTAGCAGTTCTGACCAAAGTCGTCATTATAGTGGCCGAATTACTGAATGTAGAAAAAAATATACACAAAAAAGAAGCATCAAAAGATGGCAAATCTGACCGTGCTACCAACTGATGTAATAGCAAAACAGAGAGACAGAAACTTCCCAGGCACGTCTGGACAAGTTGGTGCTGGCAAACGTTGGCCGGCGATTGGCTTACTTTGCCAGTCTGTCACAGCACGTACCGTTATTTGCCGGACAGGACCTGAGAGCTGTAATGTAATCCTTTCCGGTGGCGGACGCTCTTGGCTTGGCCGTGCCTGGCTACTGGACGGTTGTCCATTCATTTTTATTGTTCCAATCTTATACGTATTTTGAAGAGACGAGCCGTGCTGTGTTGTGTCTGACAAGTGGGCGACAAGCTTAAAACAATTTACTATAAAAAATCAATGAAGTAAAGGAGAACCCTGAAAAAAATGGGAAAACCACAAATAGTGCACTCATGGACAAATCCAAGGAGAAAAACAATATTCTAGCAGAACTGGTAATAACACTATCAGTGACTTCAAATTGAGAAGCGAAGAATTCCATGACTTGTTTTGTCAATATGAAGGCAGACTGCCAATAAAATACAAATATAGTTTCAGATCTATGAATAGAAGTATCATTAAATCGTGTTTTCAGTTCACCATTAACTTCTTCTACTGATATTATAGAAGTAACGAATCTCGAAAAGTGGGTGACCCACAATTTGAATGATCGACAGAAATTGTCACGTTTCGAGGTCTATCCTTCTTTGCTTTCGATCAGTCATAACTATTCTCTTTTGGATCGTATCACCACTTGTGATGGAAAGTGAATCCTCTACAACAGGAGACGTTCAGGACAATGGTTGGATACCTATGAGCCACCCAGACACTCCAAATGGCGGTAACCCACCAAACAAAGACCATGGTTAACTGTATGTTGGTCAGCGGCTGATGTGATTCACTATAACTCTACAACCGGGCAACCCGCAGAATCCTATTATGAGGAAATTGACGAAATTTACCGAAAACTGCGTCAGCAGCAGAGGTTCGATCCCGCTCCATGAAACGCCCGTCCGTAAGTCTCACAAATCACTGCCTCACCCACCATACTCATTAGACTTCTTACCAACGGACTTCGATAACTTTCTTACCGGTAGAGCCTATGCTAATCTGGACAAGGCAAATACGGCCTCCGTCGACTTTATCGAATCCCGAGCATAAAATGTTTATGCTAACGGAATTTATCGACTTGTGTTAAGTTGCCAAAAGTGCACTGAGTCAAATGGCGCTAATTTCGAATGAATAAGTATTCAAAATAGACTCAACGAAAAAAAAAAAAACTTGAAACAACCAATATCTATTGGAGCCGAATTATAGTTGAAATCGTATGTGTTGACGAAAGGTATCATTATTTCTGGATACTTGAAAATTGATCGGTAATATCAAGGTTTCTTGATCGATAAAGAGCTTCTAGTTGAGAAACTTGACTATTCCTTAGTGGATTATCAGCTCATAATTTTTGATCACGTTAGAAATAATCACTGCAGAAATAAAGATGGTGGTGGAAAGAAACTGAAAATATCAGAATGAAAAGGCTGCAATTATGAGAGAGTGATGTTACAACAAGGAAAATTATAATCTAACAAGTATTAGGAGGGAATTAGGAGGGCCTTAATTACCGATGGCAAAGTTTGCGTCCCGAGGGCCTCTGGCCCGAGGGACAGCAATTGCCTGAGGTTATTAAGGCTCATTAATTCCCGTGGTACATAGATNTTATTTTTACTTGTGAAAGGTAGAGGGAATTATAAAATCTATAATGTCCCAAGGGAGTTATGACCCTCTTTATTGATAGCGTAACTATGACGATATAAGCTTATAATATCCCGGTCAGAAATAAATTTTTTAATTGAATGACTATCTATGGGGCTTTGAATCATCACCTAGAATGTCTTGATGTAAAATTTTGAAATCCTTATATCTATACACCATTGTAGGTTGACCAGTGACAATGTGTGACAAGTCGATTTGGTCATTCAGTATGTTACATCCGCAATGTTTATGCTTATGAATTTTCAAGTATTCCAAATAATTGAATTTCCAACCCTTGCTTGTATAGTGCAAAATTTACGTATCGTTTATAGATTCGGGAACTTGTGGTTGCATTCCAAGGAATGCCATGAAAACGTCCATTAATTTTTCGACGTTTTGATGAAAATCGGAATTTTCATGATAAAAATTGAAAAACATAAATTCGAGTTTTTAAAGTCACAAATTTCGAGATAAAAATCGTAATTTCCGAGATAGAAGTCGAAAAATATAATTTCGAGTTTTTAAAGTCTGAAACTCGGAGATAAAAACTGGAATTTACGAGATGAAAATCGAAAAACATGAATCCGAGTATTGCAAAGTCGAAAATTCATAAATAAAAATTGGAATTTTCGAGATAAAAGCCAAAAAACATGATTCCATGATGAAAATCGGAATTTCTGTTGTAATAGTCGAAAAACATGAATCCGAGTCAGGTAAAATGAAGAAAGTAACTGGTATGGTTCTTCTACACTTCTGAAGTTTGGAAAATCACGGATTCGTTCTTGATTTAACTGATTGCATTTAGTGCAATCAGAATACAATACTTGATGAAAATCTCTTCTTTGATGCGGTGGGAGACGTGTGATCTTGAGTCGAAAACCACTCCGTTAAAGATAACGTAATCGATCTTCTCCGGAATTCCCTATTTATACATCAAGATAGAAGGGCGTAAAACAAAAGTATAATACCGCAAATATAGCGAGATTGGCGGAGATTGAATAACGCCAACACACCGTTTTTTAGTTGTTAGTAAGCTCTCAAGCACGTGCTTCCTCGCCAGCATTTTTCGAGGGCCTTTGATTGGCTTCTCGAAACTTATTCGTGTCCTGAATAGATTCGGTGGATCGTAACGCGAAAATCGAGGTACTTCACGGTTCAGTTACACGACTGCACTGACCCATTTATTA